CTGTCGGTGACCTCTTCCATCAGGCCCTTCACTAGGTGACCGTGACCAGTGGCGGTCGTGGGGATGTCTGTGTGGGTAGTCATGGCGTTCAGGGCCGTAACGCTCCTTGTCCATTGAGCTGTGATGACGATGGTGGTGATGGTGGTGGCGCCGGTCCTTGGTGCGGCCTCGGTCGCGTTCGCGCTCCTTTGGAGGCAGGTCACCCGATTGTGTGGTTGTGCTGAGGTCTGTTCCCAGACCTAGTGAAGACATGTCTCAGGTTACATAGTCGATACAACACCAGCTAAAGCTAAACAGGAAGAATCCTACAGTAAACTCATGTGGATGATACTCTTTTACTGAAAAACTTTTCTGGTTTCTTTTTTAAAAATATCCACACACATTTGTTTTAAAGCAACACTAAAAAAGTTCTCCCTCCCACTGGTTGAAAGTAGAATTACAACTGTCGTAAACAACCCTTTTGCAACTGGCTGTAGTTAGCTCTAACAACAAACACATGCTAACACGAGCTGACTGATACTTAATAAGTCACAAAGTAAAAAGATCCACACTGTTGGTCAAAAAAATACTACTTAGAAGTCCATTAGAAACAATGCCAGGTCACCGTCAATCTGTGACTTTGTAGCCTCTTTTAGCTCCCTAAAACAAGTGTAGACCACGCCAATGTCTGCTCTGGCTTAAGCTCTTTTGCTTCCCCTCCAAAGACATTACTCTCTTACTTTTACTTCCAGGTTCTGCCATGACGCCAACAAAAAAGCAAACATTCTTTTTCTCCTTTATGTGCTTTCTATTGATGGTTGGCAAACTGAAAACAATGCGCCGATGTGAAACGTTACGGCTTGAAGCCACTAGCTTCCTCTTTCCCCCCTTCTTCTAGTGATCGCAGTGGACTGGAAAACTTCCAGATTGCTTCCGATTCTGTGTTTGCTCGCTCTTAGGTGCATTTTATTTAACAGGAAGTGTGAGTGAATTGTCTCCACCCATAGAGTCACTCATGTTTAAGTGTGGTTTCTGGTCAGCAAAGGTCTGCAGAACGCTGTCAGAACTGAAGTTGGTAAATGAATGAAGTGAATGATAAATGACCTGCACTTGTATAACACCTTTCTGAGTCAGAGGACACCAAAGCACTTTATACTACAGCATATCATTCATCCATTCACACACATTCACACCCTGGTGATGACAAAACTACAATGTAGCTACAGCTGCCCTGCGGCACACTGACAGAGGTGAGGCTTTCGAGGCACAGGCGCCATCAGTCCCTCCGACCACCACTAGCAGACATGATGGGTTAAGTGTCTTGCCCACGGACACAAAAGTAGCAATCTCTGGCAGAACTGGGATCGAACCTGCAACCTTAAAAACTCATTAGTGTTGCTTTAAAAAGACAGAAACAATAGGGAAGTCAAAGGAGGAACAAAGAAAAATATTTAAAACAGCCTCCACCATAAACCCTGGAGCTAAACAGGTGGATAAGAGCTTTTGAAAAACTCAGACCAACACATTTGGGTTTACTTCAGAGATCTACAATTAACGTGTTGCAAAACAGTGATTGTGTTTATAATAAAAGGATTACTGTCATAAACACACTTTTTTTTACATAGCAGGGGGTGTTTTCTTTATCTCACTAAAATTAAATAAATAAATAACATATGCAGATTTTTTGAACATTGGTACGAATTGAACTTTGTCATAATTCAGCTTAAATCTTAAAACATCAATTAAAAATTAGTTCCGGCTAATTTCAATAGAAAACTGGAGGGAAATAAATACTCAGACTCCTCAAATTTTAGCAACTGAACCCCTGGCTGCAAACATCTATTATGTTATCACCTGATTCTGTTCACAAGCGGATTAATTGATCCCTGATGTGAAAACGTCATGTGTGCCTCACCCGTGTCTGCATCTGTGTATCTGGTGAGGGATCGCTGTGACGTGCGGTGACTCCTGTCCCTCTGCCTGCGTCCTCCTCCGTGCCTCCCCTCCTCAGACACCACCCTCTCCAGGGAGTAGTCGTCCAGCCTCACCCCACGGCCCGAACGCCCGTGGACCAGGCTGGAAGTGGAGTGGCGCATTGGACTGGTGTCCGTGATGGTCTTATAGCACAAAAGGAAGTGCAGATGGAAATATAGAAAAAAGAAGCAAAAGGGTAGAAAAGATATGAAGACAGAGGAAAACAGATAAACAGCAGTGGGGAAGAGAGAAAGACAGGAAGGAAGAAAAAAAAGGTTAGATTTATTGAAATTTGGCTGTAAAATGTGAAAATATATCAAATAATGGACCGTAAATCTAGTGTAATGCTTTCTTGACGGCCTAAATCACTGAATTTTAATCAGCAGAACCAAATGAGGGAATTTAATTCACATTTCTACAAGCTTTAAATAAAAAACTCTTGGTTTTAAACCTCTTAATCACATTATTAATAAAGAAACTGAACATGTCTAATGATTAATCTTTTGACAAATATTTTATTTGAGCACATCTTCACCCAAACATGGAATAATGAAACATTCAGAGATAAGAACACTAAACTCACAAGTCGAGTAGGGAAGGAAAGGAGCATAGAGACAGAGAACAAGCAAGAGGGCTTCAAAAACGATGCCTCACATGCACATGGCCGAGCAGCCTGTTGCTCTTCTCCACATGGCGGCCATTTTTCAGACTCAGGCTGCAAAGCCACAGAGTTTAACTTCCAGAAACAGACTGGACACATGATCAGAACCATAAGGAAGAAAGCAGAATGATCACTGAAAAATATCATACACTCTTGAAAAAATTTGCAGCCCACCACTAAAATGCAAAATGAGAGTGATAATGTTTTTGCCCGTGTCTGTGTGCTAGTTGTTTGTTAGCAAAATATCTCGTGAACCAGTGGAGGGATGGATTTGAATGAAACTGTCAGGAAGTAATGCACATCTACAACTGATTTAATTTTGGAGACTACCTAAGTCCAGATCGCTAATTGAAATGAGCAAACCTACTCAAAAATGACTACAGCTGTCATTATTGAGCTCAGGTTTTAGTTAGTCGTAGCCGAGAGTCATTCACAACAGGTGGTGTAACGAGATATGTATTTGTATTCAGATTCTTTGGTACAGAACGTTCGATTCAGCTCAGACCTGTACCACACAGGCGTTTAACTGTGTTTCACACGATTGCCATTAGCTAGCAACAGCGGCAGTGTGCAAATTCAGGGGTTGCATCTTTTGAAAGATCCAGCTTACCCCGTTGACGCATGCTGGTGTACCAGACACCAGGTTCTAGCATAAACAATTTAAGTGAATGCTAACAACATACCTGCAAACTCGGCGGGTGTGAAAAACGCTTCAGCTACAATCAAACCATTCTGCTTTTTTCTTTTTTAAAGTCAGAATTTTGGCTTTGCAAAGACAGTTGCTCTCCTAAGTATGATATAAATCATGTACGGTCGCCATGTAGACAAGAAAATTCATCATTCCGTTATCTTGGAGCCTTCTCACAAATTCTGCAAGAATTTCACAACAAAATCCCACAGTCCTGATACAGCAAGGCGTCTGTGATCCTTTAACCATCAACTCTGTTGCAAACATCTAAAAATAAAGCTATTTCCTGCTGCATCAGGACCATTCATATATAGCGGATAACATGCAAAAGAACAGGCATCACCTGATTTGATAACTAGTACATGTTATTTTGGATGAAACTCCTGCTGGGTTCCTTTGCCTGACCAGGGCGGGAACCTGCTAACACTCTGACCCCTCACAAAGCCTCACACTACTCATCAGCTGCACTTCACAGATGCTATTTGCTCCTTTAGCTTCATACAAGCCATGCACGTCCTTAAACACGCACACCTGCGCACACTTCATCAGCACGTGTTGTTTTCACATAAGTAACACTGGTTAAGTAAGTGTTATCATCATGTAAAATAAGGGTACAGCTTTTTCTCCAGCAGTTAGTTTTAAGTTGATTTCAGGAAAGAAAAAAGAGCAGCGGCCAAATTTCAGGGTAATTAACCAGTCCGCTGACCAATCAGAGCCAGCCAATCAAGGACGAGCTAAAACGGAACATTTCCGAGAGTAGGAAGTTAAAACAAAACGATGCAAAACAAAATTAAAATAAAACAATGTAAACTTGTTCTGATCTTTAAAATATGTTTATGAAATTTTAAGGACACATAAGGATGTTTAAAATAGAAACAAATAAATTAGAATGCTAGAATATCTAAGATGTTAATATTTCAATGTAGTCACTATGGATTATTAAACAGATTAAATCCAGATTAAGATTTTATTTTTTCATCACTTGGGTTGAACCTTTTAAGTCAACTGAGTGAAACTGAGTGCATTACAGATGTTACAATATCACAGTAAAGCATTTGATAATAAACACACTAACATTTGATAATAAACACACTAACATTTGATAATAAACACACTAAACACTACTCATTAAAGTGTCAGTAAGATACACTACAGAATGTTCAGGTGAGTGAGATTAAAGGTCCAGAGCTGCATTAATTGTACTTTTGCTTCAATTTGTTCCAATTCAAATGATCCTCGTTTACCATCTGGAGCAAGTTAATGACTGGATGCAGTCAAACTTCCTCAAAGAAAAATCATAATTATCATCATCATCATCTTTCATTTATGTTTCACCTTACAGGCATGCCACCAAAGAGCTGCACAGTCACAAATGAAAACAGATAAAATCAACAAGTAAAGGTAGAATAAAATCATATAAAAGATCAGCAACATCTAACCCACAGAGTTAAAAGCCAGACCATAAAAGTGGGTCTTCAGCTTCATTTTTAAAACCGCTACAGAGCCTAACAGGTAAGGGAAGTGCGTTACACAGCTTTGGTCCTGCTACAGAAAACACCCCATCCCCTCTTGTCTTCAACAGAGCTCTAGGAGCCACAAGCAGCAACTGGCTCTCTGAGCAGAGGGCCCGAGCTGGGACATATAGCCAACCCATTCAGAGCCTTAAATGCTATTAAAAGAAGTTTGAAACTATTTCTAAAATCAACATGTACGAAGAGCAGCCAGAATTGGTGTCATGTGTTCTGAACGAGCTGCAGGTGCCCTGACTTCCACCAAACAAGACAGCATTATGGGTGAGAGGCGGAGGGCTGGGGTTGGCTTTTTGATAGCCCCAAGACTCTCTGCCTGTGTGTTGGGGTTTACTCCGGGGGACGAGAGGGTAGCTTCCCTGCGCCTTCGGGTCGGGGAACGGGTCCTGACTGTTGTTTGTGCTTATGGGCCAAATATCAGTTCAGAGTACCCACCCTTTTTGGAGTCCCTGGGACGAGTGCTAGAAAGTGCTCCATCAGGGGACTCCATTGTCCTGCAGGGGGACTTCAATGCTCACGTGGGCAATGACAGGATGACCTGGAGGGGTGTGATTGGGTGGAACGGCCCGCCTGATCTGAAATCAAGTGGTGTTTCGTTATTGGACTTCTGTGCAAGCCGCAGTTTGGCCATAACGAACACCATGTTCGAACATAAGGATGCCCATCAGTACACTTGGTACCAGGGCAGCCTAGGTCACAGGTCGATGATAGACTTTGTAGTTGTATCATCTGACCTGCGGCCGTATGTTTTGGACACCCGAGTGAAGAGAGGAGCGGAGCTGTCAACTGATCACCACCTGGTGGTGAGTTGGATCAGATGGCAGGGGAAGATGCCGCGTAGACCTGGCAGACCCAAACGCATAGTGAGGGTCTGCTGGGAACGCCTGGTAGAAGAACCTGTCAAGACGGTCTTCAACTCCCACAGGCAGAGCTTTGACCGCGTCCTGAGAGCAGTGGGGGACATTGACACCGAGTGGGCCTTGTTCCACTCTGCGATTGTCGAGGCGGCTGTTGCTAGCTGTGGTCGTAAGGTGGCCGGTGCCAGTCGTGGTGGCAATCCCCGTACCCGCTGGTGGACACCAGAGGTTCGGGGAGCCGTCAGGCTGAAGAAGGAGGCCTACAGGGCGTGGCTGGTCTGTGGGTCTCCGGAGGCAGCAGACAGGTACCGGATAGCCAAGCGGGGTGCAGCAGTGGCAGTTGCCGAGGCAAAATCTCGGGCGTAGGAGGAGTTTGGTGAGGCCATGGAGAAAGACTATCGATCGGCGCCAAAGAGGTTCTGGCAAGCTGTCGGGCGCCTCAGGAGAGGGAGGCAGCAACTCGCTCACACTGTTTACAGTGGGGATGGGGAGCTGCTGACGTCAACTGGGGCTATAGCCGGATGGTGGAAGGAATACTTTGAGGAGCTCCTCAATCCCACCTATGCGCATTCCGAGGAGGAACCAGAGCGGGGAGACCAGGGGATGGGCTGTCCAATTTCGGGGGCAGAAGTTGCTGAAGTAGTCAAACAACTACACAGCAGCGGAGCCCCGGGGGCGGATGAGATTCCTGGGTATCTCAAGGCTATGGATGTTGTAGGGCTGTCATGGCTGACACGTCTCTGCAACATTGTGTGGTCATCGGGGACAGTTCCTGTGGAGTGGCAGACCGGGGTGGCGGTCCCCATCTTTAAGAAGGGTGACCTGAGGGTGTGTTCCAACTATAGGGGGATCACACTCCTCAGCCTCCCTGGAAAGGTCTACTACAAGGTACTGGAGAGGAGGGTCCGATCGATAGTTGAATCTCAGATAGAGGAGGAGCAATGTGGTTTTCGTCCTGGCCGTGGAACTGTGGACCAGCTCTATACCCTTGCAAGGGTGATGGAGGGGGCATGGGAGTTTGCCCAACCAATCCACATGTGCTTTGTGGATTTGGAGAAGGCTTATGACCGTGTCCCCAGGGGCACCCTGTGGGGGACGCTCCAGGAGTATGGGGTGGGTGGCTTTCTGTTAAGGGCCATTCAGTCCCTTTACCAGAGGAGCGTGAGTTTGGTCCGCGTACCCGGTAGTAAGTCGGACCTGTTCCCGGTGAGGGTTGGACTCTGCCAGGGCTGCCCTTTGTCACCGGTTCTGTTCATTACCAGTGCTTTATCATCTCCATCAAATGGCAATACTCAGAGGTCTCATGTCCAGACAGGATCTTAAGAAAATCGTTCATGCGTTCATCTCCATTAGGCTGGATTACTGCAATAGTCCTTTGGCTGTTCTTGTCCAAAAAGCTGTTTAGCAACTGCAGCTTATTCAGAATGCTGCTGCTAGAGTTTTAACAAGAACCAAGAGAACAGAGCACATCGCTCCTGTTCTTAGATCTCTACACCAGTTACCAGTAAACTACATCATCAATTTCAAAGTGCTTCTAGTTTATAAATCACTCAATGACTTGGGGTCAAAATACATGTTGGATCTCTTTCCTGTATATACTGTACGTCCAGCAGCGCTCTGAGATCCTTAGGAAGCAGTCTGCTGGTAGAGCCCTGGGTCAGAACCAAACAGGGAAGCTGCTTTTAGCTGCTATGCTGCACACATATGGAATCAGACTCCTTGTTACCTAAATGTGCCCCAACTCTAATAACTTTTAAATCAAAATTGAAAACTTTGAATGAATTTATGCTGCACCTTCTGCACTGTAATTACTCAGCCTTTAACTTTGTCTTATTTCTGATTCTTACATCAAATTTTTTTTGTGTACTTAAAATGTGAAATTATAATCTGCTGTTTTATGTTGTCATGCTGATTTGAATGTTTTATGTTCTTGCTCCTGGAAAGCACATTGAGTTACTTCTTTGTATGAATTGTGCTTTATAAATAAAGCTGCCTGAAATTGCATTCTACCTGATCATAAACATTTGAGCGAGTGCCACGACCACATTTATTTAGCCTCAACTGTCGTCTTATTAAATAAATAAATAAAAATGATCCTGCACTTTGCAGGGATGTTACAGAATTTAGCTAGTAATAAAAAAATGTATTAAACAAATGAAAAATAAAATAGAATGTATTTTTTTGTAAAAATTCATAAGTTAGCATTTTTATCATTTTAATTTTCATTTTGTTTGCAATAAAATGACAGTAATGGGGAGGGAGAGGTTACCGCCAGTTACATGGTACTTTCCAATAATTAACATAAGTACTTTGTAAAAGCAAAACAAATACAAAAAAATGGATGACTTGGTAATAAATGTGTATAAGTAATTCAAACATTAATTGTAATATCTTACGGTTCTACCAGCATAATTACAATGTACACTGTTCTTTATGAGTTAAGTAAAAACATTTAAACACATGACCCATTTTATAACATCATACATAATATAAAAAGGACATTTATGAACAGTCTACCTTTGTCCAACTTTCACTCTACCTTTCCATCTGAATGATCACTTTGGACTAAAACTAAACTTCACCTTGTTGTCTCCAAGATCTTCAAGCAGCCACTGAGTGAGACTTTGCTGTTTCATGCATGACTATTAAATGACATGCCGGCACAAAACCAGTCCCCAAGACGGGTCACATATCAGGGCAGTCCATGCTTTTATCACACTGTTCACCCGTTCTGCAAATGTGACATACTCAAACACACATGGTTCAGAAAGGACACACACACACACTCACAGGAACACATTCAGACGCTGCATATGAGCAGAACTCCAGGAAATATTTCAACAGTGAGCAAATGATGGTGAACAGCGCAACCTTAAAACGAGCAAACAAAGGAGGGGAGAAAGTAAGCTAGCACCAGAGAAATTTGGGAGGGTAAGAAATAAAGAAACGAGAGAAGAAAATAAAAGAAAGATAAAGAAATCAAACTAAATCTGTTCCAAAGCCAATTATAACAGATTTAAAAAGAGTGGAGTACCAGGTGGGTGGGCTTCACTTCCATAGCTCAACACAGTCAGTGCTTCTTTTCAAAATACACTGATTTACTAGCCTGGTGAACTACACCAAACTCTTGCTTTTAAGTTTGGTCTAAAAATGATCCGTTGGAACCTCCGCGGCCCTTATCAGCTTCCTGGTGCGCCATTCAAAGCTTTCTATCGAGGTTTTTATCGGATTTTGTTTATTTAAATCCTTTATTTAGAAAAAAAATGTATTTCGCCTTCTTCAACAGTGGACTGCCTGGTTGACCGACATCTGTAGTGGGGAGTACGCCACGTTGTTCGTTGTCCACTAGCATTCAGAGATTGTTTGAAAGAGAATGGTAGAACCTGCCCCATGACCGAAAGCCATCAATAGAGCGTTCCCAAACTAAATAATATATTTATTTAGTTTGGCTTGCCAGGCTACTGATTAACATGATGTTTCAAAACAGCAGAAACCGTAAGAGAAAATCTTTCTTGACATTGGCAACTTAAGAAAAAAAGTGACTAAAAATATAGATTTGACCCAGGATTATAAAATTTGTTTAACTGTCGTGTTTAATAGGCTTAAAACAAAATGTAATTACGGATTAACATCTACTTTATGCAGGAATACATGTAAAGCTTTCGTAGACATTTGTATTTTACTAAGCAGATATGGCGCTGCTTTGTGTAAACTTTTATTTTCCAGGAACACAGAAAATAGTTGAGTCTACACTAAAAGAACACATTCACTTCTAAATACATTTGCTGTGGTCTCTAGTATTAATTAATGTTTTGTGAGTCATTGGTGGTGGACAAAAAAACTCTGGTGTTCTTTTTTCAGGAAGTAAAAGCTGGTAAGAGGGGTGTCAGGATTTAGAGTCTCACTCATTCATGTTCATGATATGCAAACATCTCGCCTCTGACAGCATCGCAACTCTTCTGCTGCCTTTGTTCGCTCTTCTTTCTTGGATGAAAAATTAGTGTTGATGTTTTATCTCCACAAATAACAAATGCCTGAAGGAGTTCTGCCATATTGTGGAGTTGCTAATGCGAACGGTTAGCTTCTACTAGCTGAGATGGGTGCTGCTCTCTCCTGGGTGCTAAATCAACAACAGCCTTTCTTGTTGCGAGTCAAGCTGGGCAAGTCCATGAATGCAAATTTAACAACGTGACATGGAGCTGTGCGGCTTTTTCTGACCAGAGCGTTCCCTCGTCTTTTTTCTATCATAGATGCAGGAAATAAGGGTTGAAGATTTTTATTCATGTTCTGCATTCATGTGAAACTTGGTGACCAATCGTGTTTCAAAAGGAACACGTATTATGCGTTATTCAATTAACCTCAACTTTAAATTTCTATTTTAGACCCCCCATTTTTTCCCTCATACATCCAACTCGAGTTATTATTTATTAAAAGGCAAAGAATAAAGGTAAATCTTATTGGTGGTGGCAGTGGTTTTATTACTAAAAAAAACCTTGATCATTCATAAGAAATAACGGGTCGATCCAAATGACTTGAATCTGTACTTGTCTCTAAATATTAACTAAAAAGTTTCCATTAAACCAAAAACTGGCTGACGATTTTGCTGACCCATCATTAATGCACATTTGGGGACTTTCTGGTGAACGTCTAACATCCTAATTGTTTCAAAGCCACCCATTTGGTAATCCAAATGCAACCCCCCAAAATATTGAAGAAAAAAAAAAAATCCATGAACAAATTTGATGCAGATCCAATTAAAAGCTAAGCAAGAAGGGAGATGGAGCCGGAAGGAGAGGTACATACACTGAGGTTATTTCCACGAGGTCTGTGTCTCCTCCGCTGCATAGCAGGCAAACACAGAAATGATACGTAGAGCAGCGTAGTGTAACGCACGCACGCACGTGCACACACACACACACACACACACACACACACACACACACACACACACACACACACACACACACACACACACACAGTATAGAGCCATGTTGAACAGAAAAACAATAGGAAATATATCAGGAAAAAAAATACAAAAAAAGTGAAATGGTACATGGGAGGGGAAAGAAATAGGAGACATACAAATTCAAGAGGTGGGGGAAGATAATAAAATTAAATCAAAGATAAACAGGAAGTGAAGGGGGAGCACAATTAGAGTGTAAGGTTTGGAGACAAGAAAAAGAGAACCCAGTTAATACAAAGAGACCAGTCCAGCAGAGACATGTGTGAGCCGTAAAACAGGACAGGTCAAAGGTCAATGCGCACATGCACGCACGCACACACACACACACACACACACACACATACACGTACAGCTTGTGTATGCAAGCAAACTGATCGTCTGGTATTCTCTCTTCTAATGAACAGTAAGCAAATAATTATATTATCTAAACCAACTTTGGACTTGTTATGAAGAAAAAACAAATCAACACAAATATAAAATGTATATTCTGCATTAGAAAACAAAGTTCAAAGTGTGTCTGTTTTTATAAAAGTTCAGCTGACTGTGAATTTGACAGCAGAAAGTTGGTTTTAAATTCCCACTCACAGTTCACACGTATGCAGGAACAACCTACAGAGATAAATCAGTGTTTTCTTCGGATATCTCAAAAGACTAGAAATGAAATTAATCATTGGTGTTTAAAACACAACACTATCCCCCCATTCATCTTAACATTATAACAGAAAACACGTCATCTTTAATCAACATACCAAAGTGAGAGTAACATGACTCAATGTGGTGAAATCTACAGTCTATGGGTGAAATGCAGGAGGATGGTCGCTTTAGTGCATGTGGATGTGCATGTGTGTGACTGCAGCCAGAGGCTTTAAACTTTGTACAAACAACAGGTTTGCTTTGGCACTAGTAACAAATATGATTTTTTTAAAAAGATCTCAATAATAAGTAAAGTGAGCTTGAATGACCTTACTTGTGGTCACCAACCTATCATAAATCCAACTGAGAAAACCTAAAGCATTAGACCCAGAACTTCCAGGTTATTTTACCAGACCTTTGCAGCATGCATGTGTCTCCTCTTAAGGGCTGGCCTGAAAGGATCACTTTCTGGGCTGTTTCAGGGAATAACTGTGTACCTGATTTGGGATAGTTACTCTGAAACTGCCCAGTATAGCCACTAGGCAAGACTTGTTAACTCATGGTGACTGATTGTAACTCAGTGGGAAATTTTCTCAGCAGATGTCGCTAAACAACCAACATTTGTAAAATTAAAAGAGTTGCTAGCGAAGCAGAATAGAAGGAAAAGAAAACACGTAGCGCTGCTTCTACTTTAAAGTCGGAGTTCCTAAACTCCCAACAGCAGAAAATGTGGCGGAATTCCCCGCACAGCGCTGCAATTCACGGTCTGCTGCAGAGTGAAATAAATACGGCGAGTCTTCTGGTCACTGAATGCTGCTTCTCACGTCACACAGCCGCTCTCCAGATCTCTGGATAGATTAAATAACAGCGTACTTATGACAGAATAAAAGTTATGTCATTAATGTCCGCAGACACCTTCTGGCACTGATCAGTGATGTCATTGACTGCCGAAACAATCGCAATATGCTGACATCACAGAGGGGCAATTTTGTACGGAGACACAACTACTGCGGACAGACCCATTGTATTTTCTCTTTTGCCTTCCTCGATGTGACTGTGATGCTTAGATGGGAAAAAAGTTACAGATTTAGCATGTTTCTAATCCACTGTTGCGATGTGAATACTTGACTTTTAGGTAAGCTACAAGCTACAATCTACATTCCTACCCTCAGCTATGGTCATGAGCTTCAGGTAGTGACCAAAACATTGTGTATCTACTTTGGAAATTTAGTGGAATCGTTAGCCTTTTGTAAACTACGATGACAAATTCATCACCTTTGGTCTTAACACTGCCTGAAGGTGAGTACTTTCATCATTACCTAAACTTTAGTAGACCAGGAAGTGTTCTAGCTTTTATTAACTTTTGTTTATAAACTTGGACAAATCAGAATTTGACCCGTTTAAAGAGCATTATCAAAATACTGCAGAAATCACGCCTTCCCTCAGATACTCAGAGGTTAACTCTTAGTGTGAAGTGGAAACGTTTTTTACACATTTATGTGAAGTGAATATTAAAACCTTAATATTATTCTTATGATGTATGAGTGTACTGACAGATTAACTTGTTAAATCAACAAATATTGACCTGGTGTAGTTTAAGATTTGAAATGATTCATTGCAGGAAGACTATTCATTTTAGCTCATCACTGATTAATGCACAGATTATTCAAACACTTTGGGATTTAACAAGAGATGACTATTTGACACTTATGCAATTATCAAGTTTTAAAAAGTCATTTATGATTCAAGAAAGATGAACTTTATTCAGAGTGAAAGTCTCGCCTTCTGCATGAATTTTGTTCCAGCCAAGATAAGGAAAGCACTTCTATGGCTAACGTATTTGGTTGCACATCGTAGAACCTTGCTTTTCTTGTTTGGAGGCCAGACAGATGTGATGTGTCCCTGCATGTGTGACACAGTTTGCATCTGCAAATTAAAAGTTAATTTCTGGTCATTTTTGATGTGAATACTTGACCTTTAGGTAAGCTACAATCTTCATTCCTACCCTCAGCTATGGTCATGAGCTTCAGGTAGTGACCAAAAGAATGAGTTCAAGCGGCCGAAATGAATAAGCTCCATATTGTATCCAGGCTCTCGCTTAGAGATAGGGTAAGAAGCTTTGTCATCCGGGAGGGGCTCAGAGTAGATCTGCTGCTCCTCCACATTGAGAGAAGCCAGTTGAGGTGGCTCGGGCATCTGATTGATCCGGGCGTACACTTATAATTTTTCTGACCGTTCTGAGCCGATTTTCCTCTCGTGCGAGAATCTTTGAGGTTGGGGCGACTTTTGCGTTGTGTGACATGTAGTATACAAGGGATAACGAGAGGCAATTAACACCTCATGATCAGCTTCCGATCAGCAATCGTTGCACGAAATTCAAACATTTGATATTTTGCCCAACGCTTGTGAGGTTATTGAACATCGCTCTGACCCAAAGGTACCAGAACCGCCAGCACAGCGCAAGTGTCAGAACGACTCAACTGCTTTTTCGTATCAAAGCATGTCATTTATTTTTATTTTTACACTTTTCTTTGCACCCAATCACAAGGAATGTTAAGAAAATGTGATTTCCATGTTCATGTTTTTTTTTGGTGTTTTTTTTATTTGCAATTTATCGCAACGCAAACTTTTTGTAGTTCATTATAATTCACGGTTAGCCTTCTAATCAACTCAAAGCATTGACATTCGGTTAGTTTTCAACATTTGCCTTTTGTAGTTCATTGTACCAGTTTTTACTGCCTTAGTTTTAGTCTCCTTACATCTTTGGCTTAGTAATTCCTGGCTGACCACATTTAGTTCTCTTCACAATGTGTAACTGATATTATTTTAATTTTCTAGTTTGAGTCATTTTTATGTAATAACATTGTTCAGTTTGTGTTTGTTTTGTCTGTCTCTATTGCTGTAAAGCACACTGCGTTGCCTTTGTGCAGGAAATGTGCATTATAAGTAAAGCTGTCTTGTCTAAATATGGCACATGTTTATGTGTAGAATGCTTACAATTGTGGGACATGAAGGTTGAATATGAAACACGAACACCCTAGTGACATCTAGTGTGTGGAGGTTGTAAGTGCAGCAATCGAACAAGGTTTCCAGCCACTGGGATACCAGGTTTGCTGCCGATACATGAAGTGACCAGCCAGCACCATGTCCAGTGACCAATCATATAGGGTAAGGACTCATTTAGACTAATACTTTTATTTTACAACAGTATTTAACGTCAGAACATCTTCCGGCCTCAGAACCAGCTGCTTGACTTGTCGAGTCCGCCATTTTCCACAACGCCAGCCTTGCTGCGCCAAGCGGACTGTTTGGCAACCCGCAAAGGTGCTCTCTATTGTGTGGTAGATGTGAACATAAACAGTGTCGTGCCTGTCAACATAAATATTTCATTATTTTTTAATTAAAACATTTCTTTGAAAGGAAATACTGTAATGCTATTCTGCACACCTCCAAATGCCCAGTGTTTTTTAATAAAACTGGTCCATATTAAACCTTTAAGTGAAATTCTGTTGAGGTTTTAGGTCATATTTGGACAGAAATGTAGGAAAGTGCAAGCAACAGCTATAACAAGTGTTAGATTTGTTCTTTGCATAATTGTATTCCAGCGAGTAATTCCTCTGCTCAGTATTACTCTATTGCTCTTTTTACAAGAGAGTAAATGAAACTGCTGCAAGAGGCTTTTATCTACGCATTAAAAAATTAGCTAACTTGAATTGGTACGGATCAAACAGAGTGCTGAGTGAGCATCAGGCTTGCAAAGATTTATGCGGGAGATTTTCAACAAGTGATGCCAATAAATCAGAGAATCAAACGTAGCATTAGAGCAGTAGTGCTGTTGCTTTGCACTGAGAAAATATTAGTTTGCATATTTACTCAGCGCCGTTTTCTGCTGAGTCAGTGGCAGGCTGTTCCTGCTCCACTTTGATGGATGTCTCTCTCTCTTTCTTTCTCTCATTCCATTCAGAATATATCTAAGTTTAAGGTATTTTTTATTTGACATTAGATGTTTGCTTTTTTGCAGAAACCTTCAAAAACATCTTGTGTCGCTTAGTTGTTATTTTCTTAACTGAATTCTGACATTACCTCTGGCTACAGTTTACACAGGACAGACACACCAAGGATTTAATGGGAATGAATTAAAACAGGGAAGGGATAGAACATGAAAACACATTTACTAGATCAGTAAATAGTTTGGACTCAGGCTATTTCAAGCAAACATTGCTTCGAAAAGTTGGTTCCCAAAGTTGTTTGGGCAGTTTTTAGGTCTTCTGAATGCTGCTCTGATCGAAATATCCCACCTGTGATGCTCACAGAGGATTTCACTTGAACGTGAGCAGCAGAAGGAGGAATGGAGGTTAGAAATGTGTCAGTGAGGGATCATGACAGATGAGGGGAAGGGTGATCAGGCAACAGGAAGTAGATTTACAAATCTCCTTCTAACGAGCTGCATCCTGAATAATGTTTGACTTTCAGGATACTAAAGCTATGCTTATTACATGCCAATTAAATATTTTGTGACTAAAATTAAATTCATGTACCAAAATATTTTATACTAATCAATCAATAACTCAATCAATCAATTAAACCTATATCTCCCTAGGAGTGCAACTACAACGCAGAAAGCTAAAATAAGCTAAGATCAATTTAATTAAATGAAAAAAGAGTAAAAACTTGTTTTTAGTTGGTAAATATACGAGTTAAAATATAAAAAACATTTGAAAAATCATACCCCCCCCCCCCCCCCCACACACACACACCAAAAAAAAAAAAAAAACTAATTTCTAAACATTCTAAACCCTAAAATATTAAAGCTTTGGCTTTGATTGTTTGTTTTTGGATGCAAACAAAGATTTTGTCAATTAACTTCAGCTGTTGTCGGAGTGAACAGGTGTTACAACACAGAGTGATGAAGGTGATACATGAAAGTGATGACAGTGGGATGAATGTGCTCACTTGGTTGTCTGCCGAGAGGCGGGGCATGGAAAGGGTCCGCCCATGCCCATCCATTGGGTGATAGGGCTCAGTGTCGGAGTACCCGTCCCGCCCCAACTCCCTCATCTCTACAGTCTGTAAAACACAATGAGAGGGGGGGCGTGACCACCGTCTGCTGAGGGAGTGGACACGGACATGCTACGGGGTCGCTGGCCAACCAAGGAAGGGAGTCAAATGAAACCAAAACAGGTGTGAACACACTTTCAATCTTATTTTGATAGAAAGTTAGACAAAAATAAAAATAATTTATGCAACAAAAAGTTGCATAAATCAGCTGTTGCATTTTTTATAAATAGGTGTAAATCTGTTAAACTTTAATGGGTACTGTTTTAAGGTGCAATAAGCAAGAATGACATCATGTGGTCAAATTTAGGTACTGCAGACCATGTATCAAAACAAATGAGTCTACTCCATCGACATACATATATGGACAATGGGTTTCCATAGACTCCAATAACACGTTTTTGTGCTAAAATGGGAGGTGGCCACCACCGCCATTTTGACCGTGTCACAGGTTCCGTCAAGCCCAGACAATTCCATAAAAAGGAAGAGAGGTGGAGCTGAGGGTGTGGCTGTAAGGCTGGGATCAACTGAAGACACCCAGTCGAACTAGCTCCAAGCTAACCTGAAGCTAACACAAATCTAATGCGGAGGTGGGAGCTAAGCTAACGGACGTAGCAACCTAGCTACAACCGGAGTTAACTGTGCACAACAGCAGAGCTTCTGAGTCAGAGATACGCTGGGCTGACTGCTGGGTAAAACCGGGAGGAACACAGAGGTCTCCCGAGAGCTCCACAAGCCGGCAGCCGCACAGCAGACAAGCGCCGCTGCGATCTGAGATGCGCAGAGCTGCCGCTGAGGAGAACAGGGTGGAAAGGTTTCCATCCCAGAGCTCCACAAGCTGACAGCCCGCGCAGCACACATTAGCCGCGATCAGACAGAGATGCGACGAGCTGTGGGGAGGGGAGAAACGGGTGGTAAACATCGGTCTCCCGAGAGCTCCACAAGCCGATAGTCGGAACCCAGCTCCACCAACATGTTATATTTCAACCCATTTTCTAAAGTGCAGCATTATGTTAAATGCACTGGGTTTTACCCTATTACATTTAAATTTCATGGTTAAACAGTACATGTTCAAATCTAAGCCCAGCTCGGCATTGACCTAAAATACATAAATATAATTTTACTTACCAAAAAAAAAATGAAGTGGAGACTCCTTGGACGCTCTATTAGTGCAATTAATGCCACAGCAAGCCATTTTGTCCAACAATTGCACAAATAATATCCAAAAAAGAACGCACAAACACGGAGACTCAAAATCCCGGAACAGTTTCCAAGCCAGACCGAGGCTCTACTGAGGCCTTTCCACGGAGCTAGTTCTGTGGTCACGTGGGTCTGATGCTCATTAATTATACAGAATTTTAGGCTTTTAATACACTTAAAATTCACCCCCCTCAGAGTTGTCATGAGTGTAAACTAGATCATTTAAACAAAAAACATGTTCTGGTACCAGGCTGTAAACATGTTTATTTCTGTTGTGAAATTGGTATTTTTAACATGGGAGTCAATGAGGATTTGCTCACTTCTGACACCAGCCCCTAGTGGATGAGGGTGGAACTGCAATTTGTGGTACTTCCGGGTTGGAGTCAATTTTTGAGCCGCATTGTGGGGGCTTGGTCTACTCTCACCTTTTTTCTAACTTGCTGTTTGCATTGTTAACTCAACATTAGCCTCCAGACTTCTTTACCTGATTTTAGAGTAAAACAGAACTGTTTAACTTTATTTTGCTTCTCGGCTGCTCCTTTCACTGGCTTCCATTTTTCCACAATGCGGCTGCCCTTTGCTGGTCGGTGTCGAATTACAAATGCTAGCAAAACAATTGGCAGCCCCGCAGGCTCACATGTGATTGGCTTTGGAACCAGGAAGTATGGAGCCAGGACAGATTGTAAACAGAGACTACGTCCCTCTTTGGCTTTTTTATATGGAGAAAACCTGGCCACCCCAGACGGCTGAGAAGGAAATCTGTTTCGACGTAACCTTCCTTCCCACATGATTGAGACATTAGACTGTTTTATGATTATTTCATAGAAAAAGTTCTTACATATTGCACCGTTAATAACTTGTATTCTTATTTTAAGATAGTGTATCAAACTGTCAAATAGTCCAAATCTTGATTACTTTGATAACCATGTTTGGAACAACTTCTACATTTGAAAGCTCTCAACTTAATGATTCAATTTGGGTGATACACTTTCAGATATAAAACTTTAAAGGTATCACTTTTAAATCCACATTTCATATTTGTGAATTTGTGACGGAGTCCCCTATAGAGATGAAGCACTGGGGAGTCGGGGCGTCCCAACAGACAAGTGTAATTAAAGGGAGGGGAAGAGGAGCAGGTGCACATCACAAAACAAATCCACCAAATCCAAGCCACCGACTCAAAAAGAGACTGAGCAGGGAAGACCGAGGAACAGGTGAACGAAAAGATTAAAGAAAAAATGGAGACAGACTTTGAGCAGGGAGAGGATGAAAGGGAAACAAAAGGATGGAACAGTTTCCTTTTTAAAGAGAAGAAATTCTGAAGCGATTTATTGGAGTTTGCTGAGAGAATGGACCAACAAAATTATGAAGTTTGTAAAAGAATAAAACTGAAAGGTTTTGCAGAGTATGACAGAAATTGTAAAATTACTTTTCAACCCTTTACCTAACCTCTTGGTGCAGTTTCGTTGATATTTGCTGTATAGCTTGTTGTAAATTTGTTGCAACAGCAATAATTTTGAGCAGTGCCCTCCATTAGCTTCCTAAGTAATTCCTACGAAGTAGTTAAGAGTGACAGATCAAAAGCAATAGAAAAACTCTCTGCCTGTTACTATGGCGACAGCCTTCTGAGACGCATCCTACCTGGGGGTTGTGGCGGTTCTCGTAGAGGTCATCGGGGTACGCTCTGTCAGGGCTCCAGTTACCCGTCTTTTGGAACATTTCCTGGGCTTTGGCTGTCATCCATGATTGACTCTCAGTCATCCCACCTTCTGGAGGTCTGACACACACACACACACACACACACACACACACACACCCACACACACACACACACACACACACACACACACACACACACACACACACACACACACACACACACGCATGCACACACGCATGCACGCACGCACGCACACACACACACACACACACATGCACAAATTAAACTGAATATCAAAAACTGCTTCAGTAATAGTTTTGATTAGTTTCATACCCATTAAATAGTTTTGAGAGATGTGATTAAAGGTGTGGATTACTCATTTAATACATTTGCAGTGGTCTCTAAGAGGAATGAATGCCTTGCAGACAGAACTCAGGGCACAAATAAGCCCACAAACCACTGGCTCAGCACGACCAGTCTGCAACATCAGGGCTGTGCTTCAAATGGGAGGATTTAGAGTCCCCTGATTTGTAGACATCTTGCCTCTGATTGGATAACAGCAAGGCAACTCTACCACCAACTGTTCGGGAACATGGATGTTTTATCTCCACAAAGAACAAGCCTGGAGGAGCTTCTGCCGTGTGTTTGAGTTGCTAATGCTAGCAGTTAACTTCTGTTGAATGAGACATTCTGTGCTGATTCTGGACGTTAAAACAACAACAGCCTTTCCTTTTGCGAGTCAATATGGGTACGTTCAATTCACAGCGTGACATAGAGTGGTCAGGCTTTTCAAATCCTAGAGTTTCTCCGTCTATTTTCTATCAGAAGCTAATGCAGGAGATAGGTGTAGGAGACTATTTTCATGTTCAGCCTGCAATAAAAACTCAGTGACTGATTATAATCAGAAACTAAAAACATTTCAGTCAACCACACCTTTAATATAACTGTTATATAAAATGGTAATTCTCTGAGAAAAACAGCTTTTTAAAGCAAATAAAAATAAACAATTATGATGATGAAACTTTTTTTTAAGTTTAATGTGGTTTACAAAATCAGATTAGGTCGGCCAGTTTCATCTACTCACATGCTGTTGATGTTGTCTGGCTGGGTGTTGGGGAGGCCGTTCTGGCTCTGCCCTACCTGGCCCTCTGTGCCCCCTCCCTCAGGGGGCGGCTCCATGCGCTGAAACATTAATGGCGTTCGGTTCTGTGTGAGATACATGACATGGCCTGCAGGCTTGCATCAGGCACACTCAGGGGGGCCACATAGGACACAAACACAGGATGCACTCGCAGCATGCACCCACACGGGGGCGCCATCAGCAAACACATGGCTGTAGATTTCCATGGTAAAGTTCTGAACAGGATCACTGATCTGGATCTTCCTCACTGCCCTGAGTTGATTATGCCTTTTGCAGCATCTAATTTTGAGTTTTCAGGGAGGGAGTTGATCTCAGATCTGTGTCAGAGTGCAGCTTCTGCTTTAGGAATTTAAATTAAGATTATTCCTAATTCCCATATAATGGAGCATTTTGTCATATCAAGAAAACAATGACATAAAATAGACATTTTACTCAAAAGTATATGGAGAAGTCCAGCGAGCTGCCAAACCTTTTGAGTAACATGTCATTTAGTGGCAGATGAACATCTGATTCTGAACCAGTTGCATTAAAAAGAAAACTCTGCTTCAATCAGACATGTTGCAGATCAAGCAGCCTCCAAAAGGTGGGACTGAAATATAGAACGGCACGATACAAAGGCTGCATGACCTCTTCCTTCTGAAACAAACCAGCATAAACTAAACATCTGACTACCTACGAAGCAGAAAAAGAATCCTAAAGCCTAAGTTATACTTCTCCGTCAGCTTGAATGTAAAATTGCCCACAGGCATTGGTGGAGATCACCTGGGGACAGGACAGCAGAGGGTGTAGCGCTTTTCTGGGGTATCCTGCCACCGTTCCAGTCACGTATCCGGTCCAAGATAGTGTTTTTCCTATAGTGTTTACATTGTTTAATGTATTTCAGAGACTCTTGTAACACGGGCAAATTTGTCCCTTATTCTTTTCCAACTCTTCATAAGATCGGCACATCTAAACCCACGTTTCTCGTCATTCCAATCCACGAATAAAATGCTTGCTCTGCATCTTTGTACTTTTTCAGTCACGGGTGAATAAATGTTCATGTTTTCAGACGCTTTTCTGCAAGGCGTTCTTCACTCTGTTCTGTGTCTGCTGCTTAATATTTTTTTTACTTTTTGAGGGCAATGGCGGTACTGTTGACAATTTTAAAGGAAGCAGAGTCCTGACCAATCACAAGCTTGTGGTCTCCGTCACTTTTGACTGATGGGCATGTTCCCGGCCGTCAGCCTCTGCGGGCCCGTCGGAGAGCCCTTGAGCCCTCACATAATGGAGCTGCGTGTCTCCCTACCGACGCAGAAGGGGATTCATAAATTAGGCTTAAGTTCAGTTAACCATATATTCTCTTCTGCTTCATCAAATGATAACCACTGAGCGCAGGTTTAAGAAGTCAGATGTTTGAACAGCCTGGTCCAATTTATCCTGCTTAACTGGTCTAGAACTACAGAAGAACAAGAGATGGAAGGTAAAAAAACACCAAACACTGACACCAGCTCTAATGCTTAGTATGTGGGTTGAATTTAGGGTCCAGGAGTGACTCGGAAAGCCACTTGTCACAAGAATCTCTACTCAGTACCTCACCAATAACCACCACAAACATTTACAGACACAAAGATGGGAGAAGATTGGTCTTGGTTGTAGCAGTTGCAGGTGAAAATCAGCCTGGACTGACTAAGAGTATGATGAGTGAAGGTTTTATCTCCTCCCCCAAAGGAAAAACCGAGTATCGGAAGGGAAGAGATGGGATGGGAGACACGTAACGGACTGCACACTTCAAAACAGAAAAAGAGAAGACTGTCAGACAGAACACACAAAGGAAAATGCTTATCATGCATAGAGCAAACATCAGAGAAGACAGCTGTGATCTGACAAAAGGGATGCATCGCGTGAGAGGGAATGGAGTCAAACAAACACAAGTGCAACAAATGAAAGGTGAAGGAAAGAATCCATTCTTGGTTTGGTTACTTCTTCTAAAAGATGCATCTTTCAAGTGTATTCCCTTTTTCTGCTGGAAGTTTGCAATGGAGCAACCTAAACCAGCACTGAAGTTACAGATTTCTCTACGACCTTTAAACAGTTTAAAAGTCCTTCTGCATTTCCAACAGGCGAGTAGAATTTAGGAGACACTTTTAAAAGACACAACAGCTCAAAACTGATGAAGAGTTGGCTAAGTTTCTTTATACCGAGTCATTAATTGTATTTCAGAGAATTGTAACCCTAATATAATACTGCAGATAATTGTTGTATGCTGCATTTACCACAGCCTTATATGGAGCTAGCATGAATGCTAACTCAACCTGCATTGAATTAATGTTTGTCAGTAAACTTCAAGCTAACTGGAAGATGAGGGTGTTTGTGTATTGGAGCTAAGTGATTAGTGTAGCGCAGGGATTCCCAAAGTGTGGTGCGTGCACCCCTGGGGGTGCGCGAGCTGCCGCTAGAGGGTGCGCGAGGTGAAAAGTGTAATGGCTGCTGAGCTCAGAGAAGTCTGTCATATGTCACCATTAGCGTAGCCAGAAACTCATTTGTGGGTGGGCCTAAGAAAAAGTAAGTGGGCACAATAAATGTCATTGAAAACAAGTATATTTTTGCGCGCGCGTGTGTGTGTGTGTGTGTGTGTGTGTGTGTGTGTGTGTCCTCCACATGTGCCCTAGCTTCATAATAACAATGCGCCGAGCTTCAGCACTCTGGCCGGCGCACGCCGATATGTTCCGTATTTGATCATTTTTAACGATGTTGGAGGAATCTGAAGGTGGCGAGTCATTCTGGCAGATTGTAATTAACACCTGTCTCATGCAGGTGTTCTGACGTTGTAAACCTCACACACAGAACATTGTGGATGTAACTAAATAAATCAAGAAATGATTCCCATTCAGGCTATTAACAGCGCGCTGAAGATCTGAAGTTCAGAGTGCGTCTGTCAGAGGTCAGACGCGTTCTGGCTGAACCACGGCTCACGGGTGCACAAGTGAGCACATCTGGGCTGGGCAGAAGTCATTTTACAACGTTGGTTTAAATAGCGCCGATAACGAGACGTGGGGACTGGAGCGGCTCATGGAGCACACACACACACACACACACACACACACACACACACACACACACACACACACAGACACACACACACACACACACACACACACACACACACACACACACACACACAGACACACACAGACACACACACACACAGATTCAATAAGCGCACACGCACGCTGCGCAAACTCCGGCGCGCCGTCAGACTGAAGACAGAAATGAGCGCTGCCTCCTCCGTGATAAAAACTTTTAAGAGGTTTTAAAACATTTTTCATTCCAGGTCAAATTAAGATATTAGCTTCTATTTTGGGATGACGTATTAAAGTCGGGTCCGCTCCAGCCAGTGACTCCTCATGAACCTGACCACAACTCCTGCTACTGCAGCATTTGTTATTCCAGTCCGTGTGGCAGCGGATCGCAGATTCACACCATAAAACAGCAATAAGTCGGTCTGAGGCAACAGTGAACCTCATGGCTATAGCTTTTCCATCTTTTCCCCTATAGACATTTGATTACGCACAAGTAGGTGACCAGTTCAGGTTTACGCAGAGCAGAAGGAAGGAGAGCGCTCTGGCCGCACAGGTTAAACGTTCCTACTTTAAGAAAACTGTTAAATTGCATTGTTTATGTGCTACCTGGGCTCTCTAAATATTTATTTAAAATTAAATCAAAGGAAATTGCAATGGTATCGAATGTTTATTAATTACTATTTAAAAAAATGAAAGTGATGGGGAAAAAGGTCGATCATATTTTTTTAACCCTGTCTGTTTAGCTGGACGTCTGTCCACCCCGCTTTTCCTGCATAAATGTGGTAAGAGGCGTGGCTTTCAGCTCCTTCCAGAAGTGGAGGAAGAACAGGTGCAGGAGCTATAGTTGTTTAGCTATTAAAATCTTTCTCTCCTTGATGATGTAATGCAAAAGACCACAGCTTTAAAGTTAGAATATGCAATATTTTAATAAAAAAGCTTTATTAAAAAATATCTCCACAGGGCATTCAGAATGAATGTAAAGTTTCTCCTTTAAAAGCCATTCTTGAAAAGATAAATACTAAAACTTTTATTCTGTCGGGCACGACACAGTTTGTTTACCTCTACCAGCCACTAGAGGACACTGTTGTGCTAAAAAGTCTGCTGAGCAAGGCAAGGTTGTAAAATGATGGACTTGACAAGTCAAGCAGCTGATTCTGAGCCCAGAAGATGTTCTAACTGTAAATAATGTAGTAAAATATACGTATTATTAGAAATTAGTATTGCCCTGTTTGATTTGTTTCTGAACATGGTGCTGGAACTTGTCAACAGTGAACCAACATCCCAACGGCTGAAAAATTAGTTCTGTTGTTGCAATACCACCTCTGAACACCAGAGTTCGCCAGAGTGTCCACCAGTGTCAGTGTTACATATTCAACCTTTAAAGACATTTCCTAAGGTTGAAAAATTACCTGAGAATTTGTACATTTTAGGTGATTAACTCACATTGCCTAAAATCCAACCCCGATATACTAGAAAGACACAAAAAAAAACTAATTACCATTGACCGAAATCTATTAAATAGGCATCTAGGCCAATAATATAATGTTTTGAGTGGATTCATTCCTTAAAGTAAGAGAAAAAGAAAATCCATCACATTGAAAACATGAAACATGAAGTGAGGATGAAACGACGACCGGACAAGCACAAGAATCTCAAACTAGAGTCCAAATGCACTGCTGATTTTGAAGGAGTCTTTTCAGTCCTTAGTAATAAATGCCATTCTCAACCACACCAACTCCGCATTTACACCGCAAACTCTGGACCGTAAAATGAAACAAACATACTCTCCATTCTCCAATGGGATGCTTTTTTCTGCAAATGCCAAAATTCCACTTAGCCAATTTCATTTTTGATGTTTAAAGACAACTAGGACTTGTTGGCGGGAGGCCTTAAGAGTGGAGAGATGTTTCCAAACATCCACAGAGTGTACTGAAATCATAGAAACGGTGGGAGCAAGTGCATCATACAGGCAGTCACTAAAGGGAGGGGAGGAGCACTGACAATGAGCAAAAGGTAAGGCCATGTGGTATCATCATCAAACATTATCCACGCAGAAAACAGCTGAGAAACCATCAACCTCTTGCAATTTATTAAAAGAAAACCAAAGAGAGAAACTATAGATGCATGAAAAAGCAAGGATAGCCTCTATTTAGGAAAGGAGGGAATTGTTCTTTGCAAGTTTTAGCCAAAGCTAGCAACAAGGTGCTCTCAAGATTTTTATGGGCGCGTGCTTAGAACATGAGCATTTGTAGAAAAGAAATTAAACACTCGCTTGTGTCAAATTCATATTTAGCAAAAAAATAATAAAGCACAATTCAGTCAGGATAGCTGAATGGAAGAAGTATTCTGATAAGGCTGCTTGGAAAACAAATAGAATAAATAAAATAAAATAAAACGTTTGTGCATTTTGAGATTTCCCTGGGATGCTTGTACGGAGTCTACCTGTTCTTCCCGCAGGGCCTGCAGCTTTTTTGTCTTGCTCTGGCGGTAGTATTCCATGATCATCATTGCAGCGTAGATTTTGCCAACCGTCAAGTCTGTGGCTGCTGAAAAAATGACAAGTTACCCTGGAAGATTAGACCCGAGTGAGATGGGACCCTGAGCCATGGAAACACAGAGAAATAGACAGTAGCATGCAGAACACACCAGCAATCAGGTCAGTAACGGTTAATATTTTATCTTTAGTGTCAGGAATTGTTCATCTGCCAGCAGATGTTCAGCTTTACAGCATTTGTGGTTTGTGATAGACTTTTGTCATCTAAAAGAACTCAAACCTTAGATTTTATAGTCGTGGATTTTTACACTCCTACTCTTGACCAGATCCTCATCGTTAATGAGAATGTGCTCTAAATCGACTCATCTGATTAAATAAAAGCTAAATAAAAAGAGTTCAATTACATAGCATCACATAACATGGAACTAGCTGAAGAACAAGGTTTCATTAAAGGTGTGGAACACTCAATGGGTATTTCTCAATGTCAAGGAACCTTGCCTTGATGTCTTGGCCCCGCCCCGGTTGCCTAGGAGATACATCATCAGGAGCCGTCAAGGCGTGTTCCAGTCGGTTCCAATGTTCATGTTCTACCGAGGCGTGTGTTCTCCATTTGTTAGCCTTTTAGCTAGCTGAGCAAGGACACACGGGAGGTGTCTTGTAGCCTAGCCTTGGCCAAAAACTACCCACAATACACCATGGTATTTTCAAAAAGACGCCGGATTAGAAGCCGGCAGCTACTTCGGGGACAATTTTCAAGTTTAAAAGTAAGTCAGCTACTTTAAAATGTATTTTTTAGATCCAAATAAGTTATCCATTGTTGGCTAGTTGCTTAGTAGTTGCAGCTTCGGTGGCTAGTGGGTAGTAACTTACTTATATTTTTAATTTAATAAACATATTTACAATTTAAAAGGTAAAGGCTCGTTATATATTTAGATTGAAACTAATACATACAAAATATAACGTTATCTCCCGTGTCACGTGACATTACGTGACCGCCGTGGAAGCCGCGGCCATGTGATGCAAGTCTGTTCCGTTGACATCTTACCCTCATCTTTGTTTAAAAGTGCTTTTCAGTCCATCGGTCCCAGCGTGCTCTCTATAATTAATGCTTCTCTGGTCTCTGGTCAGGTCCCTGCTTACTTTAAGAACGCTGTAATCCACCCGCTTCTTAAAAAACCGAGTCTCGACCCCTCTCTCCATAGCAGCTTCAGACCCATCTCTAAACTTCCGTTCATCTCCAAGATCTTGGAAAAGGTTGTGGCTAAACAACTCACAGCTGCTCTTGATGAACATAACATCTATGATAGCTTCCAGTCAGGTTTTCGTAGAGCTCATTCTACTGAAACAGCTCTTCTTAGGGTCTCTAATGACCTTCTGACTCACAGAGATGCAGGGGACTGTTCTGTTCTGGTCCTGCTGGACCTGACTGCAGCCTTTGACACTGTTGACCATCACCTGCTACTGGAGAGGCTGAGAGACTGGGTCGGCGTATCAGGATCTGCTCTGGAGTGGTTCTCCTCTTATCTCTCTGAGTGCTCCTTTTCTGTGGCCGTCTCCAAGTTTAGGTCCTCCACCACCTCTCTTACCCATGGTGTCCCACAAGGTTCTGTGCTGGGGCCTCTGCTCTTCCTCCTCTATCTGCTTCCTCTCCAGCACATCCTGAGCTCCTTCAAAGGAATCTCCTACCATCTTTATGCAGATGACATCCAACTGTACATCTCCTTTAAGCCCCATGAGATGTCTAAGCTGCAGCTGTTACACACCTGCTTAGACTCTATCAAAACCTGGATGGTGGGAGCTTTCTTCAGCTGAATGAAGATAAGACTGAGATCCTCATCTGTGCCCCAGACAAGCTGGTTCCCAAAGTCAGAGACTCTCTTGGTCAGCTTGCTTCTCACACCAAACCTTCTGTCAGGAATCTTGGTGTGACCTTTGACCCAGCTCTCACCCTGGATTCTCATGTCAGTTCTCTTGTTCGCTCTTCCTTCTTCCATCTCAGGAACGTTGCTAAGCTGAGTCCCATTCTGTCCCGCTCTGAACTTGAGACAGTTCTCCACACCTTCATCTCCTCACGCTTAGACTACTGTAACTCTCTTTTCACGTGTCTGAGCAGAACCTCCCTGAACCGTCTACAGGTGGTTCAGAACGCCTGTGCTCGGCTTCTGACCAAGTCCTCCAAACACACCCACATCACCCCGCTTCTCCTCCAGCTTCACTGGCTGCCAGTCAACTTCAGGGTTCATTTCAAGATCCTGGTTCTGGTCTATAGGGCCTTACATGGACAAGCACCATCTTACATTGGTGATCTTCTTAGTCCCTACACCCCCAGCAGGTCCCTGAGGTCCAGTGATCAAAGCCTACTGGTTGTGCAGCGCACCAGGCTAAAGGTCAAAGGTGACAGATCATCTGCTGCTGTGGCCCCCAGACTCTGGACCTCTCTCCCCCTGAGCCTGAGATCAGTGGACTCAGTGGTCTCCTTTAAAAAGCAGCTGAAGACTCACCTGTTCAAGCTGGCTTTTGTATGACCTTCTTCACCTCTCTCTCTTTATTCTGCTCTCCCCACCTATTCCACCTTCCTCAGGATCCACTGGTTTCCCTCTTTCCTGTTCACTCTCTCTCTTTCTTAAATTTTTTATCACAATTGTCTATTTTTGCTAATTTTAAATATATTTTTAAACATTTTCTAAAAGCTTTTTTATGTTTTTACATTTTTTGTTTATTAATGATTTTTATCTTGAGAGGCACTATAGAAATTATATTTTCTTCTTCTTCTTCTTCTTCTTCTTCTTCTTCTTCTTCTTCTTCTTCTTCTTCTTCTTCTTCTTCAACTGTTTTCTTTGACCAAGGAAGGACAGTGTCCTTGCAAGCAATGCGTCTGGCCTCGCAAGACATCGCCTCGCAAGGCAAGGCGCCTTGACATTGAGAATCACTCCAAATTTGCAGTGGTCTCTAGTAGGAATGAAAGCCTTGCAAGTCGTACTCTGGGGGAAAACAGCTCCAGTGTTCCATTTTCAGGAACTAGAAGTGAGCCACATCAGAGAGCTTGTGACAGCAGGATTTGGAGTCTTATTTTCTGATATTTGGACATCTCACCTCTGATTGGCTAACAGCAATGCAACTCTACCACAAACTCCATTTACTTTGCAACATGGATGTTCTATCTCCACAAATGACACAAGCCTGGAGGAAATTTTGCTATGTGGTGGCACTCAATGTTAAATCTTCCTCTTTTGTTTGTTCTTTTTTAACCAGTTTGGTGTCAAAAAGATCAGACTTTCTAATTATAAATCTACAATGACACAAAGCCATGACTTGTTTTTTGACCGCCTGTTTTTCTTGTGAACACATTTAGATAATCTGTTTTTGTGGTCTGTAGATTTGACTGACCAGAGCTCATAATTGATTTTGAGAATCTGGATTGTTTTGAATTCTACAGACATAACTCATCGATTGCTGTCAAGGTTTATCAAATATATTTAAAACAATTTCTAAGAAGAGCACAAAAACATTTTATTGTTGGTCCAAACTGAATTGTTTTGATTTCATTTGTGTAAAGATGTCACAGATCAAAGACCAAAGCTGAAAAGTTGATGTAATTTCTGTCTGAACAATGTTATGATTGTTGGTGAGAAAGCCAAAAGGTGTGGGTTAAATCCATTAAAGGGACAGAGGTGTGCATGTACACTAATAACAGAACTCTCTGTGTTTAGATTCCTTGAAACCATGTAAAAATAACTATAAAGCATTCACTTAAAACACTAGAAAATGTTGAGGTTTGAGTTGTTTGAGACCTTTTGTCAAGAGAATTTTCCCCTGATGCCCTAAACTGAAATTTCTGACTGCTATCTGCTGCAAGTAAAGCATGAATTTCTCAAAGCCTGATTCACACGGCAAGATTTTTGAAAAGTCTGCCGATTTTCTAAGCATGAGATCACACACGTGGTGATAAATAATCACAGATGCACCCGTTTTGGTCCTACAGAGTGTGGTGTGCAGCAACTCGACATATACTAAACATTCTCAGACGGGAAATCTCGGGGAACAAAAAACAACTTAAAAGTAAACAGGCAAGGCAGAGGAGGAGCATGCTGCATGCTTCTGTCACCTCATGTTCTGACTGGTTAACATTACGTTCAACAAGCTGCACCTTCATTTTGTCCTGACTTCAAAAATCCAACATGTTTGAAAGCCTGGATTCATGATCGGAGAGGTCCCGACATCCGTACGAACAGACCAGAGTGCTCATAACACACCACACAAGGTAGGATTATCTAATAAGATTATCTTAAAGGCCATTATGGTAATCGCACACGTCCTTACGATTGTTGGAAGGGGAGGAGCAGGACAAATATAGGCATGTTTATCCTGCCATGTCAACCAGGCTTCAGAAGTCCTGCGTACTCAAAAGTAAAAAAAAAAATCATCAAGTCAACCTCTTTACATGCTTTTATTTCTTCAATCATAGATGAATCAGCCTTTTGGTTTGCTGATTATCTGAGCAGTTAAAACCGTCTAATTGCTGGTGTGCAACAAACAACATTACAACACTAATTTACACAGTAAGAGCTTTTAGTCTTTTCACAGGCAGATTTTGTACTTGCAAACATTTCCTCATTCCTTCACAATCATCCTCTTTTAACGAGGCTGAGGACTCATTAGCTAACTCACTAAGAAACATGGACACAGTCAGATGATTCCTGGGAGTCAGAAGCTCAATATTTTCTAAAATCTCTGGTTTTGCTTTCCCAACGTTTAGATGAAACACAAAAGAGCATTGAAGACCAAGTTCACTTGTTTTTTCAATACGTTCGCAGCATTCTCTAGTATGAATGAATGGCCTAGAGTCTGTAGGGAAAACGCCCCGTTTCAGGAGGGAGGATTTAGTCAGAGGAGAGGTGAGCAGAAGACGGCAGGTTTTGGAGTCTTACACTGTATTTCCTTATATTAGGACATCTTGCCTTGGATTAGAAAACAGCAACGTGACTGTACCTTTGACTCCCTTTGCTCAGCAACATTCATGTTTTTTCTCCACAAATAACTCAAAACTGAAGGAGTTCTGCAGTGGAATCGCTAATGTTAACAGTTAGCTTCTACTAGCTGAGATGCGGTCTGCTCTCTCCTGGAAAGTAACAACTGCCTTCGCCATTGCAAGCTAAGATGGATGAGTCCATGAATGGTAACTTGACATTATGAAGTGACAACATCACTAGTTTTTCTAATCTGAGCATTTACCCTTCTACTTTCTATCAGTGGCTAAGCCTATTTTCACGTTTAACCTGAACCTGCAACTCAATTATAAATCACACTCAAACAATAAGTAAAAAAAATGGTTTCTCTGTGAACTTGTCTTTGAAAAATATTGAGCTTCGTTTTGATTTTCATATATCTGCATTGTTGTGACCAACTTAGCATCTGAAAATGTCTTTTCTTAGTGTTGTGGCTACAAGTCCTCCAGCATTGAAACTGATTATTTTTTAACATTTTCTCCTTATTTATGCATCTCATATATCATGCATTTAGCCAAACTGTTTGAAATATCTAGTTTTTTTTTTACTAAACATGCATTATTTCACTTTTGTTTGGCTCATTTAAGTGCAACAATCAAGTAGATTTACTAAAACATTTTTCATGACCATTCATAAAAACTTAGCAGTTGACTTATTTTTTGTTTACAAATGCATTTGCTTTAAAATTCTTCCTGTAGTGAAAAGACTTCTATAGAGGATCTTCTATAGGTGGCACCCCCTGATACCAGAACTGAGTGAGTGGATTGGGAGATCAACGGTGTGGGTAAGCGTGTGAAGAACAAGTAAACATGAGCACTTGAGCTGAATTGTAATCGTAGCATCAAGCTAAATCTTGCTCTAAATAATTTCTTCTATTCTAGATGTTTAATATCCACTTTTTTTTATTCATATTCAGTATACAGGCAAAGTTTTAATTTCTGATATAGATATTAGCTGATTCCAATATATCCAAGTTCCCGCCCTAATAAAAATAATAAAAAAAGAAAAACTAAATAATTTTGGGTAACATCACATATATCCTGTCATGTGTACTTAAACTAAACATTACCTGTACAAAGCATGAAAACTACTTCAATTGAGATTAGGGCAGTTGTGCCAAACTTAAACTTCTGATCTGTCATGTTTTGACATTTAGAGTGAGAGCAGAAGTAGCTAAAGATTTTGATGTATATGTGCATGATGTGTAAAAGTTGTATATTTTAAAAAGTAACAATCAGTACTGACCATTTCAAATATTACATTTAAATACCAATATCCACCGATAATATTGAGCATCCCAATTTCTGATAGTATTTTTAATTGAAAAAGGCACATAAGTGGTAAAAAAAACATGAAACTTTGGGTTTTACTACTTGTAGAAAACATTGCAATTGTTAGATTTTGTTATTTTTGTTTTAATTTTAATTAGCATGGATGCTAAATGCTTACTAGAATTTTAGAACTAATCTGAATAAATTAGGTCATGCATCTTGAGATCAACCTTAGTTTGGCTAGTCAGTGTTAGTACAGATGCCAACAATGTTATCTGGTGAGTGTGGTGTAGAGAGTAATCTATGTTGAAATATTCTGATCAGGAGTTGCAAAGCAGTGAACGACACTGACAGGTAGAAGCTGTCCCCTTGGTGAGTTCGTGATTGGACACATACACCACTATGTTGGCTATGAACTGTTGTCCTGTAACTTACCCTTGTGTGGCGTGACCAGCAGGTCCAGCGTCTTCTGCGATAAATTTGGCCAGATAGCCATCATCTCCTTTCTCAGCTCTGCGTCCATCTGGTGCTTGTCTGCACCACCTGGGTGGCCCACGACCCAGAAATTTCACACCCAAACACATCAAATATTCACAGGCGTACATTTCAAGTGCATGCGAGCATGAAACATAGATAAACCCAGGGCAGGAGGACACAAAAAGGACAGTGTCACATAATCACCAAAGAAATATGTATATTCATTCACACATACACATTCACACAAAGCAAAAGTCATTTGTTAGGATGTTAATAAACCAGGATGCATATTGTAGTTATCTAAAATTTTATCTACAGCTTTTGTGTTCCCACTTGTGGTTAGCTCTTTGAATCACCTCAGTTTGAAGAATTAGTTCTGAACAAATTCCCCTTCATCCTGACTTTTTCAAAAATCTTCAGCCTGAACAGAGAAAACTGCTGACAGTATCAAAGAAAAGATCAGCTTTGGGAGTCTTTAGTCAAAAAAAGAATGTTCTTTCTTTGTATTTTGATATGTTGATCGTGAATGCTCCTGCCTCATTAAAATATTGTGGACAAGGATTTTTTTTTAAATAAATGTGGACAACATCTATAAATTGAATCCAAACAGGACCCAGAGTCATGTATGAGTCCAGGAAAATATATTCCAAATGTAATTTATGGATCACAAAAAAGTGATATTTTAAAATGATCTAGATGTCACTGTTGTGGTTCATTTAGATGAGTACTGGTTAAAAGGACTCTGACATGACAGCCGTTCTGCGATTTTGTCGTCGTCGTCGTCTTCCTCCGCTTATCCGGGTCCGGCTCGCGGGGGCAGCATCCCAACTAGGGAGCTCCAGACCGTCCTCTCCCCGGCCTTCTCCACCAGCTCCTCCGGCAGGACCCCAAGGCGTTCCCGGACCATATTGGAGATGTAACCTCTCCAACGTGTCCTGGGTCGACCCGGGGGCCTCCTGCCGGCAGGACCTGCCCGAAACACCTCCCCGGGGAGGCGTCCAGGAGGCATCCTGACCAGATGCCCAAACCACCTCAACTGGCTCCTTTCGATCCGGAGGAGCAGCGGTTCTACTCCGAGTCCCTCCCGAATGTCCGAGCTCCTCACCCTATCTCTAAGGCTGAGCCCGGCCACCCTACGGAGGAAACTCATTTCGGCCGCTTGTGTCCGCGATCTCGTTCTTTCGGTCATTACCCAAAGCTCATGACCATAGGTGAGGATTGGGACGTAGATCGACCGGTAAATCGAGAGCCTGGCTTTCTGGCTCAGCTCCCTCTTCACCACGACAGATCGGCTCAGCGTCCGCATCACTGCAGACGCCGAACCAATCCGCCTGTCGACCTCCCGATCCCTCCTACCCTCACTCGTGAACAAGACCCCGAGATACTTAAACTCCTCCACTTGAGGAGGAGTTTATTTTGTTTTTTGCGATTTTGTCTTGAAACCTAAAATTCATACTGGAGTAACAGGAAGGCTTTAATAACCACTATTTATTTATTAGTGACAGGAAACAGTGACACGTTACCTAGACATAATAGAAAATATTCTGGCCTCATCTTATTCAGCATGACCTGCAGAATTAATTTTGTCGATCGCACTAACGCAGAATTTTCCAAGTAAGTTCTGAACATTGGTTTTTATGAGATTCCGTTTTTTCTTCCAGCAAAAACAGCTGGGTTTGAAGAAAACAGTTCAGGAAAAGGTAGTTTGTTGTCATATCATTGTGAATTCTAACTGCAATCAATAAATACTAGGGATGTAAGAAAATATTGATATGGCAATATATTGTAATATTTTTTCCTGTGATATTATGTCAATATTCAAAGGCCCTGCATCAAACTTTGGAAAAATGTACATGTAAAAATTTGTGTATTTTCTTTTCTTTTGGTGCAATTCAAACACTAATCACTAGGTGGCAGCAGTGTGCAATAGGTTTTGTTTCCACCATTGAAATGTAAATCCTTCTATTATGTTCAGATGCCTCATGTTACATATCAGTTTGGACTGTTTATTGAATTTTCCTACAATAAATTCAGTCTAAAAAAATACCAATATCGTCTGGCCGAATGTTTCGCAATATCTCGTGATACATCGTCTCCCCTGTATTGTGATATGTGTCGTATCACCAGAATTTTACCAATAAACACCTCTAATAAATACCATGTCCTAATATAAAATTGAGAATGTAGGTAAATGTAAGCATTTCCAAAGCCTTGAAATGGCCAACTCCACCCAAGATGCTGTGGCTTTAAAAGTATCTAGGATAGTCTAGTTGATGTCTCAATCTGTGCCTCTCCAAACTGAGGATTTTCAAAGAGCTCATCACAACATATATTAATAATTCAACAATTCTGACAAAGATCAAAACTATAATTTTAAATTTCCAGACACATCATTTAGCTTAACGGGTCTATTTCCGATCATACCCTTGGCAATTTTTATGTCCAGAGCCGTCCTGATCAGAGCCATGAGGGTGGAGTTAAAATGCACAGAGTTGTCATCGGCAACAGGCAGATCCATCCGAAGCAGCCTCTGTGGAGAGCCAGTCAGGATGAGAGGATGAGAAAGGAAGGTGTCCTCGCTAAAGTGGGAAGTGCCTGAGCTTCCAGGGAGTAGGGTACGGGGAAGGGGCTTGGGACGGGGTTGAGAGAGCTCTATAGACAACAGCCACTCAAGACTGGACATGATTCATCCATTTGTTTTATTCTAATTTCCTGAGGTGTGAATGACAAAGTTTCAAATAATGTAAATCTCAACTTGGGTTTTTGTCGTCTAAAAAATGTGGCCAGAAGCAGAAGCAACTACCTATTAACTCTGCTAAGCAGTCGGGCTTCTATGTGTTTGCAAATGCAAGGGCGTTTGCTTGATGAAACTCAAACAAACACATTAATTCTCTGTGTCTCCTGTTTTTCCAGTGATACTCTATGAGACAGCACGGCTATCCAATGCTGCTAAGCAACTGAGAGCTGGAAACCACAAGGAAGAACAATCAGAGCCAAAATGGCATCTGACCCAACCGGTGCCCATGTTCCCTATATGTGTGAATGCTTGTGCGCATTTACACATTTCTGTTGTTACACACATATAGATTTATATACATATGCATATGACAGTTAACATACACCAACTCCCCTCCAGTCCCACCCAGCTTCTTTCCCTGCCCACTAACACACAACTATTACCACCGACTGCAATTAAGAGAGCTTAATTGGAGTCCTTTGGGACAAAATCAGTTGACTGAAGAGCAATAACAGTATCACTGGTGTAATTCTGCTATTTTCCAGGAGACAGGTTTTATTTAACCAAGGCTCTTGCTATTGAGCTCCCCCTACCTGCAAGGAGGTTCCCTGTCTTCACATATCTATTTCAGGTAAAACAGATGGAGAAACCTGCAGATAGGATAAAACAAGCTGGGCCAGCTGGGTTTGCTTGCCATACCTATACTGACCAGTTAGCATCCATCACATTTACCTACGAACATGAGCGTTGGGCACTCACGATGGAGGGCACGGCATGGCGGTGGTGCTCGTGTGCATGCTCGGGTGGTCCTGAGTGTGTGCGAGTGTTGGGCATGCCCAAAGCCGAGTGTGTGGCGGGCAAAGGGCATCAGCCAACATCCACAGCGCTCAGCTGACAGCAGCTCTGATGTCACCCGTAGCCATGCAACAAAAAGGGTGAGGGTCGCATGCAACACCACGCAACACCCCTAAGAGAAAGCATTCCACCAACGCAGACAAACAAAACATGCAACATGCCTGCACTTCACTCCAGTTATCTAAGCCCCAAACTCTTCCCACCTATCCAACCCCACTACGCATCAACTTCCCTCCAAACCCACTTTTACAGGACAAGCAGCCGTGCATCCGCACAAAGAGAGTATCCTTAATCCAACAGGATTGACGTTTCTACATGAAATTTTATTGCAATTTAATTTTTGGCTTCTGAATATTTACATTCATGACTTTCTCGATTAAAGACAAATCAAACAGCAATGGTTACACTTCATAACGTGTCAAGATTTCTCTCAATGCCAAACGGGTGCAGTGTCTTAAGTGGGTGCCAGAGTTAGAAAGGATTTGATTTGTGGCGTTGCCTGAAAGAAGAAAAAAATAAGGAAGATCAAAATGAGATGACTGGGGTCTTTTTGTTTGGTTTCGTTTACATGAGACCGACCAGATTTAGTGGTAGTAGTACCCGAGGATCAGGGAATGGGGTTCATAAAGGGGGACACATGATAGGGACAGCAGTTAGTTGAGCTAAACTAGTCCAATCTAAGCTTGGTCATGAGATGTTGTTACAGATAAAAAGGGGAAATGTGATAATGAGGAGAGAGAGAGGAGGATTGTGAAAACACTGAAGGAATAGAGGAAGAATAAGGAAATGTGAGTCATCTAGAATTAATAGAGAAAAACTGTGACTGTGTGTGAAGAAAGAGGAGAAAAGAGTGGCTGGAAATTACAGAACACCACAAGAGATAAAGACAAGGACTAAAAACAACACTAACATAGGCTTTAAGGTCAGTTTGAGAAACAAGGTGCCTTAGCAATAACCAGTTATTACAAGTTCTTTTTTCAGGGAGATGATTTTTGTCCACTAAGTAGGAGATCAAAACCAAGTTTCAAACTTTCACCTTTTAATTCTAATGTCTTTCTGGTGGGCCCTTAAGTCAACCCCCTTTTCCTGTATGAGTGATAATGGCTGAAACATGTAATGAGGGCAACTGCTGAGACAGGCTGACCATACTGGAGAGAAAAAAAGTAGACAGATAAGATCAGAGAATAGAGTTGAAAATCTGTGGGCTTGGATGGTCAGAAGAATGAAGGAGAATGGATTGACTGCTGACAGACAGTTGGACATGGAGAGGTAGTTGACAAGAGAACAGACAGATAGAGACAGGTGTTAAAAAACAAATATTAGAAAAAGAGAAAGAGGAAAGGAGTTTGGGAAAGAAGAAAATCACAAAAAACGTAAAAGAAAGATTAAGATAAAACAGTGCTAACATACAGATTCAAGAATAGTGCATTTTCTTAAGAGTGATAGTGTATTCCTTATTTTTGACACTAAATGCTTCTTTAAAGCTGGAGTACATTGTTTAAAAACTTCAGATCAACTCAAAAAATGTTTCCAGAATTTATAGCTTCCTGGCCTCATCAGCAAAACAAATTATTTAGGCAAGCCTAAAACGGTGACAAAAAGATGTACGTATCCCAAAAAGGGAGCAGTCGATCAATGAGTATGCAGCCCAGTCCCTAGCTCCATGGGGTGGCGCCGGAAGAAGTCGAAAGTTTGCAATAGAGCAACTGTGCTAATATGGCACTAGCTTCAATGCTAACTCAACCTGCATTGAATTAATGTCAGTCTGTACATTTCAAGCTAACTGTGGAAGGGGGGGGGGGGGGGGGGGAGATGAATAAAAAGGGCTTTATCTTTGTATATTGAAGCTAAGTGAATAGCATTTAAGCTTACGCTACATCGGGGTAATGATTTACCTTCGTCAGCCCTTTGATTTCCCAGTGTGTATGTGCAGTGTGAGGCGTGGCTTTCAACTCATTCCAGAAGGGGCGGGGGAGCAAGGATGGGAACTATATCTGTTCAGATATTAAAATCTATTCCTCCTCTCCATGATGACGTCATGCTTATGGACCTTAGCTTTAAGTGTAAAATGTGAAAAAGCTTGTCTTCACAACTGAGAACGTCTGTATAGTTGAGTAATCTATTAAGAAGATGTGACATGCTAGTTTAGAGATCTAGACCAGCAGTAGCAGTAGCAAAAGATGTTGCATTGCGTGTCATTCTAGCCACATTCTATTGTAGCCTCAGCAGGTCTACCAGCGGACTGAACAGTTTTGTGTCTTGCCAATGAAAACACTCTGTTTGTTGGGTGGGCTTGATACTAGAGCTGCGATGGAGAAATTTTACAAAGATGGCCTTGGCTCAGGAACAGTGCTCATTTAAAAACGCTTTGACATCAACTTGGGATGATTTAAATTTGGGCTTTACTTTGATACATGAGCAGATTGAGGTACTTGAGTCCTTAATGAGCCATTCCCATCTGTACCGGGTCGGCCCGGGCCGGGTAGCCCCAGTCGGCCCCAGCCTGGCCCGGTTGATTCCACACATCCTTGTCTTAAGCCCATGTGGGCTGATTCTACCCACCAATCAGAGGCTTGCTCTAATGGAAGGTGTGAATTTGCTGTCAGCAGTGGGTGTGTTGGCCCTGGTCGGCCTGAAGCAGACCCCCTCGAGAAGAGGGCTGAGAATGAGCCTTGGTTGGCCCGGGAAAATACCAGGCCACCCAGATATGTAAACAACCTACGCTACCCGGCCCGGGCCGACCCGGTACAGATGGGAATGGCCCATTAGTTAAGAAAATTTATGAATTAGCTTCTTTTTTGATAGCGTATGTCAGACTGCTCCATTGACTGATTGCCGTTGCGATGAATACATCACATTGTTCATTGCTCTGATTGGTCCTAGCGCTGTCCATTTGTGTGTGGAGATGGTTTGAAAGTAAACCATAGATTCCATCCCAATGACTGGGTTGTTTCAATGGGTCGTGGCCAGACAGACTATATTTATGTATGTAGAATGTCTTGCCAGGCAAGCTAATATATCTAAAAGTACAGCTAAACTTTTCACCTCATGTTTGGCTGGTGACACAGTTCTTTATATGTCTTTATTCAGGGGTGTGACCAAGTCACTGCTTTGCAAGTCACAAGTAAGTCACAAGTCTTTCCAGTCAAGTCTCGAGTCAAGTCCAAGTCAAAGACAACCAAGTCCAAGTCATATTCAAGTCATCTACCCAAATTCTATTTAATGACAATGATAATACATATATTCCATAAATAAAGCTTCTTTAAGCTTACTTTAATTGCTCAAACAAGCAGGAAGTGCAACTGAAATTGATTCTAAACAAAGAGCTGCTGCATTGAGCAGAACAAGATGAAACCTATGTCCATGTCGTGCCACTTTTGTGCTAAAATATCCAATATGCTCAAGTCATCATCAAGTCAACAGATGCAAGTCGATTCAAGTCGCAAGTAATTAGCATTCAAGTCCGAGTCAAGTCGTAAACCTTTATAGATTTTATCAAGTCAAGTCAGAATTCATTAAAATAATGACTCGAGTCTGAAACGAGTCCAAGTCATGTGACTCGAGTCCACACCTCTGTCTTTATTACACCAGATTATTTGTATCAATCGTATGTTCTTGAATCTGGATGGCACCTAAAGGAAATTATGAAAGAAAGAGTGATGACAGATCAGGAGCCTCATTTATAAAATCCTTACTGAAACACTACTACCACTACAAAAAATGAAATACTTACGCAAAATAATTTTCGGACCTGTAAGACACTGTTTATACACTGCTCTAAGACGTTTCTGCTCCAAAAGTCACACCTATCCTAGAAATGTGTTCAGGTGTTTTCTGGATCACATCTCACCTCCTACACACTCACTTTCTGCCATCAATGGACAATGATATGTTGTATGTCATGAATATTAAGCATATAAATAAAGCTTATCAGCAGCATTTCACAGGTAACCATGACAACCGACAGGATAAATCATGCTTTAAGGTGTGTAAGCAAGGGTCTACAAGTCTAAAAATGAGTCTTAAATTAAACATTATACCATCTCACCAGCTACGCCGCCAGGTTTTCCATCTCCAAAATGTATGTACGCCAGATTCAAAGTTTGTTAAAAGTTGCGCACATTTGTCCGTCACATTTTTATTTACAAATCACAAATTACGCAGTTTTCAGACCCTGTTTTGTGTGTAAGCAAGCTTTATAAATGATGCCCCTGGACCTTATTAAAGTATAGAGGAAGAGAAGACAAGACAAAGAGAATAAATGCTGAGAAGATCGTCTCAAATCTTTATTAGGGTGGTCAAAGGCCCCAAGAAGCTCAAAATACAAAATATTTCTTAAGGCTCAAAAGTTTTTATATTAAAAAAATAATAAAAAAAAAAACAAAAAAAATATCTGGAATACAAGTTCTTTAATCTACACAGGCCAGGATAAAAGCTGCTTATTTAATGTATTGGTGTGTGTGTGTGTGTGTGTGTGTGTGTGTGTGTGTGTGTGTCTGCATGTGTTTTTCTGTGCATTCTGATGTCACCCACAGCAATAAGAAAAGCAGAGGACTGAAGACAGAAACCTTTACTGGTCCTTCTGTACTTGCACCGTAAGCAGTTGCACCGTGTGAAGATAAGGATGAGCACATTGTGGTTTATAAATATCTACTTTAATGAGCTCAGTGCATGAAAAAAAACAATGCTTCCTAATAATAGTACTTAATTTGCACATATTCTTCATATTTTAGCCACTTGTTATCTAGTTTTGCAAACCTGAAACACATTTTTGTTTTAGTTTTTTCTAGACATACGCTACAGTCCCCCCGCTGTAGTATAAGGTTAATATATAACAATGGAACATAATCTACAGGTTAAAATATGTTAAAAACTATAAATATTCCTTAAAAGCATATTATCTTCTACATTTTAAATATTTTATGTACTGTTTGTTTAATAAAGCTATGTATCTATCAATATCAAGCTTTGCACGTGTTTATCATTGCATGCGTCTGTGCAGGTTGCAGAAGGACCGGCAAACCCTCCTGCATTCCCTTACTTCTGTGGTGTGACAGGAGGAAACAAAAGAGCGAGGACTCACTAACACTTCACTATCACTTCACTTGACTGCACGACAAAAGCCCATCCCTTCATCCCCGCGGTCGGAGAGAGAGAGGAGAGAACAGCGCTCACCACCACCACAACCACCACTAACAGACAATGAAGAGAACACCACTGGGAGGAGATGAGAGGGGCCAGGGGAGGTGGGGATGAAGGAGAGAATGTGAGGAAGAGGAGAGGGAAGTTTCAGCAGATGAAAGAGAGGTTCTCCTCCCCAGCGATGGGGAGGTTGAAGATGGGGCAAAGGGGAGAGGGGGCCAGGAGTAAAGGAACGATGGACATAGGAAGGAGGAGAGAAGGGTGAGGTGGTGGCTGAGGGGGGTGGAGGGGGAGGGTTTTGGGAGGGGGCGAGTCTACCTTATAGGCGACCCGGGCGGGACACCTCTTCCCGAGGCCTAGCGGCGGACACATGTGTCTTAGCATCTGATACATGTCTGTGTAACTGATCCGGCCGCTGGAGTGGCCACAAAAAACACACGAATACACACACACACACACGCACACACAGGCGCACGCACGCACACATTCAACATCCACACATCAACACAAAACAAACAAAACAAAGACAAACGAAATGAAGATGAAAGAAAGGACAACAGTGAAGGGTAGGAATGGAGAGCATTGAGAGTGGAGGGCACAGACTCACAGAGGTAAGTTCAGGGGAGAAGACATGAGGAAAAATAAATAAAATACAAAACAACAAAGGAAAAGGAAGGAAGGGGGGGACAAATACACAGAGGTTATTGTTTTGGTCACCGTGGATATGCAGTTGCTGTGGTGAGAGAAAAGAGATAGAAGGAGAATGATAGAGAACAAGTGGGTGTGTCATGTGCCCTCTAGTCTTGGATTTAATTAAATAAGGAGGGTAGGGAGAGAGATTAGGCAAGGAAAGGGAGGGTTGGAAGAAGATGTCATTTATGTTAAGTTAGTGCTGAAGTACAGTTCTATGCGAGGATGAAAAGGGGGATTTGAGATTCTGATTGCTTTGTTTTTCAACATTGCCCACTTTTGCTGCTCGAATAGAACTGGCAGCGGGGCTTCTAGCAGGCAGAGAAAAGCACCGCTGCAGAGGTCGGAGTGAGTCACTGTGACAAGTCAATGCAGTCCGTTCCCGAGGTTGCGTGTCCACCAGGAGCCTCTGAGCACACCTGCACTTCCAGATGTCCAAGAGAGGTCTACCGAAAAATAAGAAGGTCTGTGATGTGTTGGTTTCCATCACATCACTATAAAAGATTTGCGACCTGCCTCTCAATGTTGAACAAGTTTCATCTTTAACTACAAACAAGGTCAAAATCATTTCAGTGTTAGCTGCAGGTTGTACATGTTGTGTGCTTCTGTCAGCTTGATTAATGCAGGAGCAGCAACATTAAGCTGTAAATAGTACTAATGCGTACTGAGAATACTAACTTCCCTGCCAGCAAATCACCTCACTGGCTTTTTAGCTCAGAAATATCTTTGTCAGTTATAAAGAAGCACAACAAAAGCATAACATGCCTCTTTCATTCTTATCCGGTTGGTGCAGACCCGCACAATGTAAACACACAGCACCCCCAATCTGCAGCCGTGTAATTATTACTACAACAGCAATAAGAAAAAAGTGACTAAAACTTTGGCCTTCTGCACATTCTGCCTAAATCCACATATGATTAGCTGCTTTAGTTGCATTGTCTAAAGAGGTTGCAGCCAGTGCAGAAACGGCAAGCAGCAATTCTTCCCAAAAACACACCTGTCAGCACAGGTAGTTGCTAAGAGATAACTGGTGGACACAAGACCTCCTGAGTCCTTGCTCTAACCCGCACACACACCCTGCCCCTTTCCCTCTGTCCTCCTGCTCCAGAGATACAAACAGAGCAGGTTTGGTCGAGTTATTCTAGTTCTCTAGGTACCAATGAATCAGCTGTTCCGGTGTTTGATCGCTCTCTGTCAACAAAACGAGTGCACGCTTGGGTGAGTATGGTCAGTCAGTGTGTTTACATCTGCATCTAAGGCAATCTAAAGTAACAAACTGGGAGCCTTAATCCTGGTTTACATGTACGTTAGACGTTCGTTCTAATCCGGTACAGTAGCAACATGCACCCTTTTGATTCAGCATTCTTCCGGTTATGTTACAGCTAACTAACCTAACCAATAAGTGTTACACAGGGTGGAATATCAACCCTTTGAGCCTGATATGCCAAATATTATTTATTCATTTAAAATAAACTGTTTATTAGTTAAATATAATATTAAATATCTCATTATGAATTATCCCATGACTGTCTGGTACAGACATTTGGTACGAGTACTAGCACGTTTTGCTCACAGCTACGAAAGGAAAGCTGAAGATATTATGCAAAGCTCTCTAGTCCAGCTGCTTTTCTTAATCACCAGTAAGAACTCTTCATCAAATGGCATGAACTGCTTCTTCAGAATTAAATGTAGATGTTTAAGATCTGCTTGAGTTAGCTGTATGAACTAGTTGAGACACATTTTGCATTTTGGCAAGCAGTTACATCACTTTGAAATGTTTTTCTGTTTACCTTGGTATCATTTTAAAACAATTTTTGTTGCATTATTCACCTTAGCCGACAAATTAGGAGATTATTGGTGACAATAACTGAGACCAAACCGTCCCTGCACTAAAACTAACCGTCCTCCCTCCAGATTACCAACTCAAACAGAACAATGCACATTGCTCAACCATTTTTCCGCCCAGGCAAAATTAGACAGCAAGCAGAAATAAAACACAATGACTGACTGGAGTCTAAAATGTGTTCTTAACATAATCACTAAAATGAAAGTAAACACATCAGTGTCATTTTTTAGAGCGTTCAGTCAGAAAGACAATAGCAAGTGCAATGTACAACATCATGCTTCACACACCACTAAAGGTGTGCCCGTGAGTGTGTGCAGGAGTGTGTGTGGGTGTGCATTTCTGCATTGTCCCAAACATTCTCATTGTCAAGTCAGAATGCATAAACAACAGACCCCCTCCCATCCCCCTAAAAAAGAATGATTTAATGGTGAAATGAGCTTTAAAAAACAGAATAATGCAAACCTAAACAGAGAATTCAAACCAATGGAAAAAGGAAATCATTTGTCATAACGTGATAAAGAGCAACAATCATTCCAGTCTCTTAAAGGCGAGCAGGTTGCGTTTAAGTTTGTGCTTTATGGGTTTGGTTCAAACCTTGCAGGCCACCCTATGTGGGCATTTCTTGCCAAGGCCCAGAGGAGGAGAGATAACTCGCAATAAACTGTACATATCCTTATAATGTATGCGCCCGCTGCAAGAAAAATACAAGGAGGGGAGTTAGGTTAAGAAGTGTACAGAGAAAGAAAGTAGAGAGTGGAAGAGGAGCAAATAAGAACAAAATAGGTTTAATTTAGAAAAAAAAAAAACCAACATTCTTGCTGTCATCTACACACACACAAAAAGGAAAGAGGGGAAGGTTATAACTAAGAGGCGCAATTTCAGAAAGAAGGTTGAGAATAAACAAAAAAAAACTGTAAACTGTTTTGTTCAAGTGGGCAAACTTAAATATCCAGCTTCGACTCTTATTTTGACGATGTTTCACCATCAGACTTCTTGCATATGTTTATTGTCTCATGTGTGGACAGAAGAAAAAGTCAAAGGTTAGGCATTTCTTCACATTCAGAGCAAAAGTGTATAAATATGTGCTAAAATATTCTACGTTTTCTACCTCTGGGGTATGATTCTTTGATAGTTCTGTATGTGAGTATGAAGGCATCCAGGTATCTAAGAGTTTGCATGTGATGGCTGCTGTTGTGTGAGGATATGTCTATGGGTGGGCCACTCACCAAGCGGCGGGGTCGTACTCAGCCCATATCCTGACGTACTCGTCCAAATGGTGCGGACCCAGAATGGAGGAGTCTCTGGTCAGATACTCAAAATTGTCCATGATGACAGCCACAAAGAGATTCAGCATCTAATGGAGCAAGGCAACTGGTTGGATTTTTTTTCCTAGACACGTAATCGGGTTTTTGTAAAACTGAATATCCTCCCTCGCCCATCTAGGAAGACAACGTGGATCCACACCTTGTTTTCAACAAAAAAAATAAAATAAAAAATTAAAAACCTCCAGTGCATTGGGACTGACATTCATAGGCATACCAAGCCAGTAGGGGGCAGTAGTTTCCCAAATTGTCAGCATCTTTGCCAAAAATCATTCCTTGGATTTGGAATAACCAAGTGGGCCATGTCATCCTTTGCCTGTGGTGTTCTACATAGAGCAGTTATTGAGCTTGTAAAAACAAGTGAGTGTAAACACAGATCACACATGTGAAGTCATTTTTGTCGAGGGTTGAAAAACCTAAAACCCCGGTTGTTCACATCCACAATAAAATGTTGCCAAGGGAGAATTCGCAAATCTCCTCTCTCATTGGAGTTTTAGAAAAAGTCATTTTTGGTGAACATTCTTTTTCTTTTTCACTTTTGTGTGGATGACAGGCCAAACCGAAGAAACCCATCTTTGTATTGTAGGATACCCAGCTACATGTGTATAGGGTCTAAATATCTCAGCTGCACTTTTAAAAATTAGAGATAATTTTTAGTAGTTAAATCACTTCTCACCAAAAAGGAGCAGAGGAAAATAAAGGAGACAAAGTAGGTGTAGGCAAAGGTGCTGCCACATTCTTTCCCTGTGTTTCCTGAGTCCGGGTCACATTTCTTCTCACCCAGGCAAGACAGCATAATGTCGTGCCACGCTTCGCCCGTAGCGCTCCTGAATAAGGAGAAGCAGGGAATGAACTACCAACTGTTTATACACAGGATTACATGTATACAAAAATTTAGACTCCGTTGAGCCTTGAGACAAAAATACATGAATGGGACTTACCTAAACAGCAGCATGAGGGCCATTATAAAGGTTCTGAAGTTATTATGTTCATTGATGGCACTGCCTTCTTCCTCATCTAGCGCTATGTTTCCAAACAACTAGACAGAAACAGTAGATAAAGCAAAAAAATATATAAATATTAAGGGTGAAAATCGTTAAAAAATTAGCCTAAATATTTATTGGCTTTGTAATTAATTAATCTTGATTAATCACATTTTAATCGTTCAAGACAATTTGCAGCCAAGCAATTAATTTTTTATAAAAAATAATATTAGTGAGGCACAGATGACACACCCACATTTTAATAAGTTTATTTTTGTAGCCACAAGGTCTATTTGACTATGTTGGTCTCATTATAAAGGTAACCACTGAGTAATTTGTTTGGATGTGTACATATTAGTATACAGGTGCTGGCCAGTAAATTAGAATATCATCAAAAGGTTGAAAATATTTCAGTAATTCCATTCAAAACGTGAAACTTGTACATTATATTCATGCAATGCACACAGACCAATGTATTTCCAATGTTCATTACATTTAAATTTGATATTCATAAGTGACAACTAATGAAAACTCCAAATTTGGTATCTCAAAAAATTAGAATATTCTGAAAAGGCTGAATATAGAAGACACCTGCTGCCACTCTAATCAGCTGATTTACTCAAAACACCTGCAAAGGCCTTTAAAAGGTCCCTCAGTCTTGTTTTGAAGGCACCACAATCATGGGGAAGACTTCTGACTTAACAGCTGTCCAAAAGACAATCATTGACACCTTGCACAAGGAGGGCAAGACACAAAAGGTGATTGCTAAAGAAGCTGGCTGTTCGCAGAGCTCTGTGTCCAAGCACATTAACAGACAGGCGAAGGGACGGAAAAAATGTGGTAGAAAAAAGTGTACAAGCTCTAGGGATAACCGCACCCTGCAGAGAATTGTGACGACAAACCCATTCAAAAATGTGGGGGAGATCCACAAAGAGTGGACTGCAGCTGGAGTCAGCGCTTCAAGAACCACCACGAGGAGACTCATGAAAGACATGGGATTCAGGTGTCGCATTCCGTGTGTCAAGCCACTCTTGAACATGAAACAGCGCAAGAAGCGTCTCGCCTGGGCCAAGGACAAAAAGGACTGGACTGATGCTGAGTGGTCCAAAGTTATGTTTTCTGATGAAAGCAAGTTCTGCATTTCCTTTGGAAATCAAGGACCCAGAGTCTGGAGGAAGAGCGGAGAAGCACAGAATCCACGTTGCATGAGGTCCAGTGTAAAGTTTCCACCGTCAGTGATGGTGTGGGGTGCCATGTCATCTGCCGGTGTTGGCCCACTCTGTTTCCTGAGGTCCAGGGTCAATGCAGCCGTCTACCAGGAAGTTTTAGAGCACTTCATGCTTCCTGCTGCTGACCAACTTTATGGGGATGCAGACTTCACCTTTCAACAGGACTTGGCACCTGCACACAGTGCCAAAACCACCAGCACCTGGTTCAAGGACCATGGTATCCCTGTCCTTGATTGGCCAGCAAACTCGCCTGACCTTAACCCCATAGAAAATCTATGGGGTATTGTGAAGCGGAGGATGCAATACGCTAGACCCAACAATGCAGAGGAGCTGAAGACGACTATCAGAGCAACCTGGGCTCTCATAACACCTGAGCAGTGCCACAGACTGATCGAGTCCATGCCACGCCGCATTACTGCAGTTATTGAGGCAAAAGGAGCCCCGACTAAGTATTGAGTGCTATACATGCACATTCTTTTCATGTTCATTCTTTTCAGTTGGCCAACATTAGAGAAACAAACATTTTTTCATTGGCCTTTAGAATATTCTAATTTTCTGAGATACCAGATTTGATGTTTTCATTGGTTGTCACCTATAAATATCAAAATTAAACGTAATAAACATCGGAAATACATTGGTCTGTGTGCATTGCATGAATATAATGTACAAGTTTCACGTTTTGAATGGAATTACTGAAATATTTTCAACCTTTTGATGATATTCTAATTTACTGGCCAGCACCTGTATGTGCTATTGATGAAGTGTAAATGGACCTGGAATATTGTAAATGTTGTGTGCTGAACTGAAAACTAGGTGGCAGCAGAGCACTAAGTGCAGACAAAAGTGCAGTTGAGCTGAGGGGAAGTACTGCTATGTGCATGCTATGTGCATGCTTGTCTCTCCTCTAAAAAATTGCATAAGGATAAAGTTACTGCCTGCCTGCTTTCTACCAAATACAAAACATTACAGTAAATCTTTCTTTTGTTCATGAAGAGCAGTTTGTCATGATTCATTTATTTGTGGTTTTAGTTGTTTTTGGAGCATGTAAAAATGGTTCATGTGGCCTTTTAGACCAGGCTCTGCAGTTTGGTTAGAGGTGCAGCTTATATTTATTATAATTAATAGTATATGATATTATGTTTATGTTTATTTATTTGGCAGACGCTTTTATCCAGAGCAACTTACAATAACCTTTAGGGCATGTTGTGATCTGTGGGAGAAACCAGAGTACCCGGAGGAAACCCACGCATGCATGAGGAGAGCAAGCAACTCCACGCAGAAAGGCCGCAGCCGAGTTTCGAAACTGCAACCTTCATGCTGCGAGGCAACAGTGCTAAAAACTGCGCCACCATGCAGCCCAGGCATTAGGCGTACGTTTTGAAGCTAAACATCCCCCCCCCCCCAACCACCACCCCCCAGGGCAAATTTTTAATGTGTGATTGTTTTGTCTAATTATTAATCCTAATTAACTTGTTAATTTATATATATATATATATATATATATATATATATATATATATATATATATATATATATATATACACACACACACACACACGCAAAATTTGTGGATACAGACTCCAATCAACTGGAACAAGCCCTGCCCACACAGTCTTAAAAATGTATAAAAATATTTTTGAATGATTTCTCAAAATTATTAATGAAACTTTCTCTAAAATTCATTAAGCACATCACCTGAATGTGAAGAAGACACTTCTTATTGTGTTTTAAGTTTAAAAAAAACATTTTTAGCTCAGGATAATGTTAGCATAAGCTCTGACTAGTGCTGGTTTGCGTCTAGCATTATTGCAAACAACATTTACACCAAAGTGAAAGTGTTGGGATGAGTAAATGTGAGGTGGCGTGTCTTGCTTCCGCCAGCTTTTGTCAGAATTAACTGTTTCTCGGTGACTATTACAACATTACTAATTTACATTAGAAAGCAGGTCAGAGATGGCCCAGGCCATTTGGTATGCTACATTAGACAACACAAGTTGCCAATACCATCCCATACCAACTTTATTTATAAAGCACTTTTAAAAACGGCATGGCAGCCGACCAAAGTGCTGTACAGATAAAAAGCAAAACTACATAAAAACAAAAACACTATCAATAATAAAAGTACACAACAAAGCAGTAAAGTCAGTCAATAAAAGAATACATAATAAAAATAATTAATAAAAGTCAAGGGTTAAAAAAAAGCCTGGTCATAAAAGTGACTTGAAACAGGAGAGGGATGGGGCCAGCCTCACTGAGAGAGGAAGAGCATTCCAGAGGGACGGAGCAGCATAGACAAAAGCACGCTGCCCCCGCGTTTTGTATTTCAATGTGGGAACATGAAGCAGCAAGCAATCTGCAGATCTCAATGGCCGGTTTGGCACATGGCGAGTAACAAGGTCAGACAGGTTAACCGGTGCCAGACCATTCAGGGCCTTAAAAACAAAGATCAGAATTTTAAACTTCACTCTGAAGTTCACGGGTAGCCAATGGAGAATCCCCAGTACAGGTGTGATATGGTCACGTCTAGAGGTGTTCGTCAGAAACCTTGCTGTCAACAACAAGGTAAATGAGGTTATAAATTGTACTGACCCTTTAATGAGTTACAGCATTTTTCATTGACTTACATCCCTAAAATATAAACAGCTAAACTGAAGCTATTTGATATTTCTGTGTTTCTTTTAAACTGAAATATCAGCTTAGAGCATTTTAGATCCACACAAGAAACCCTATTGTGCTTTTGAGTCACTTGTGTTAGTTCTGTTTTTGTTATTATTGCAATTAAGGGGTTTATGGTATTTTAGGGTTTAAAGGTTATACAAAATATAACATACACAAAAAAGAGGAATTTTGTTGAACATTAGCTGCAGTCTTTTGGCTGCTACTGCAACAGTGCCCATTGCTGAAATGTAGGAACTTCCTTCAATTCACAATAAGTCTCAAACATACACATGTACCTCAAAAAATTCTAATTAAACGAATTGTTAGTTAGCATTACAATCTGACTAGCATACTTAAGGCTTTTTCTGAACATTTGACCCCCCCCCTGCCCATTGACAAGTATTCAGACTGCTGACTGCTGATGAATGAGCTGTTGTAACTTACCTGCATGCCGATGATGGCGTAGATGAAGAAGAGCATGGCAATGAGTAGACACACGTATGGCAACGCCTATTGCAGCAGATATCTGTTAGTGACATTAAATGCTTTCTGAATCTTTGTACTTCGATGAGTATCTGCAAAAATACCTTGAAGGACTGGACAAATGTCCACAGAAGAATGCGGATAGTTTCCCCCTGCCTCAGGAGCTTTATGAGACGAGCTGCTCTGAACAGCCTCAGAAAGCTTAAATTGATGAAATTATTCTGTGGCACAAACATGGAACAAAGTCAGTTTCACAATTGCACAAATTCTCACCAACTTCCCTTGTTTTACTATAAGCAAAAAGCAAAAAAAAAAAGTATATATATATATATATATATATATATATATATATATATATATATATATATATATATACATCATCAAAATCAAAATAAAAGTAGGGAAGGGACAAAGGAAGATTCCAAACCCAACAAAGTGTATCCAACAAAATAGAAACAGTGGAAATAAGAGAAGGAAAGAGAAAAACAAACACCAATAAGGAAAATAAGGTGCAAAAAACTAAATAATAAATTAAAGATTTTAAAGGTCATCATCCAATCTCAAAAAGGTCTTTTTTTAAATGATTACCAAATGCACTGATTGTTCGGGGCAAGCAGGTTACACACAAGCTGGAGCACAGTGAACTTTGCCTGTCAACCAGTGTACACACACACACACACACACACACACACACACACACACACACACACACACACACACACACACACACACACACACACACACACAGAGGGATTACACGCACACACACATATGTATACATACATAAGAAAGGTGTGTGTGTGTGTGTGTGTGTGTATATATATATATATATATATATATATATATATATATATATATATATATATATATATATATATGTATATATATATATATATATATATATATATATATGTATATATATATACACATATATATATATGTGTGTGTATATACTGTATATACATATACACCTTTCTTTTTAAAAAGAAAACATATTTTACCAGCCCATGGGTCAGGATTAAGCCAGACACTAAATTCAGATTTTCAGATTTAGTGTATTAGATGCTTTTTCTAATACATTTACTGTAGAAAAAGGTCAGCTAATACATTAAAATTTCTCTCTGGGCTGTAATTCAAGCTATTAGCCTCATCTCATTTAGAAGCATTTAATGTTTGTCCAGATCAATATGGCAGTACAAACTCCCAGGTCTGGTGCACACATTCAGATGTTGACAGAAAAAGTCACGGGAAGAGCATGAAGAGGGAGGGAGGAGGGGAGGAACAGTGGGAGATCGGCGTGCGACCTTGGTGCAGGCATGGCGTGTCAGCAAACTTTCTCAAAACTGGTTTACATGCAAACCAGTAGGGGGAACGTGGGGTTGAGCAAATTGAAGACTAAAGCATTCACTATCTTGTAAAGTAAAAAATAGATTTACACAAGGATAAGTGTAAGCCTATTAGGCTATGGTTGTTTTGTTCTACTATGTGGAAGATACAAAAGTGTTTACATATTTCTGAGTAAATATTGTCAAGTTTCAGCTCATAAGCTTAAAATAAGGATTGGTGTAATAGCTTTGGCTTTTGCACCATGAGGTGCAGTTTCTTTTTTCTTTTCTAGTAGCAATGCCATACTCTGAATTTTACACTTCAGTCTTTGGTTGCTTTTAATTGTTGGAAAACAGTTCAAGGAGGTGAATAATTTTGTCTTCTTAGGCCCTGTCCACACGTAGCCGGGGATCTGCCAAAACGTAGATATTCCTCTACATTTTGGCCTGTCATCCACACGAAAACAGAGTTTTTTCACACGAAAACGGATCTTTTTAAAAACTCCGGCCAAAGTGAAGATCTGCGTTTTCTCCGTTTTGGGTGTCTGCGTGTGGACGGACAAAACCGGAGTTTTAAGGTCTGCAACGTCACTTTCCGCGACAAAATATTGCTGACATCACGTGTGCGACCTGTGTTTACACTAGCCGACAGCATGGATGCCCTCAGAGCTGCGCTCGCTTTATCAATTGTCCAAGCGCTTTTTGCTTGTTTGTTTTTGCAAGAGGAATTACTGCTCCTTGTGGAAGACCACAGACGAAGGACGAGGTTAAGAACCGGGGAAGTACTGCCGCCTACAGGTCTGGCATGTCCTTAACAACGTATTTATCCGGGTACGTGTGGACAGAATTTTTTTTAAAACGAGGTGGTGTGGACGCAAGTTTTTGGAGAGGCGTATATTCGTTTTAAAAAAAAAACCCCGGCTACGTGTGGACTAGGCCTAAGTCTAAGTCTTCTAACTCTATAAACACTAAACTTTGGGTAAAGTAGTTCAATTCCGTTGGAACTGATGACACAATTTCATGATGTTTCTTCTATTTGTTTTCTTCAAAACTTTACATTAAAACTGTAATCAGGACCAAAAGGCTTCTGTAGATAAATGTATCATATTCAACATTTTCAAAACTTCATCATTTGCACAAGGGAATACCCAGACCTTTGTTTACAGCATGCCATTTCATAGATAATACAGAAATGCCTTGACAAAAGGTAAACTTGAAGGCCAAAATTTGTAAAAGCTAATACTCATAAAAATCTTACCGAGTTGAAAAAGCATGTTTATTTTTTTTCTAAAGAATGTCTAAATTTTGGCGAGTTTCAAATGTCTCATTCAAAAAAGCACATGCACTGCGGACAAAGGTCAAACTGGGACAAGAGGGATTGAGTGATTTAGGGTAAGAAATTAAAATCAAGGGAAGCACATGGCCAATGAGGATGCAGCAGGAATTTTGGAGAAATAAATTACAAACCAACCAGATTCTACATGTACGAAGATGTAGAAAGATGAATGGTGAGGAGGTTTATTGACATTTTTGTTAAGTTGACAAAAATAGTGGGTGGATTAAAAATATTTTTAGGAAGAAGGTGGTGGTGGTTGGTCGTGTGTTTAATTGGACATGGGCACGAAACACACACCATCACCATTATCATCATCACACCACCACCACATGTCATGGTGTAGCACAAATGGGAAACAAGATGGAGGATTTCATAGTGCATTTTGATTGGATGGATTTTTAATCAGAGAAGGAGGAAGTGGGAGGGGCGTAGGCGCCAACAAAGTAGATAGGTTTAAAGAAAGCATGTAAAGAGATAGAAGAGGAAGATGGGATCATTATAGGCATCATTAGAAAGGCACTGAACAACAACAACAACAACAACAACAAAAACAACAGTTTAGGATCATTCAGCCTCTCTTTGCTGCAGAACTAGAGATCAACCAATATTGTGTTTTCAATTCTCGATACCAGCGGCAATATGTAGAAGTCACAGTTAGCAGATGGCCGATTTGCACTGCCAATTTTCACAGCCAATATCTAGATGCTTCCCCCTTATCTGTATGCTAAAGTATCACTAATAACAATAGTTGATGCAAAAAATTTCTGAACCTAGATGAATTTTTGAACACTGAATTCAACCAACTGTTGAATCTTCATTTATTGCACTGCAGAGTTTTAAAATCTAACTAACCAAAGTTAGTCAAACAAATCAATTCAATTAATGAGTATTAAATATGTCAGATGACAAAGTTTTAGAGCATTTTTCAAGCATTTCTCATAAAAGGACGTACTCGATTTTAAATCATCTCTACTAACGAAGTCTATTGGTCTATCCCTGCAGAACATTTTTGAAATGCACTGAAGCCATCATTAACGCACATGTGCTTTTCCTACTCATTCAAATAAAAAAAAAATCTGCTATCACTTTGGTTGTTTAGGACATTCATTGAACAAAATTGTCACACAAATGATGCAATTAATTGGAAATGATATCATATAGCCCTTAAATGTCCTGACCATGAATATTCAAATTAAAGCTCAAGTGTTTATTGTTCCAATTTGGTGAGATTTAATTGAAAGTGACCCATTTTTCTAGCCATTTTGCCCAACAGATACTGGCTTTAGTGTCTCTATAAAAGCATTTTTATTTTGAATAAATAAAAATGAATTATGGCTACCTCTGTCAATAAAATAATCACAAACAAATAATAATAGAACATCTACTTTATAATCATGTATTTGGTTTAAATAAAATCTGTGATGGAAAAAAAAATTAAAACCACTTCTTTGAGAATATGGACAAGTACTTTAAGATGAAATAAAAATAAATAAATAAAATCCATAAAGGAATGCAAACGGATTTGCAGGACAGCGTAGATCCGTGGAAACAATATAACAATATGAAAAAGCACTATTTTGCTTCATTTTTGTAAAATATGCAAGTAAATTTGTATTTGGTTTCTATGTCTAGGTGACACACTAAATAAAAACGCAATTGCAAATTGACTAAACAAATCAATTAGATGTTTGGATTTCTAAAACCAACAAGGGTATCAATTAACGTCCATTTAGACGGCAAACTTTCACATTTAGCACATCAAATTTAGCCAAGAGGAACTTTTAATCATCTGACGACACCAGTAGGCCACAGAACTCTGAACAATGTCTGCTAATCCAGTCAGCATAAGTGAGCAAAGAAAAAAATAGAGTTTTATATCTAAAAACTTGAAGCTAAATGTAAACTGTTGCTTGTCTGAAAGTAAAACAACTTTACATGAGGTGTCCAGCAGAGGGAGGCTGAAACTGCTTCTGAGTCTCACATACATGAAATCTTACATCACCAATTATAAGTAATTAACAAACATGCACACAGCAAAATCACAGCATGAGTAAAAAATGAAGGCAAATTCTGACTAATGATAAATGAATTCAAAATAAACAACACAACTTCTAAACTTGGTGGATTGGTATTAGAGGATTTTGGCACCTTACATGTTAATTTAAGGGGTATAGAAGCAGGATTATGGAATGTATGTTGTCATAAAAGCTAAATATTGAAGCGTGGATCCACCTAAATTCTCATTTGGATAGTTGTAACAAAACAAAATGATGTTTTCACCTGTGAGCAACAAACCACGGCACTTACCCAAAACTCTGTCACTAATATGTCAGTGATGCTTCCGATGACTGAGACAAAATCAAAAACATTCCAGGCATCTCTGAAGTAATTCTGTAAGAAAAGAAAGGAAAAGAAGGCATGATTTTATCAGGAGTGTATCATGGGGCGACGGTGGCACAGGAGTTAAGTGCTCGCCCTGCAATCGGAAGGTTGCAGGTTTGAGCCCCGCTCAGTCTGTCGCTGTGTCCTTGGGCAAGACACATAACCCATGTTGCCTGCTGGTGGTGATCGGAGGGACAGGTGGCGCCAGTGCTCGGCAGCCTCGCCTCTGTCAGTGCACCCCAGAGCAGCTGTGGCTACATCGTAGCTCATCCCCACCAGCGCGTGAATGGGTGAATGACTGATTGTGTTGTAAAGCGCCTTGGGGGGTTCCAGGACTCTAGAAGTCCTGGAACCCCCCAAGTACAGGCCATTTACCATATCCTTTTGGAAACACTATGAGCCAATAAACTTAAATAAAAAGGTGACTGCTGTGCAACTCTTGGCTTTTCTCAGAGACAAGATGAACATGCTCTAGATCTGTCTACAAAACTTCTTTGCTTTAATGAACAATAGGACGGAACACTGCAGCTTAAAGAATGGGTCATCCTACGAAGAGATCAGGTTTGGACACCATGTGTGTGTGTGTGTGTGTGTTTGCGCGCGCGCGCGTGTGTGTGTGTGTGTGTGTGTGTGTGTGTGTGTGTTAGTAGGTACTACATTGCTACATTGTGGGGACAGTTTTTCTGGTTTAACCTGCAACATGAGGACATACTGACATTGTGGGGACATTTGGCTTGTTCCCAGTGTGAAAAAAAATAGCCATAATGCTTTGTTTTACAGGTAAAGGTGTGAAATAACCTTTAGTTAAGGTTATACCTAGAAATAGAGCAGTAATGGTTGTGGTTAAGTTTAGGCATATAGTCCCTAAAGTGATTGGAAGTATAATTAATCCCCACAAGTATGGAAAAATAAAAACGTGTATGTGTGTGTGTGTGTGTATGTGTGTGTGTGTGTGTGTTTTCATAAGTACTACATTGTGGGGACAAATTTTCCTGTTTAACTTGCAACATGAGGACATACTGAAATTGTGGGGACATTTGGTTGGTCCTCAGTGTGAAAGAAGCCCAAGATACTTTGTTTTATGTTTATGTATTTAGCAGATGCTTTTGTCCAAAGCGACTTACAAGTGATAATCGGCATGTTGCCCATGTTGTTTTACAGGTAAAAGTGTGAATTATCCTTGGCCTAGTGGTGGAGTGTCCGCCCTGAGACTGAGAGATCAGGGGTTCGATTCCTGGTCGGGTCATACCAAAGACTTTGAAAAAATGGGACCCAATGCCTCCCTGCTTGACACTCAGCATTAAGGGGTTGGATTGGGGGGTTAAACCACCAAACAGTTCCCAAGCGCGGCCGTGTCTGCAGCTCACCACTCCCCCAGGGGTTGGGTCAAATGCAAAGAACAAATTTTGCACACACACACCTGTGTGTGTGACAACTAATGGGACTTTAACTTTTTAACTTTTTAAAAATAGACCAGTAATGGTTGTGGTTAAGGTTAGGCATGTCGTCCCTGAAGTGAGTGGAAGTACGATGAATCCCCACAAGTACGGAAAAACAAAAAACGTGTGTGCATGCATGAGTGTGTGTATGTTAAGGCTACATCTTACCAGAGGACTAAAAGCAATGATTTTCAGTATGGATTCCATAAAGAAGAAAATGCTGAACACAATGTTTAGGTACTTCAGGACATCATCGTAATTTGCAGATGCACCTTGAAACTGTAGACACACACACACACACACACACACACACACACACACACACACACACACACACACACACACACACACACACACACGCACACGCACACACACACACAAAAGATAAATACAGTTTTATCGATATTTTTGCTTTATGCTTGTTTAAATCATAAAGAGTGAATAATACCTTCATCATAAGGACAATGGTGTTCAGTGCAATCAGAGCCATGATGCTGTACTCAAAGGGAGGCGATACAACAAAGTGCCACATGCGATACTGAAAACTAAGTTTGTTCTTTGGCATGTGGCGAGTCAGAGGCTTGGCATTAATAGCAAAATCTATACAGGCTCTCTGGAGAGATACAGAAAAGATGAAATTAAGCAAAATTGAATTTTTACACATTTAAAAAGTAAAGAAAAAAATCCAGGCAATTCTACACTTTTCCTCACTTCATTTTTTTCTAGGCTGTAGTCTTCCATCATCTTATCCCCCTGTTCCTGGAAGGTGATGATGATGAGAGCCACAAAGATGTTTACAAAGAAGAAAGGGAAGACAACGAAGTACACCACGTAAAAGATGGACATTTCCATCCTGTATCCTGGGCTCGGGCCCTGGTCCTCAAAAGTAGAGTCCACCGAATGCTTTAACACCCTGCAGGTGGAACAAACAAGAAAAAAGAAGAAAATAATTACAACCTAAAAAGAAATATTCACTAAATATGTGCACAGTGCACTCACTGTGGCCACCCCTCTCCAGTGGAGACTGTGAAGAGGGTGAGCAAGGCCCAAGCCACGTTGTCGTAGTGGAAATCGTACTTCTTCCATTCCCGCTTTTCTGCTTTTACGTCATCTTTATCATAAACTAAAAACTCGCCTCTGTAATGATAAATAAGACACACATACAAATACAAATATTTTATGATTAAATAGATTTTTTTTTACATAGGAAATGCTAAAAATTATATCTGACAATCATTTTACTTACCCTTTCACGGGAAGTTTTACCTCTTCTGTGACAAATAGAAAAAACAGTCGAACAAACTGCCAACTGACCTGCAGTCTCGTTCAAACTCTTTGGATTCATCGGTGCAGTAGAAGAAACGGCCCTTAAACAGCTGCACAGCCACAACAGCGAAGATGAACATGAAGAGCATGTAGACGATCAAGATGTTCAAAACGTTCTTCAGAGAGTTCACCACGCAGTCAAAGACTGCCTGTAAAAGGAGGAAACCAAAGAAGATTTATGAAGGAATACCAGCTAGATTGAGAATCGATTATTTGGAGAGTTTATACTTGTGATAACTGTGGTGTGAAGTTTACTGTATTAACAAACTTTTAGATTAAAATCAGCTTAATCTGCTCAAGATGAGGGGGAGAGTTTGGCTGACACAATTATTTTAGGGTTAGGGTTGTTTGTTCTGGACCATTATATCTGCCATCTGGAGTTTTCCCCCTTCAGGAATTATGTATAATTTTTTTTTTGTAAAAGTGATAGTCTTACCCTGTAATCATTGTTGGGAGGATAGTCTGTAAATGTATTTAGTCACAGAATACTGAATACCTGCTTTAAAATGTATTCTGTGATGTATTTCGTTGCTTTGCTTAATCCACTGTATTCTAAATTATTTGATTACTTCCCCTCAAAAAAAGCATTTATGTCAATTAATTGCATTGGTAGCTGCTCCAGCAGGAAAACAAAGGACATACTAATGCTTAACATATATACTAACTGTGAAAAAATAAATGAAACAATCTAAGTGTTTGTCTTATTTATTAAAGTATCAATAAATTATATTTCTGTAATAAAGTGAAAAAGTGCTTGAACATAGCATAGCATTACTGTCTGTAATATTTGAATCAAAGCAGCCCAGAATGTATGGTGCCAGTCCAATTACAGGACTCTGTTGGTGAGTGGGCTGTAACTGAAAAAAAAAAAAAAAAAAACATTGTGGCTCGAAACGGCTTTGGCATCAACTATAGATTATTTTGACTTGAACTTTTCTTTCATTCAAGCAGATTGTGGTACCTAAGTTTACTTAGAAAAAGGATATTTTGAATTTTCTTTGATGGAGTATGGCGGACTACCTCGTCTTACATTTGTAGCGGTGAGTATGTCACCTTTTTTGTTATCCAATAGCAAACAGGGGCACTTTGAAAGATAACTGTAGATCCTGTCCCACAACTAAGAGCCATCAATGAACCATGGGCAGACTATATATTCACTTTTATAGGATGGTTTGTCAAGCTAGGAAAACACACAAGTATTCCAATAGTATCACAGAAGTAACTGTATTCTAAATATTATGTTTACAAATAGTAACTGTAACAGAATACAGTTACTCATAATTTTCATTCTAATATGTATATATGTAACAGCGGTACATGTATTCTGTTACTCCCCAACACTGACTGGGATATAACGTAGGGAATGTCATTTTTTTTTGCTAAGCACACTCCCCATCCTGTAGAGCCCCATGCAATTTGAACTGAGCATTGTCCATCTCTAGCCAATAGTGTTAGACATTCGCTAAAGAACAGATGTGAATCAGGGCATGCACAAACATTTGAGGATGTACCTAGACAGATGCACAGTTGGTGACCTTTCTCCATATCAATTCAAAAATACTTTATTAATCCCAGAGGAAAACTGATTGCTGTAGTAGCTCAGAATAATAAAAATAATCAAGTCGTCAAAGAGTTATTGTATATTACAATGGCTGTTGGCAGGAAGGATCTCCAGTTCCATCTTTTAGTTAAGATCTCCAGTAGCTGTCAGTGTTGCAGCCAAACTGAAGAAGCCTCTTACTGAAGACACTCTTCCGTTGTCGGGCAGTCTTGTGAAGAGAATGCTCAGGGTTGACCATAATTTTCTTGATTCTCTGGAGAATCCTTCTTTGCATTATCTCCTCCAGTGGTTCCACAGTCTTCCCCAGAACAGAACCAGCCTTTTTTTATTAGGCTGTTGAGCCTTTTCAGGTCCCTGCTTCTGATGCTGCTACCCCAACAGACGATGGCTGAACAGATTACACTCTCAACAACAGACTTGTAGAAGATCTGCAGCATCTTGCTACAGATATTGAAGGACCTAAGCATCCTCAAGAAGTGCAGTCTGCTGTGTCCCTTCTTGTAAACGGCTTCGCTGTTCTTTCTCCAGTCCAGTCTGTTTTCCAGGTGAACTCCAAGGTATTTGTATTCCTCAACCACCTCCACTTCTTTTCCCATGATGGAAACAGTGTTTGACTCCACCCTGTTTCTTCTGAACTCTAAAATCATCTTCTTTGTTTTGTTCATGTTCAAGGTCAGATGATTGTTTCCACACCATGCCACAAAGTGCTCCACCAGCTCTCTGTACTCAGCTTCCTGTCCATCTCTGATACACCCGACAACTGCAGAGTCATCTGAGTATTTCTGTAGATGACAGGTCTCTGATTTGTACTGGAACTCTGAGATGTACAGGGTGAAAAGCAATGGTGAGAGTACAGTCCCCTGTGGTGCTCCAATGTTACTGATCACCTGGTTTGATGTGCAGTTCTTCAGTCTCACAAACTGTGGTCTGTTTGTCAGGTAGTCTTTAATCCAGGTGATAGTTGAGGCCTCCACCTGTGTCTTCTGGAGTTTCTGGCAAAGTACATCAGGCTGGATTGTGTTAAATGCACTGGAGACATCAAAGAACATGACCCTCACAGTGCTGCCTGCTTTGTCCAGATGACAGTGGGTTGGTTGAAGCAGCTGGATGATGGCATCTTCAACTCCAACTCCATGGCGATAAGCAAACTGCAGTGGGTCCTGATATGTTCTAGTTTGCTTATTCAGGTGGACCAACAGGAATCTCTCCAGGACCTTCATGATGTGGGATGTCAGGGCAACAGGTCTGTAGTCATCATTGACTGATGGGTGAGTTTTCTTTGGAAGTGGAACAAGGCAGGATGTCTTCCACAGGACTGGAACCTTCTGGGCCAGGCTGAGGTTGAAGAGGTGCTCCAAAATCCCACAGAGCTGCTCTGCACAGGCCTTCAGTACCCTGGGGCTGACACCATCTGGACCTGCAGCCTTGTTCCTGTTCAGTCTCCCCAGCTGCCTCTTCACCTGACTTCTAGAGACAGATAGGTGGGAGGGGGAGGTAAATGGGGCAGCAGCATCTCCTGACTTGGTTGAAGACAGATTTATAGAACCAGAAGAGACCATGACTGCGTTAGAGGGCAAAAGAGCTGGCATGTGACAGGAAAATGTTGGAACAGAGGAGGATGGGATGTCTGATTGGCTGGGGACAGGCGAGGAGGATGCTGGGTTTGTTCCTGAACTGAACCTATTGAAGAACTTGTTCATTCATTGGCTGTGTCCAGGCTGCCATCTGTGCAATCCTTCCTCTGCTTGAAGCCTGTGATCTTCTTCATCCCTGACCAGACTTCTCTGATATTGTTCCTCTCTAGTTTGTTCTCCAGCTTCTTCCTGTATGCCTCCTTGCTGTCTCTGATCTTGATCTTCAGTTGTTTCTGTGTACTCCTCAATAATTCCCTGTCTCCCTCCTTGAAGGCTTTTTTTCCCATTTAGCAGATTCTTCAGTTCACTGGTGATCTAGGGTTTGTTATTAGTGAAGCATCTCACTGTTCTGGTGGGTATGATGTTGTCCACACAGAAGTTTATATAGTCAGTGACACATCCAGTCATGGCACTGATGTCCTCTACATATCCTTGGCAGAGAGTCATCCAATCTGTGGTCTCAAAATAACCTCGCAGGGCTTCTTCAGCATCCTGCGACCATTTTCTCACACACATACAGTGGGGCAAAAAAGTATTTAGTCAGCCACCGATTGTGCAAGTTCTCCCACTTAAAATGATGACAGAGGGCAGTAATTTACATCATAGGTACACTTCAACTGTGAGAGACAGAATGTGAAAAAAAAAATCCATGAATTCACATGGCAGGATTTTTAAAGAATTTATTAGTAAATCAGGGTGGAAAATAAGTGTTTGGTCAATAACAAAAATTCAACTCAATACTTTGTAACATAACCTTTGTTGGCAATAACAGAGGTCAAACGATTACTATAGGTCTTTACCAGGTTTGCACACACAGTAGCTGGTATTTTGGCCCATTCCTCCATGCAGATCTTATCGAGAGCAGTTATGTTTTGGGGCTGTCGCCAAGCAACACGGGCTTTCAACTCCTTCCACAGATTTTCTATGGGGTTGAGGTCTGGAGACTGGCTAGGCCACTCCAGGACTTTCAAATGCTTCTTACAGAGCCACTCCTTTGTTGCCCGGGCGGTGTGTTTGGGATCATTGTCGTGTTGGAAGACCCAGCCACGTTTCATCTTCAAAGCTCTCACTGATGGAAGGAGGTTTTGGCTAAGAATCTGACAATACATGGCCCCATTCATTCTGTCCTTAACACGAATCAGTCGTCCTGTCCCCTTAGCAGAAAAACAGCCCCAAAGCATGATGTTCCCACCCCCATGCTTCACAGTAGTTATGGTGTTCTTGGGGTGCAACTCAGTATTCTTCTTCCTCCAAACACGACGAGTTGAGTTTATACCAAAAAGTTCTGCTTTGGTTTCATCTGACCACATGACATTCTCCCAATCCTCTGCTGTATCATCCATGTGCTCTCTGGCAAACTTCAGACGGGCCTGGACATGCACTGGCTTCAGCAGCGGAACACGCCTGGCACTGCAGGATTTGATTCCCTGCCGTTGTAGTGTGTTACTGATGGTGACCTTTGTTACTGTGGTCCCAGCTCTCTGCAGGTCATTCACCAGGTCCCCCCGTGTGGTTCTGGGGTTCTTGCTCACCGTTCTCATGATCATTTTGACCCCACGGGATGAGATGTTGCGTGGAGCCCCAGATCGAGGGAGATTATCAGTGGTCTTGTATGTCTTCCATTTTCTGATAATTGCTCCCACAGTTGATTTTTTCCACATCAAGTTGCTTGCCTATTGTAGATTCACTCTTCCCAGTCTGGTGCAGGTCTACAATTCTTTTCCTGGAGTCCTTCGAAAGCTCTTTGGTCTTGGCCATAGTAGAGTTTGGAGTCTGACTGTTTGAGGCTGTGGACAGGTGTCTTTTATACAGATAATGTGTTCAAACAGGTGCCATTAATACAGGTAACGAGTGGAGGACAGAAAAGCTTCTTAAAGAAGACGTTACAGGTCTGTGAGAGCCAGAGATTTTCCTTGTTTGAAGTGACCAAATACTTATTTTCCACCCTGATTCACAAATAAATTCTTTAAAAATCCTGCCATGTGAATTCATGGATTTTTTTTTCACATTCTGTCCCTCACAGTTGAAGTGTACCTATGATGTAAATTATTGACCTCTGTCATCATTTTAAGTGGGAGAACTTGCACAATCGGTAGCTGACTAAATTCTTTTTTGCCCCACTGTATGTATGTATATGTATATATATATATATATATATATATATAAACAATATGAGACTAAAAACTGTATGTTTTAACTCTTATTGGCAAACTAGAAGTACACAATAATGAACGAGAGGTGTTGCTTTGAGTCACAAAACCTAAGATAGGTGCGATACATGTTTCAACTTCTAGAGAGTGTAGCCAGATTTAAAAAAGTCTGGGTTTCTGCTTTGAAATTTGAAACCACAGAAAACATAAACAACAGATCAGAAATAGTAAAAGTTAAGCTTTAATATGATTCTGGAGTTTCACCTTTAACTTGGGGAGACGCTTGATGGTCTTGAGTGGACGTAACACCCTCAGCACTCGAAGGGATTTGATTGTACTGATGTCTTTGCCTTTGCTGCTCCCCCTAGTGTTCAGGCATAAAACAAAAAATGCACAATATTACCTGAGAAAAGGGGACAAATGAGGATATTGAACAATCGCAAAGGGCTCTTACCAAACCATTTTGCTATTATTCAACAGTATATCGAGAATAAGAAGGAAATGTGCCCAAAATGCACCCAAATGTGAAATTTCTATAAAGAAAAGTACATTGAATTTGTGTGACAGTTGAAAACTCTTACAGTCAAACATGAAACCGATGGAATCGAACACATTCGGCTGTCTGACCATGTGGTTTCATGGACATGAAAATCACCATCATCATATTATATCACGATCTTCATCATCATTAAGCACACATTCACTGCAAAGCAACAGGCAACTCTGCGGCAGAGTGTCCGGCCAAACCTCTTTCTTTCTTTCTTTTTCAGTAAAACGTCATTCAGTTCTTTAGGAGAAATGAACATTTTAGATGTGAAAACAGGGATTATTGTGTAATAATCCACATTTTATATCCACAGTTTTTACATTTTCCACATAGCCTCCTTCCCCCAAAATAAACGTTTTGGGATTGACTGTAAAACACCTTTTTGGGTTGGAATTGTAAAGCTGAATGAATTGAAACAGAGACATGGAAATGAGGCTATGTGACAATTTCTGGACCTGTGATGCTGCTCACAGATCACAACATCACACGTCAGCACACAAAAACAAACGTCAAGAATTACACGAGCCACAAATAGGACCGAAAGATGAACGATTTACATTGTCTCTCCATGATCTCTACTAATAAATATCAGCGCAACAATAGAAAAGAGGTGACTTCATTTCTAAAATAACTGTATTGAAAAACTATATTGAATAAACAAAAAAAAGTAGGAGCCATCTGGACGATTGCCAAGTCTGGGAAGAAAAGAGGCCCTCCATCAAGGCTCTCTCCTTATGGAGTCAGTTCCTTTGACAGAAAAAGCTGCTTTAAAAATGGACCGGACAGGAATCCTGTTATCTTGTGGGCAAAAATGAAATTTTGGGTTCTAGTCATTATTTAAATTGCAGACTAGACAAGAACAAACTAACTTCTTCATAGCTGTGGATATTAAACTCCCTGATAGTTACTCACAGAGATTGGGTAATAGTGTTACAGTTTACAGTCCAGGGGAGGAGGGATCCAGATTTGAGACTCCCTGAATGGGGAGGAGTGGGCTGTTATGACGTAGCAAAAACCCCACCCAACCACCTGGAATAGCTTAACAAAAATTTGCGGAGCTGAAGGGAAGAAGTAGCTGAGAGAGGAAAATGCATGCGCGAAGCCAAAAACCACTTTGAGAAATAACAATATAACTTGGTCAAAAACTTCAAAAAGTGGATTTTGCATGAAATTGATGCATTATTTTAAAATTCTGTTTAGTTCAAAATGACTACATATTCCTACATTATCAAATTAAAATTTGCAACAAAGTTGCAACACATCTAAATGCAGAGTTTCCTAAATGTCTTGAATAATTCCTCTTGGTTCTCATTTTCTTTGCAAACATTTCTGGGCCTCATTATCGTGTCACCAGAACTGTGTCTGAAAGCAGTCTGGGACTCTTGTCTGTGAGTCAAAAAGTAAAAAAAAAAAAAAAAAAGTGAGACTACTTCTGGAAGGTTGTGGAAAATCACACAGAAATGATCATAAAAGTAAATTACCGGTGTCGGTACAGTATCTGCTCGGGTGCAAGATCGGCTCGGGGTCCTTCGACTGCCGATGACGTCAAAGTACGGCAAACCCACTCGGACAAAATACACTACACATCTATACTGTTGGAAAGAATTTAGCAGTTTCGTTATTAAAATAATGTTTCTTAAGACGTAAGTTTGTGTTTATAATGGTATTTGTAAAATAAAACACTATATTTTATTCATAATGTTGAACTCCTCTTTAAGCACATCCCTTGAAGGATCATATGGTATTAGCAACACCTGTGAAATTGTATTTGCAGGAAAGAAGTGTGTCCCGTTTATTGAAGTATTTGTGTTTAGTTTTTGACGTCTTGTCCATGCGTAGTTCAGGTACGCTCATAGCTGCTAGCCAAAGCTCTGGAGTTAAAAGTTTTCTGGCTTTACTAAAATACCTGTCTGTACTTATTTGATTGATGGTATTTTACTTTCTATTAGACTCCAAATGTAATCATTTGGCCCGTTTCTAATTCATAATTTGTAATAATGTAATCGGCGATATTAGCATTAGCATTCCTATGGGTTTTTCCATGTATATTAGCATTGCGCTAACCACTCGCTGCCAAATTGCAGCCTTTGCCATTAGAAAATCTCCTTTTGTCACATCGCAATTTAATTGCACATGCAGTTAATCGTTCAGCCCTAATATACATGCAGCTCTATGCTAAAAGTGTATTTTCAAAGAGGTAATGATGGATTTCTTTGTAAAAGTTGTCCATCTTTCCAATAGAAAAAATTTGCCTGGACCAACGTAACGTGATAACAACGTTACGTGATTACGTAATTCCGTGAGGTTCATGTTCAGCCAATCAACTACTTAGACGTCATCGGCAGTCGACGGACCCGAGCCGATCTTGCACCCGAGCAGATCTTGTACCGACACCGGTATTAGTCTTTTTTTTTATTAAAAAAATTGACTCCCTTTGGGTGTGTTTTGCGTTTGTGTGCACGATGAAGGAGAAGTGGCACTAATACGGCGACGATGAGTACAAATGATTAAAAGAATAAAGAAAGAAAGAGAGCAGCCAACTTGATTCAAAAACTGAGAGCAGGGGAGAAAGTGGGAGAGGACAGAGGAGGAACTTTACCGGGTGCTGCTCCTGCAGAGTTTCACCGAACCAATGTAGTGACAGCAAAAGTCATTGACAGCAACAGAAAGAATGGAGGAAAGACAGAAGAAGAAGAGAAGGAGGAAACGGGAAAAAAATACATGGAAAGACACAAAAACACACATTGATAGAGACACATAGACAAAGACAGACACGAGACAAGAGAGGGGTTTTTGGGGGGGAAAACAGAAGAGAATACATCTATGTGAGAGACAGACAAAGAAGGACAGACAGCAGGATGGAGTTACCTGACCAGTATTTGTTTTTGGATGGTCCATTTGAACCCAGTTAACAGCTCCAATCTTATACGTTTCACCATGTTCAGGTTATGTGAAAGTTAAAAAGGCTTATAAAAAATCATATGAACTTCTGTGAAATTCAATGAGAGGAAACCGTTAAGATGACAGAAATACACTTCAGTCTTTGCTCCTAGCAGTGAGCTTATCAATCCTGTTGGATATAAACATTTTTTTTCTGATCAGAGGCTGTTTAGAAAGCTATACTGAGTGAGAAATTCTAACTTTCACACATACATATTCTTCTAAATGTCCCTTTAGCTCTTAGATACATCATTTAGATTCATTATATAACCACGTTTCTGTGAATTTGGCCTCCTGCTGACAGCCTAGGTGTGCAAACATCCTTTCACAGACCTCTTTGTTGTTTTAGCCTACAATTGCTGCATCCATTTACATTCACTCTTATCTTCTTAGATCATAATGATCAATTAGTGGATAAATCCCAAATTGTCCTTATTAGATCTGCAATCATCTAAAAAGGTTCAATCAAATCTTATTTGTACAAACGTTAGATTTTCTTGATATGTTACTCAAACGCTCAGGACATCAGTCATGAGCGGAGACTCAAGAAACCAGGATTTGTGTGTACCGTCTCAAATATACACACCATTAGTTGGAGGAAAAGTCATTCACACAGAGATCTGCTACCTGCATGCAGATCTAAAGTCATGACACTGAAACATTCAGCATTTGTTTAGAGAATGCTTAATGCCAGAAGCATTAAAGGTTATAACCCACACAAATATGAAGCCATTGTACTGTTTCCATGCTAAAAGTCTTCTGTACAATGTTTTGTTCGAGTTCCTGGTTTCAAAAATTGTCATGCATCAAAAGGGAAATTGCAGGTGTGCGAGTTTGGGTGTGTGTAAAGCCCCTTTAAGAGAAAGTTATCCTCTTTTTTCAGCCCTGGTGCAGATGAGTTGGAAGGCAGGGGTTTGAAGAAGAAGCGAAGGTGAAGATGTATGCGAGCATCAGAGCTGATGATACTGAGAGAAAGCAAGACAGGGAGGCATAAAGCAGGTGAGAAAAGACTCGAAAAGGAGCAGATGAAGGATTTGTCTTTTCAACAGGAAGTCATGCTTTGAGGGCGGGTGCTGCTGCAGTGGAGTGATTTTTATTTTCTGACTGCTTTTATCAGCCAGATCACATTCGTACATTGCCAAGTTTTATCTCACCACTTGTTTTCTTATTAAAGTCCTGCTTCAGTATGATGTTAACATGCTGGATGTTTTAATACAAATGTGTAATCAGCTCAGCTTTGACGCTTTTAATTTTAAAACTATAAAAAAGCATGAACAGTATTTAGATTGAGATAAAGTAATAAACTGTTCCATGTCAAACACTTATCTGTGCATCTTTTTCGAAAATATTTATCACCCATCAAAATGCAGGTTGACTTAATTTGCAGTTGTAGTCCATCAAATCTGTTGGATTTTATTAATTCATTCAGAATGAAACCAACAAAATGTCTCGAGTGGATTTACACCTACTGCAAAGGCTCCCACCACATCCAACCAACAGTAGAACATCTTTAAAATACCTATAACTAAATACATTTTAAATGGGGCATATTATGAATTTTGTTTTGTAATAGTTCTATGGTCCATACAAAACATGTTCATGAATTTTTTTCTGTAAATCCCTCTCACATAAAGCAATCTCTGCAGTTTTATTCTAGTTTTTTTTTATTATATTTTATTCTATTTTTAATCTTATTATTCATGTTATATGTAGCACATTAGTACCGAAGCAAGTTCCTAGTTTGTGAATTGTTTATTCACTGACAATTGCAATAAACCTATTCTGATTCTGATTTTATTATTGACAGTTTCAGCACCTTCCAGAATGAGTCGTTCCAGGGCTCTGTCACTTTAAGAAAACAATCCATAGCTGGCCACACCCACCCCTCCCTTGTTCAGGCTGCTATAAGCTGAGAAGCTCTGACATCCAGAAGGAGCTTGAAGTAGAGTTGCTGATCCTTCAGAAGCAGCTCTCTCTTGCACGTGAGAGGTGGTTTTATGGTTATTTATGGACTTTTTGAAATGGCTTGGTTTAGCTACGTAATTCCTAAAAACAAACACTGACAGAAAATGAATGGATGATTATTTTTTTCATGTGTGGAACGTTTATGGAGGTTTAATATGATCTGACAAGAAATTATTTTTAAAAATACAACAAGCCAGGCTAATTGTGAGGGTGACTACAAAGTCCCAGTGCCTTTGATATAACATGCTTCCTGTTGTTTTATCGTATTTTTTTAAATTTTAGGAAAAGAATATCAACGACTCACAATCTAGTTTTACATTAAACAAAAGAAAAAATGACAGTGGTAATTCAAGGACATGGACGTAAGAAAAACTCAAAGCACACATTTGTGATATAATTTAAAGATTCAGATTTTTAGAAAAATTAAATAGGCTAAAAAAGACGAACATTTAGTATTTGATTATTTGGAGCACATTTTTACCTCTACACTTTATTTGGTGCGACATCAAGCAAATTCAAATCCCCCCACATCATTTTACTTATCTCTATTTGCTTTTCATGCAGTTGTGTTGCCTTGACATCAATGTTTAGCCAAATTTTATGTAGAATAAGTTTGGCCCAAGTATCTGATCACCTTGATACACTGGAATGCATCACAGGTTGTATATAAGTTCATGCAGCCATCAAAGCAGACATGCACTGCATCTCTACCGAGCTCAGGAGGAAGCACAAATAAATTATTCTCTCATTCACTGCAATTTCTTTATTTTGCAAGCTCACTAACTCACCACCAGCTCATCTCAACTAGATGGCTCATACTTAAATATTTCACAAGTATTCATTACGCCTCCTCAGTATAACAAATCATTCCACCCAGCACACCCTTCCCCAGCATGCCCGCCACTTTCCCTCCCGTTGGCTGTACTTTCCCAAGTCGTGCAAAGGAAGAAGAGTTAAATACCTGTGCCTCCGGGTTCGCTAACCTAGAACAGTGGGTGCCTGCATGTCTGTAAGTGTGTGTTTGTGTATGTTGGTCAGAGAGGCAGGGGAAGAGGCGAGGGGATGTCCTGCCAGTGTTCCTCTCTGTGGCGTATGGATAGCCTGGGCACTTAAAGGGTTAAAGGTGTCTGAGTTGCCCTCACCCCCACAAACTGATCGACTGAGACCTCCAGCAATGGAGAATGAGGAAGAATGAAGAGGTGTGGCTGGATCATAAAGGAGGAAGTTAATGCTTCTTTGTGAATGAGATGCTGTACGATACGTTTAATGGAGTTTGGAGCCAGAAGAATTAATTATTGGTGGCAGGGGGTTACATCAGAAAAGGCTTTAGGGACAATGGCCCATGGTACCTGTTCCTAACATACAGCACAACAATTTCTAATAACAATAGTAAATGATAAATGAGCTGCACTTGTATGGCACTATTATAACTATAGCACAATTACACTACAGTGTATCATTCATCCATTCATGCACTGGTAGTGATGAGCTCCATTGCAGTCAAAGCTGCCCAGGGGCACACCGACAGAGGCACAGGTGCCACCAGTCCCTCTAACCACCACCAGCAGGCAGGGGGGGTTGAGTGTTTTGCACAAGGACACAACAGAAGAGTTCCCTGCAGAGAGCTGAGATAAATCCGACAACCCCCCAATAACTGGACAACCCATTATTCCTTCTGAGCTACCGCCGTCAGAACGGCATAAAATCTGGCGTACTTTAACCCTTTGATGCATAATGGTCACTACAGTGGACAGGTACTCAAAATTGTTATTTATTTATTTTTGCTATTAAGCACAGCTGTTGAAGACTTTATTGCATTTGAGCCCCTCCATTTGGACTTCAGTAAGCCAAGCCAACATATTTCATGGTCAGAATGCACGCTGTCCACTGAGGTGGACATGTAATAAATTATTCGTAAATTAACAAAATGTCACAAACAATATTTGTTGAAATTTGTTTCATTCACACCTAAAGACGAATGAAAAAAATTGTTTAAAAAAATCATGGTTGAAGATTTCATAAGTCATGCATCAAAGGGTTAACAAAAGGTTTCATGTTTGATTTAACAACATGAGAATAATAATTGCAAAATGAAGTGTTTTAGCTCTGTTGGTCAGCTAGAGGTGTGTGTTGATGAATGGAAGTGTTCCTTACGGCTATAAATACAAAAGTAGGAAGATGGGCTTACACTGCAATACATTTGTCAGCCTCTAGATGGTGCTGTTTGATAAAAATTAACTCTGGAATTCTGCTTTAAAGGCATACTTTGCAACTTTTTCATAGTTGTGCCAGTATGTGCTAAAATGACCTTTTACATGGTTATTGAAAGGCCACCCAACCCTGTTGCAACATCGCAGTTGCTGGTCTGGTCTGTTGGGACTGAGAAAAAATTGAGCGGACCTAGCTGGTGCTGCTGTCTGGTTTCAACATGTTTCCCACATGTTTTAGATCAAGAACACAGCTGATTTGTTTAATGTAGAGATGAATAAGTCCACGTAGGAATGCTGGGAGATGCTTCAGCCGTTAGATGAATTGCTAAGAAGACAAGCGCACAGCGAGGAGGTTTTGGTTTCGCTTCTACCAACGAACAATAGAGGGTGCTAAAAGCAAGCAAAACTGCCTAGTATTCCTTTAAATGGACAACTAGCAGCAGCTGAGGTGACCAAGCCACTGTTTTGTCCTTGTCCCCTTCCCTCTTCCTACAACTTTCCTGGAATTCCTACAGTAGAAACGCAGCTATTACTCGAGAATTATTTAATCTGAAAAACTCCAATCCAGATGTGCAGCATCAGACCGACACCATCTGAATGGCTTCTTAATTTTGAGCAATTCCATAAACATTTGTTTTGTTTGGCTTTATTTATTTAACAGATGCTTCTATCAAAAATGGCATTACTCTATGTGCTGTATGTCAGGAACAAACAGGTTACACTGGGACGAAGAGAAGAAAGAGCACGCGTGAAGCAAGAGGAAAGAATTTGATGAGGAAATCATCAAATCAACTGGAAGGACTATGGCTGTGGAAAATCTAGGAGCAGGGGTTCATGAGAAAGCTTCTGAAGGATAAAAGTCAGAGATTCAGATGTAAGAGAAGAGAAAGGGATGACTCACGGCCTGGTTGGAGGAAATATCAGAGCGGCATGGTTTGGAAGATAAGGGAAATAAGGGAACAGGAGCAAGGAAGATCGGGAGGAAACATGTTCATAAGGAGCAAGTGGTGGAAATTACTAAATCATACAGTGGGGGTGGGGGGTGGGGGGTTAGAGATGGGCATTTTACTATGACTTACTGGTTTTTGGAACGGGGGTGAAGACAGTGTATCTACACTCTAAAAATTAATTCAGAGGTTTTGGAAGAAAACAGTCATCCAATTGAAGGAAACTTTCGTGAAAGTAATCCCTGTGATTGGAAAGATCTGCTCCAAAGACACCCAAACCTTGTTTCCATTTTAGAGTGTAGGTAAAGATGGAGGAATTCGGGGGTGGGGGGGTCATAAACACATAAAGGATTGATGGGGGATTTTTGAGATGAAGGTGGTGGTGAAACACAGAGAAAGACCTGTCGATCACAAGCAATGGTGACCAACGTCGGTATGGAGATAGATGACGAAAGAAAGGGAATGACCACACTCAGAGAAAGAAGGTTTAATGATAAAATTACAAAATGAAACAAAAGGGTCAAAACTGAAAAGGAAAAATGATAACAGATCTGAGAGAAAGACAGAGTAGACAACACTGAGAGAGTGACGGAGGAAGATGAGTTTAAACGTACAGCTGGCTACGTACCAGGTGTACGAGGCAGAGCAGCCTGGGCCTTTCTGTTGGAATGTGTGTTTGTGTGTAAGAAAGAGAGAGAGAGAGTGTGTGCGTGTGTGTGTGTGTGGTGAAGATGAAAAAAATGAAAGTGAGAGGGGGAAGGGGGGAGGGCAGGGGGCACTTACGTGAAGGCGAAGGCCACCAGAGCACCACTAACCACTATAAAGTCCAGAATGTTCCACAAGTCACGAAAGTAAGATCCTTGGTGGAGAAACAAGCCCAGCACCACCATCTGCAAGACATGAAGTCTTCCTCAGCAACAACTGTATGGTGTCCATTTTTGGACATTAATAGATCTCACACGGACCATAAAAACTACAAAACATGTCACATGACAACAAATCAGCAGATAATTAAGTACAAACAGTTAGAATCAAGTTCAACTCCAAACATTCACACCTGCACCAGCACACTGATACTTGTTACCTTTATCAGCATTTCAAATGTGAAGACACCTGTGAAAACGTAGTCAAAATAACGCAGCACCTACAGAGGAGCACATACACACAGATTTAGGATTAGAAAGTTGAAAAAAAGTAGGAGAGCCAGAGAAATAAATCACAGTAACAGAAGAAGATAAGAGACCATAGCCGAATATGTAAATTTCACCCAAAAACTATTTTATAGTCTATCAAGAGCACAATTTGTTATCCAACAGTTGTTTTGTTGGGATCACCTGACTCTATAAATGACAGAAGTATTTGATGATTGTTTACAGCTAATTTAGAACATTGAAGAACGTTTTAAGTTGTGGTGGCAGTAAGTTAAACAGGTGGATTTTATGTTCTGCTGCTTAACAGAATTAAAAAAAATATGCAAGAAGACAAACACATACACAGAGCAATGTCTTACATTGTTTCGTGTTGAGTCAGGCTTGACAGGGTCTTCTGCAGCGAGGGCGATGCTGCTCATGGCAATGACGGACAGGATGCTGAACTCAAAATACTTTAGAGTCAGGATGTAATGGCAGCACCTTCGAAACCTGATGCAAAACACACATGAACAATGCTTACCGGGAGAAGTTCGCAAAACTATAATGCTAAACTTTTATTGACGAACACATGGTTGATTTAGCAGATGTAACACGTTTCTATGTGGCCTTCTGTGAAAATATGACTTTATTAAAGAAGAAGGTCCGAATCTTCCCCAATAACAAGCCTTGGCTTACATCTGTGAAAACTTGTTTACAGACAACGAGAAATGACTTTTTTTTTATAAAAGTAATTTGACAACCAAAACATCTGCAAATGGCCTTTGCTCTGCTTGATTCTGTATGGAATCCATTGCAGGCTTCAGTACAACAAACAACAAAAGCACAGTCACCTTAGAGGGCTTTGCTTACGATTATGTCTTAACAAATGTGTTGCTTTTATTCCTGGTTTGATATTTTGTAAGAAGAGGGAGGAACTGAGTCACAAAATTAATGACACCAGTCATTCTGAGATTACACATAAAGATATTGTAAAGGCTAATGTCATATATCTCCTATTATACATGTTTAAATTAAAGTCAGTAACAAGAAAAGTGTCATATTTATTTAGTCTCCAACAGGAGCTGAATTTCATAGTCCCGTTTTTTATGCTAAGATGTGTGTATTAGTTAAAAATGTATTTTTTCCCCTGTGTATTGCACTTACAGTGATAACACATTTATAAAGATCTTCAGATAAGAAAAACAAGCCTTGGGTGAAGATTCTTGTTTCTGTTATATCGTTTGCTAGCTAGCAAACTACACATAGCTACGTGAGGACAGTGTATGTTCACTACACAGGGTAAATTTCTACATCACAAGTTGTGCCAAATAAACTAAAATATCTCAAAAACATTACTGCAGACCTGTTATATTTTGATATTTCGATAGAGGAGAAATACCTGAAGAGTTTGATGTATAATGTGGGTATAGTATGTAAAATATGTGTCATTAAATAACTGAAAACCAATACCAACATATTTTACAATATTAATTTTTAATGCCGATATTGGTCAATATTAAATATACAATGTGTAGTTTTTACCATTAATTTCTGGAAACATCCATCATAATGTTGTTGAAAATGAATGAAATGAGGCCCATTTGAAAAATATTGGCGGCTTCGTAACATATAACTATAAAAACCAGGTCTAAAATACATGGGAGCATGTTTCCTCCTACGGGAGCCCACAAGGACAAAATGAATTTACTGATTTGGAACAAATGGTTACAAAACTTTCGTCATTCTTAAATGTTGTTGTTTTACACATGTACCTCTTCACTTGCTAACATTGATGAAAGGGAGTCTGATGTGCTTGTTATTTTGCTGAAGTTTGCACTCTCCAATGCTTTTTGACCCTAACAGGCATCTGTTGGTAATGTCTTACTCCAACACAAAAATACTGCTTGCTTGCAATGATTTAGGTATCTGCTGCCCCCTATTGCCAGTAAAAATACACACAGGCTTTTATTGAAGCAGTTTTATCCTTTTTTTGGCGTCATGGTTTGGAAATCTTTCGGTCAAAAAAAGGCCAGCCTGGGTCAAACAGTGAAGTGGTCTAGTAGGATAACAAGAGAGCAGCAGCTGAGCCCTGACACAATTGTTTTCAAGACAAGTACAGGGGCTGGCGTGATCCGCTTTAGAAGACAGCTCTCATCCACTACACTATGAGTTCCAGCTTCTCCCATCAGGATACAGATATAGAGCGCCACAGTGTGAAATAAAACACTCTACGAACAGTTTTCTTCCAACTGCCATCACCCTCCTAAATACGTTAAAGCCCTTATGTTGTGATTTAGTTGGTTCATTTAGATGTTTATGATATTGTGTTTGATGCTTACGCCTTGCCTGCTGCAAAGCAAATTTACCTTCTGGTACAAATTAAGTCTTTGATTGAAATGTTTGTTCCATAATTCAATGTTCTGGATTTGGAGTTTGGAAACACCACTCACGAGTTGGTGGTAGACAATATGAAGCAGGAACTGTAGGGAGGCATGCGTTTAGGGCCATCTTCATCTTCCCCCTCGTCCTCTTCCTCTTTCTTTTCCTCGCTCTTTTTCTGGTCAGTGTTGGCATTCTTGTTCACTGAGCGCAACAAGAAAGAAAGAAAAATGAAAAAATGCAGAGAGGGTAAACAAGTAACAGACTGACAGAAAGAGGTCAGATTGACATGATAAAACATGTGAAACATAGCCCAGAAAACCTACATCAACCGTAGCAGGAGCAAAAAATTTTGCTCCACAGGCCTGAACAATTTTTGGTTCCAGCCACTCACAGCGCACAATGTATAGAGAGAGACTTTGGGTGGTCTTAGCACCAGAGACGCAAAAAAAAAAAAAAAACTACAAATATGGCGTCAGTTCAGGAATGGTGCTTGTTTCAAACGGCTCTAGCATCAACTTTGGACGATTTAGACTCAGGCTTTTTGTTGAGATGAGAAGCTAGAGGTACTTAAGGTTCAGGGTTAGTTGTTGGTCTGATTGGTCCTATCACTGTCCAATTGCGAGCAGAAACCGTTTGAAAGACACTCAGATTCTGCCCCATGACTGGGCTCCACGACTGGGTTGTAGCCAGACTGTATATCCACATATATAGGATAGGTTGCTAGGCTACTTGAGAAGCATTCACTGGGATGGTTTTAAGAAAATCCAACAACACAAACATTGTTAATACTTCAATAAAAATGCTCCCATGTCAATAAATTTGATAATAAGTTGTGTAGGTAGGCAACATTCATGTCCCTTTAAGAAGCTGTACCACCTTGAGTCATGTAAAAATCTGACTCAACGTAATGCATGTGACAGCCCCATCTAGTGGACAACTTTTGTTTCTGTGCATACCTGTAGTTATCGTTGATTTATCGTAATCATGGTGAAATCCTCAATATATCGTGATATTGATTTTAGGCCATATCGCCCAGAGAGAATGTTTTTAAGGATACAACTTTTCTTTTGAGTGAAGGTGTAAATACTAGAAATCACCATTCTATTTGCTGTCAGATAGTCCATAAAAAATCACTGTGACCATACTGTACTCATTATTGCACCCCTTTACCTTCATGACCCTTACCTTGTAAGATAGCGTTGGTTGAGGGGTACGGGTAGACAGGGGGCATGTCTATTGCTGTGTAGTTGGGTTTGGCCATGCTGGTCAGGATCAGGCTGTCCATGCTGTGAAGCAGGGTGTAGGTGTCAGCATCATGGAAGTTCAGTAGGTTGTGAAGGTGGTCAGGGTGGTCTGGGTGATCAGGTGGGAGGGCGTAGGGGTGTTCGTGGGCACTGGCCAGCTTGCTGTTGTTGCGGAAGTTGTCAAGGTCCTCGTTGTACTGCTGTATGGGTCGTGTGGTGGAGAGGCTGGGACCATCGCTGTGGTGCTCCCTGATGAGGGAAAACAAAGAAAGGGTCCAGGTACAGAAAAAAAGAAACAAACATCAAAATCTATCACTTACTTTCTGGTGCGATGACCTCTGCATTTTACGTGGTTGCCATGGCGATGCCGTCTAGTCTTCCGACATCCGTCTTCTTCACTTTTGTCCCCTTCTCCCCCTGTACCCCTACAGTGGTGTCTTCTTCCCTCCTCCCCCTCACTGCCTGTCCTGCAGTGCAGTCTGGACTGCCTCTGCTCGATGTTCCCCTCTCCACCCTCACTCAGGTGTGGCGACACGCTGCTGTAAGCTTCCCCGTGTTCCCTGTTCCTGTGCCGGTGGCCTCGACGGCTCCGATGGCTGTGCCTCTCCTCGTCCTGGTGGACACTCCCTTCTATGTTACTCAGAGAAGTGCAGCTGAAACCGTGCTCCATGTGAGTCTCTGTTAGCTGGGATGCATCTCCACTGTTTGGGCCAGAGGCTTTCTGATGGCGGTGATGGTGGTAGTTGCAGTAGTGAGCAGCTCGACGACAGTGGTCAATGTCCTGGCGTCGATAATGCTGGTCCAGAGGCAGCTCACCAGGTTGGGTTTTGTTGGTGTTGTTGTTGCGATTGTCCTGTGGGTTCACCACCAGTGGCCTGTCCGTGTGTGTTTTCATGTCACCGCGTCCTTTCCGTGGGTAGGACACCTAAGTTAGGGTATATGGTCCAGAGTTTTAAAAGTCCAGACAAATTTTCAAGGGTTTCTTACTTATCCGAACACGGTTTAAGACTATCTGTTGCTGAAATGTTTTGTGAAAATTGCTTTAACACTAAAACATTTGAGTTATTTCCAAGCAAATAAAAAACGAGATGTTTACAATAATTCAGTGCTTCCCAAACCTTTTAGCTTCTGTTCTTGAAACACTTGCTTCCACGACAACAACTGGTTAAACCATACAAACATGACTTATAATCCTAACGCTAACAATCAAATTAAACCAGGGCATAATGAAGAGAAGATATATTTATTTTGTCTATACATAAATCTTATTTTGGCAATGACATCAATTACAGTGAAAGTATTTATATATTTTTTGCTAATATTTAAAGGTCTCCTTTGGATTCTGGAAATCATCTCAAACCCCCAAACTTGGTGTTTTCAATTTGTGACGGGAAACTGGCAATGGTACAACAGTTTCAACTCATGGCAGTTTTAATTTTCATTAATGTATTTTGTACTTAATGTTTCACTATGTGACCTTCTGGTTGATCTAGTCGCAGCCGAGCATTTCTCTTTAGTTTGCCTACATGTAATATCAACATCGTCAGTTGCTCAGAAGAGAATGCAAGAGCCTTGAGCAAACATGATGGAATTTTTTTTAAATCACTGAAGTTTTTTCCTGACTTCAGGAAGGGAATAGTGAGGTTAGTGGTTACTCAATGAGATGCAATTTCTCATCACTGCCACTAGATGTCCCCACACGTCACACATTAAACCTTTAATGCAGCGTTTCTCAATTATCTTCTGTGATGCCACTCCAGGATTGCTAGCCCCCAATCCCCTAGCAGGCAAATGTGCTAGCGGGGGTGAGGTCGGTGGTTGGGTGCTCGTATTCTTGGTCGGGAAATGTCCGACTGGGTGGTGGGTGTTGTCGGGGCATCCTAGAGCAGGCGTGGGAGTGTGTAGTGTGTTGTATCTGGCCTGTTTTGTGCTCTCCGCACAAAACAGCCCCCCCCCCCCCCCCCCCCCCCAATTGAGAACCACTGCTTAAAGGCATGCAGACTAAACCTGAAGATTAAAGTGTTGCTCAAGCCCCCAGCCAGCTCCCATCCCCAAGCCACACATATACACAGTTCAGCAGTCAACCATTTTTGGCTCCACATGAACAGTTTACATTTAAAACTGTCATGACATCTTTTACAGCCAAAAAATGCTAAAGCAGCACCAGCAGTGAACATAGTTTGCTGAGGAATATCCAGTCGACTCCTGATTATTAATATTTTTTTGAACGCTCCACTTTTGAGTTGCTTACCTTCTTTGAGTCTAACTCTGGATTTCTCAGCATGCCCCATTTAAATAATGCATTGCTCCAAAGCACACAGCTTCAAGCCGACCCACATAGCAGCACAATTTTTCACAGGCTTCAAGGGATATTACACCCTGGAATTAAAACATCTTTAGAGTACAGCACGACCCAGAATACTATGTGGTCAAAAAGCAGGTCAAGCTCCTGCGTTAAAGCAGCATTTTTACCGTACAGCAACGCAAACACTGCAAAACGTTGAGCCAGAATATAATTCAAGAAACACAATCTTTGGAATGGAACCCGTTTTCATCTAATTTGATTAAAAGCTTTTTAAGTCATCTTCATTTTGATCCTAAATCAACAATTCTTCATGAATGTGTTCTGCAGTTTACTTTAATTTACTCAGACCAGTATAATTTAATGGAATGTATTGTATAACTGATGTTATAAAATGTGAAATGCAATGAAAAATAAACTTTGACGCTTTTTAAAAAGTCATTTAAATTATTCATTTACACACTGATGTGTTAGAACAACCAGTAAAATGTGTTCCGGCACTGCTGCAACAAACAACAGGTTGCACATATGCTCATCCATCCATCCATTTTCTTCTGCTTATCCGGAGTCGGGTCGCGGGGGCAGCAGCCTTCCCTCTCCCCAGCCACTTGGGCCAGCTCTTCCAGGGGAATCCCAAGGCGTTCCCTGGCCAGCCGAGAGACATAGTCCCTCCAGCATGTCCTGGGTCTTCCTTAAGGTCTTCTCCTGGTTGGACGTGCCTGGAAAACCTCACCAGGGAGGCATCCTGTCCGAGCCACCTCAACTGGCTCCTCTTGATGTGGAGGAGCAGTGGATCTACTCCGAGCCCCTCCTGGATGACCAAGCTTCTCACCCTATCCTTATCTCACATACAAGCAGCAAAAATTTGATTTACTGAAAGCCTTATGCTGCTTTCTGTTGCATCTGACAGTGCAGTTTTCTGGATCATGCTGACATATACATATATACATATACATATATATATATATATATATATATGTATATGTATACATATATACATATATATACATATATATATATATATATATGTATATATATACACTCTTAATATATAGCCATATCGTAAATCATTATGCATGTTCAGATACAAGAAGCCTTTATTGGCTTTAGATGTTTTTCCACTGCATTAGTATATCCCTTTAAGAGGTAAAAACAACTCATCAGACCACATTACACACATTTTTACCATATATATGCCCCATATATATATATCAGGAGTAGACTGCATATATATGTGTATATATGTTTTTCTTGGGATTGGGACTTCTCACCTCCTCTCCTTCCCCTCCCACCTTCCAGTCATCCTGCTCCAGCTCGTTGTAGAGTGCCTCTCGGCTCGTCATCAGGTTCTGCCGCCGAATCTCGCTCGTTCTTTGCTCCCACACAGACTTATTGTTCTTAGTGTGGTTCTTCTGCTGCTCCTTGCTGTTGGCAGAGGAAGAGGTGAAAGGACAGAGAGAAGATTTACAGAAACAAGAACGACCCCCCCCCCCCCCAAAAATTAAAAAGCAGTGAGATAATATAACAAATAGGTTGGTAAGAAAGTTGCTGAATGACTGTGGGGACAGAAAAATATGAGGATTTTAGCTAAAATAGAAGCACGCTCTAAAATATGAAACCCAGAGAAATAAAATCCATAAATAATGCTAATATGGTAAAGCACAATTTAGATGTGGAAACATGAGAAGTGTGAAGACAAGTCAGTGAGCTATTATGTCTTGTACTATGAATATTAATAAAAGGAGTTGGACTAATATATTGATTAAGGTGGATGCCCTTTTTGTTCTAGAGGCATTGCCACTCTCAGTTGCACCATGAAATTTGAATAACAATATTAGTATTAAGATGGCAGTTTTGAAAGGCTGTGAGAATCACTTATAAATGAACCATTGTTATAGCAATTAGCTGCTAACGCTAACATTACAGTCAAGAGTTTTGTTACAAAACAAGTCAAAAAATGAAGAAAACCTGTAAAAGCAATGAAGATTTTATTAAAGCTAAAACGTAGTCACCCAGATTAAAAACAAGTGTGATTTATTTATTATTATTATTTGTTAATATTAATAAATCTGACTCATTTAGTTGTGTAATTTTTTAACCTTTCATACATTTTGTAGCTAAAGATTCAAATATAGCTACAAAGGCAGAGAACCAAGAGCAGCAGGTTCATTTGAGCTTTGTTGTGATGCTATTGTAGCCGCTTCTGCTGCAGGGAACAGATTTTAGAATGTCCGCCTCTTGCTTTTCATCGCACTACAAAGCCCTGGATCTGTTCTTTTCGCTCTTTGAATAACTGATTAATCATACTTTAAAGAAAGATAATGGGGACGTTCGAGTGTGTGTTTCAGAACAGACAGTTTTCAATAAAAAAGGCGAGTTTGTGACTTTTTTCCTGTGAAAACAAAGATAATTTCGAGAGCGCCTATTTATTAGAAACATTTGTTCGATGCAAAGTTAGCATCTGTGAACGTGGTTTGTTTTTAGATGTTTGTGTACATAGTTTTGAACGTTTGTTGTTTTTCTAAACCTGTCCTGTTCCAGCGGTTGAGGCAGACAGAATGGCTGATCTGGGCCAGAACATGAAGGATGTGAGATACTTCTCCTGTTGGCTTTATCATGTTAGTGACATGAATAAATATTAATGTGTGTTTACTCACGCAGCAATAGACAGGTTGGCAGCAGACAGCGGGCTGACCTCAGCCACCTCCTTCGCCTTCTGTAGAGCCGTCTTTTGATTAGCAGCCTCTTCCTGTTCTTCCTCGTCCTGTTGGAGAAAATCCACTGAATGTTTTTACAGTTATATTGGGACTCAAAACCATACATCTTAGTTTGTTTAACTGGCTTGTGGCTCCATTTTTTTAAGCGTGAAAAAACAGGTAGGCTATGTCACCTTGGGATTTTATGTGACACAGTCAAGTTTTTCTTAATATAGTAAAAAAAAAAAAAAAAAAGATCATTGAAGGATGACCCGTGCTTCAATATAAAGGGAATTCCTTTTTTCCATGGGGGGTTCTTTACCTTGGTGAGCTCCTGGGCATTGGCCAAATTGTCAACAGCGATGGCCAAAAAGACATTCAGCAAAGTGTCTGTGGTGGTGGAAGTTAGAGGAAATATCGGAGATTGTCTGCAGAGGAAAAAGCTGATGGTTCATTAGAAAGAGGCGAGTGCAGAGAAATTAGCAAAAGTGGAGAAATACACAAACCCCAAAATCTAAATGAAGTATTTATGCTGGATGTCATTAAATGACAACTTTACACTTGAAAAAAACAGTAACTAGAAACAAAATCTGGAGATGTTTAAATAACAGCTTAAATACTGTTATATTAAAGACCAAGTACACTTGTTTATTCAATATGGCGTGGTCTTAAGTATGAATGAATGCCTTGTGAGCCAATCTCTAAAAAAAAGCTCTGGTGCTCCTGCTTCAGAAACTAGAAGTTAGCCAGATCAGAACTGAGCTTCAGACGACAGGATTTGGAGATTTATTTCCAGATTTTCAGGACTCGCAACTCCACTGACTGCATTTGCTCTGCAACATTGATGTTCTAGCTCCACAAATAACACAAGTCTAAGGGAGTTCTGCTGTGTTGTGGAGTTGCTAAAGCTAACATTAGCTTCTAATAGCCAAGAAGTGCTCTCCTCTCTCCTGGGCGTTAAACCAACAACAGAATTCCACGTCATGAGCCAAGACGGGTTAGTCCATGAATCCTATGATGCTTTTCAAATCCGCACAATTTATTTTCTATTGGCAGCTAATGCAGGAAATAGGGTTAGAAGGCCATTTTCACATTTGGCCTGTGTGTTACACTCAGAATGATCAATCAAATTTCAAAAATAACATGTAAAAACAATTTGGAGACCTTGTTAGTCCCAACAGCACCTCTTCCAGTGAGAAAGCAGAGCCTGGGGACTTTGGGTTGGATTCTCCAATCTCTGGGGCTAAGGTCACTGAGGTTGTCAAAAAGCTCCTTTGTGGTAAGGAGAGGGTGGATGAGATCTGTCCGGAGTTAGGTTGGCTGACGCGGCTCTGCAATATCGAGTGGACATTGAGGGCAGTTCCACTGGACTGGCAGATGGGGTGTTGGTCGCCCACAGGGTATGTTCCAACTACAGGGGGATCACACTCCTGAGCCTCCCTGGTAAGGTCCATTCAGGGGTTCTGGAGAGGAGGGTCTGCCGAATTGTCAAACATCGGATTCAGGAGGAGCAATATGGTTTCTCGATTTACCGGTCGATCTGCGTTCCTACCCTCACCTATGTGAGCTTTGGGTAGTGACCGAAAGAACGAGATCGCGGATGCAAGCAGCCGAAATGAGTTTTCTCCGCAGGGTCTGGGTTCTCCCTTAGAGAAAAGGTGAGAAGCTCAGTCATCCAGGTGAGGCTTGTAGTAGATCCACTGCTTCTCCACATTGAGAGGAGCAAGTTGAGGCGCATCTGATTAGGATGCCTCCTGGATGCCTCCCTGGTGAGGTTTTCCAGGCATGTCCAACCAGGAGGAGACCTAAAGGGAAACCCAGGACACGTTGGAGGGACAACGTCTCTCGCCTGGCCAGGGAACACCTTGACGTTCCCCCGGAAGAGCTGGCTCAAGTAGCTGAGGGGAGGAAGCCCGGGCCTCTCGACTATTCAGGGGTGTCAAACTCCAGTCCTCAAGAGCCAGTATCCTGCATCTTTTTGTTGTTGTCCCTGTTCCAACACAGTTCATTCAAATGTGCAGCAGCTCATTGAGCTCTCCAGAAGCCTGTTAATCACCTGCTGATTGAAATCAGGTGCGTTGGAGCAGGGAAAACTCTAAAACATGTAGGAAAGCGACCCTTGAGGACCGGTGTTTGACACCTGTGACTTAGGCTGTTGCTCCCGCAACCCGACTCCGGACACGTGGAAGAGAATGGATGGATGGACAAGGAAAAAACAGTTTTTCAGTGAACTTGGCCTTTAAATTATCATTACCCTTCTATTATTGTAAATTATTGTTTTATTATAATTACCTTACATTATTGCATAACCCATACTTCCCCACTTGTTCTATGTGTGGACAGGCTTAACATTTAGCATGCACTATTCTTCTTCTTGTGAAGGGTGGATACAGTTGCCAAAGAGCGTCAGAACAATGAAAAATATGGAGAAGACCATCCCTTTGTTGTTCACTCCTCCCTGGGACTCAATGCCGTCGTACATTACCACATTCCAGTCCTCTCCTGTTAGGATCTACGGAAAGAAGAGGGGGGAAAAATTTAGTTACTGTTTTGTAAATTGGTCAAAAGCATACCCAGCACAAACTAAACCATTTATCTGGTCCATGATCCTCTGGAGCTACAGTAAAATATATTAACAGTCATAATTTGTTCGAGTGTGTACAAGATTAGAAAATAGTGACATAAAGCTCCAAAAATGACAAAACATTTTTGATTGAGAATTTAGTTTTTTGCATTAAGACAGCAGAAAAGAAGGATTAAGAGCTAATGAACATTTTTAAAGCAAAGTGTCTTATTTTGTAAAAAATGTAAAATAATATAGGTTTCTGAAGATTGAAGTGAAAATGTTAGAAAATAACGAAGGTGAAAAACCTTAGATTGTAATGGACTGAAGTGGACATATCGACTCACATTTTATGTAGAAAACAAGTTAAGCTTTCTCACCTGAAACACTGTCATGATTGCGGCTGCAAATGTGTCAAAATTAGTGGGCGGAGTTCCACTTTCAAAGTTGAATCTGGAAAAAAAAAAGAGCAAAGAAACAAGGGAAGCAGCGTTTAACGGTGCAAAAGCAAAATGAAGTAGATAGTGCAAAGGTAATTATAGAAGGATGAGCTTTGGAGTTGTGAAGATACTGACTGTCCGCCAAAGAGTTGCATCCCCAACAGGGCAAAAACCACAATGAAGAGGAAGAGGAGGAAAAGCAAACTGACGATGGATTTCATGGAGTTAAGGAGAGAAACCACCAGGTTCCGAAGTGGTGCCCAATACCTGAAGAGGAGGAAAACAGATTTAAAGCCAAAGCCACGTAGATTTAGGTTTGCAAATGATCAAGTTTAGATTCCTAATTTAAAAGGATAAAACAACAGCATTGGTCTAAAACAACTCCCCAGGCCGTGCAACTCACAATCATACTCACTTTCACTCAATTTCTGCATCTACGCATGTTGCTCAGAAGACCCTTCAATTTGTACGTTTTCAACAATGAAATATTTGTTTCTACTGCAAGTTCAGTCTCTTTTTGTTTCATATCGTTTTCCTATTTGTGCAGAAAAGAGACGCCTGAAGCAAACAAACATACTTGGTGACTTTGAAGATGCGTAGCAGTCTCAGAGCTCGTAACACACTGATCCCAAAAGACGTGCCGGGTTTTACGGTGGCCCACACGACTTCAAAGATGCTGCCGACAATCACCTGCAAACAGAAGCAATCAAAAATTAGTGACATTAAATAGTTTTTTTTTTTACTTTAAGCTAGAGCTTTAACATTGATCTCAGTTATTGTTGGGTTAGAAACTTGACTAGTTTCATATTTGACACGACTCTGCAGACCTCTGTTGACCATAACCGCACTAGATAGTTCAGTGGCGTGAGTAGGTGCCCTATAGGGGTTGCTTTGTGGCTGTTAGCTGTAATGCTAGCAGTTAGCATTTTCAGTTTGCAAATCATCAATCAGAAGCATAAGAAGAAGAAAAAGAAGAAGTTTGATTTTTTTGCGGGCATCATGGTGGAGCCTAGAAGTTAACGGGAGGCGTGTTAAACTCAGTATGACTAATCAGATTTAAGAAATAACAAGTAAAAATCACTGGCGCAGTTCGCAGCTGAGTGAAGCAGCTGGGATGAAAATCAGCTCCTCTAAATCCGACACCATGGTCTTAAGTTGGAAAAGGATAGAAGGCCTTTCCCAGGTCAGAGATGAGGTCTTGCCCCAAGTGGAGGATTTCAAGTATCTCTGGGTCTTGTTCACCAGTGAGGGAAAGCTAGAGCGCAAGATCGACAGGCGGATTGGTTCTGCATCTGCAGTGCTGCGGGCGCTGCACCGATCTGTCGTGGTGAAGAGAGAGCTGAGCCAGAAGTTGAAGCTCTCGATTTACTGGCCAATCTATGTTCCTGCCCTCACCTATAGTCACGAGCTTTGGGAAGTGACTGAAAGAACAAGATTGCGGATACAAGTGGCCGAAATGAGTTTTCTTCGCAGGGTGTCTGGATTCTCCCTTAGCGAATGGGTGAGAAGCTCGGTCATCCGGGAGAGGCTTGGAGTAGATCCGCTGCTCCTCCACATCAAGAGGAGACAGTTGAGGTGGCTCAGGCATCTGATTAGGATTCCTCCCTGGTGAGGTTTTCCGTGCACGCAGAAACGGGAGGAGATCTAAAGGGAGACCCAGGACACGTTGGAGGGACTATGTCTCTCGCCTGGCCAGGAAACACTTTGGGGTTCCCCAGGAAGAGCTGGCCCAAATGGCTGGGGAGAGGGAGTCTGGGCTTCTTGACGTAGGCTGTTGTCCTTGCGACCAGACTCCCGATAAGCGGAAAAGAATGGATGAATGGATCAATACTTTATTTTACTGGTTGAATGGGGGAAATTCTATGCGTTTACCAAAACACTGCTTGTTCATTCGGCTTCCGGCTCCGTCGACAACAGCAGACTCACTGATCTTTGACTGTGGTGGACAAGCGAAGCCCGATATCCTCGGTCATCTTAGTTATGATTTTCGGAGGTGCCTTCACTTTGGAGTTGCTCTACCGCTTTTTTTTTTGTTGTTGTTGCTAAAAACGCCCAGAAAAACTCAGTTAGTTTCAGGTTAGCATGTAGCTAATGTCCCGCTGATCTTCAACCATGGAGCATGAGCTGATGTAAAGGGCCACAGTGCCCAGCTGCGATCGCAGCTGTCTTAGGCTCTGCTTATAATGTAACAGTCCTGGTCCAAATTAGATCTACACAGGCAACCAGCACGACTACAGCCTCGCACAGGAGCCAGTCGGCCATGCAGGTGGGCTACCCCAGTCCCCAGAGACCTTCTTGGCTTAACTAAGTTAGCTAGTAGCTATACTGGTTCGTTTGTTCCAAACCGTTTTCCAAACATAACAGCCCCACCCTCAGCTCTACCTCTTTTTCCATTTTTGAATTGTCTGGGCATGACGGGACGTGTGGCACAGTCAAAAAAATCTGTTGTGGGAACCTCCCATTTTTGGCTTCAACTTGCCCCCCGCGCAAAAATGGGTAGGCTATGTCTATATATTCATATGTAGATGATGTGTGCAAGTTGATTTATGTGTTGATTTGTGTGTTTACGCACCACACAGTCGAAGCAGTTGAACGAAGAGTGGAAGTAGGGCTGGATGCCCAGACCATACATCTTGATCAGCATCTCAGACATGAACAAACCAAGGAAGATAAACTCTGCATAGACTGGAGAAAAGGAGGGAGAAGAATAGAAAGGAAGGGGACGAGGAAGGGGAGGTAAGATTAAGAGGTGAATGACAATAACTGGATTTGTTTATACAGCTAAATCTATAACTAAAATAAAGAATGTGGAATTTCTGTTGACTTGAGCTTGACAAGCAATACCTGGTTTATATCAAGGATACCGATCAATAGCAACTCAAACCTGCTTGAAACATCACTCTTTAAATGAATGTTGCCTATTTACGAGATCCCAACTCTCCAACAACCTAATTCAGAACTGTTAACTCTGAGCTCTAAAACCAAAACAGTCTAAATCGTTCCAACCAACTTATGAAACCAAAGGTTTTTGGTAATGATGGGTGTGAATCATGCTTGTGTGCTTTCATGCATTTGGTGTTTCGTGTTCGTTTACTCACAGAGAAAGTCTGAGAGAAGCTCAGGCTGGTCATAATGCACCACAGCCACACAGATGGTGTTGAGGCCCACCAGGCAGAGCACCGTCCAATAAAAGGCCTGCGTCTTCACCATCTTACGGATAAAGAATCGCATTCGTCTCTCTTTCTTACTGTAAGCGGAGCCATCTTTACCACTTTTTATACTAGAGCGTGCAAAACCTGTGTAAAAATGTAAAAAAATAAAATAAAATCTGAAAAACCAACATCGTTTTTGGCAAACAAGCTGGCAACGTATTTTCATCTGTTTTACGTACCCACTGCATCCCCCATATTGTCTTCTCCTTCTTCTTGGTTTAGCAGCTCTGTTTTGTTATTTCGGGTTTTGATGGTTGGACGCCTCCTCGAACCTTGCAATAAAAAAATAATAATAATACAGGCCATCTGTTTATCAAATGTCATTCTGATATTCAGCCCATGGGATCTGTCATTTACTGATGCATTTGATAACATTTAAACACCTTTTTGGGACCATTTTACTCAAAGATTGCTGAACCTGAAAATTGTATATTTTTAAAGCGGACATATTATAATTTTTTTCTCTTAAGTTATAATAGTTCTATGTTTTTTCTCTTAAGTTATAATAGTTCTATGGTCGATACAACACATGTTCATGAAGTTTTTTCTCTCTCACACAAAACAGCAGTTTTATTTTTGACAATTTCATTACCTTCCAGAATGAGCTGTTTCAGGGCTCTGTCACTTTAAGAAAACAAGCTGGAGTTGGCCAAGCCCACCCTTTCCCCGCTCAGGGTGCTATAAACTGAGAAGCTCCAATATCCATGAGGGGCTCAGAGTAGAGCTCTCCTCCAGCAGCTGCTCTTTCTTTCAGGTGAACGCTGGTTTTATGCTAATTTCCCCTGTTTGTGATGTCACAATTAGGGACTTTTTGAATCGACTCATTTTAGACATAGAACTCCTAAAGCCAAACACTGACAGAAAACCGATGGGTGTTTTTCAAAATTTTGAGTGTTTGTAGAGGCAGCAGAGACCCACATAGCACAAAACTATGAAGAAAGTGAGTTTTGCATACTATGTCCCATTTAAAAAAGAAACACATATTTAAAGAATTGCTTTATTACCATCAAAGTTTCCTGTCGCATCTTCCTCAGCCAGAATCACCTCCTCTGTAGAGAAGTTTTAAAAAAGAAGTGAGAACATTTTCTAAATGTAGCAGCCTGAACATCTGAATGAATGTGTTTGCCACTGTGTTCCGACCCGCTTTGCAGATCCACTCCAAGTATCCGTTGAGCTCTCTCTCTATCTGCTGCTGTCGCCTCAGCTTGAGGAACTCGCTCCTGTTTTCCACTCGTTCCCTCTCTTTGGCAAATTCACTACGGTAACATTCTTATATATAGTTACTCCATTTTTATATCACTAAATGCTAAATCTAAATGACAGAGGAGGTTCAGCAGAAAGGTTAACAAAAATAATCAGAGCGTCGTACCCTGAGAGTACACCCAGCACCAGGTTGAGCATGAAGAAGGAGCCGATGATGATGAGGGGGATGTAATACATCCAGTTCCAGGTGCTGCCCTCCACATCATTACTCTGAAAGAGACAGTCACATTATTATTCACGTCATATTTAAAATTGGGTTTGATCCATTATCCTGCTATTAAGGACACGTAGATGTGTCTTAAATTTAGAACACCTTTTCTTCACTCTATTTTTTCCTAAACCAAACAACCTTCAGAGAGTATTTGTTCACAGATTTATGTAACAGTAAATAATACTTTATTGCAAGTTACAGGTTTAATTTGTGATAAATTATTAAATTAATTGTGCACATTGCACTATGAATTATGAATTTCAGAAGGAAGCCACAGAATTACATTCTTCTGGATCCACTTAGGAGAAATAGTTAAATCCTGATTTACGGGCTGACAGCTAGTATGTATGAACCAAGAAACTCTGCTCCAGTCTCTAAAATATAACATCAGTTCATGTGAATGTTGCCTTATAAACATTTTATCATTCCTTTGACATTAGTTTCATTTGATGATCCTGCAGGAAGTGACCTAGGCTTCACTAGAGTCAACCGCTGCTGTTTGTGCTGCAACCCAAGAATAATAAAAAAAAAGGTCTAATATGAAGCAGATTGTGATGCAAATTTTATAGTTTTGATTACATTAGTTTTTGCATGAAGTGTTATCAGACCAGAGTTATTATAATAGTAAAAACAAATAAACATTTAAAAAAATAAGTACATACAACTTTGCAAAAATGCAAAGACAACAAATAAAAAAAACACTGTTGTTGGATGCTAAACTATTGATGTAATGGAACTGAAATAAGAGTATGACTTTTCATATTCACTGCTTCTAACTGAAAATCTGACCTGGGATCAGAGGTTGGATCTGTCACAGACAGATGGCATTTTCATGTTGAAATAAGAGCACAAATTACAGCCAACACAGACTCTGCTGACAGTCACGGAAATCAGATTACAGAGGATATCGTGTTTCTGTGACTCCCTATAACACCATAATGGGTCTATAGGCTCAAAAACCGTTCACTGCTGGACTGAAGGTGTTAAATTTATCACTACATGCTACAATACAAGCAGCCACTTCTCTATTAAACTTTCATTGGTTTCCTCCTGACTGCCGGTGCAAGTGTGGAAGTCAGCCTTCATCCATCAGAAAAGATGTTAAATATAGAGCGAGATGGACTAGAATAGAGAGTGGGCAAGAGGGAAGAGGTGAAAGGAGAGTGACTCCAAAAGGAAGAAAAAGGGCAGATGACAGAACGATGAGAGGAAGACAAACAGATAACAAAGTGACAGGTGGAGAGAATCCTGCAGTTTTGGGGCAAATGACTGCAATCAATGTGATTTGAATGAAATCTAAAACCACTTTATCCTTCATTTAGTCAAAAATAAAACCCAACCCAAACACTAATCATCGTGCATCAAAATGTCATAAAACTACATTACAAAAGCTATTTCCAAGATTTCTGCTATACGTTGCAGCAAATTCCAACAACAAAGCTTCTGCTTACAACGCTGATGAGTAAGTAAAGTTTAACATATTAAAGACAGTTAATATGCAATACCATATCGTGCAAACACAGCAAAACTACAATAAACAAAAGTTTTTTAATTCTCTTTAGTAAAAAAGATTTTTGCAAATAAACAGGCTGGCTAAGTTCTGAAAGTCTGAAACAAAGGAAGTAATTTTGGGATGCCAGAAACACTGTTTTTCCAATTAAGTCTTTCATTTTGCACCAAGTGGGCTTATATTTCCACAATTTTTTTTTTCCAGTGAATGTGTTCTGGCACAAAGCGTTCATAGTTGGTGAGTACTTTAGTGTTGGTTCCAAATGTGAAAAAAACAAAATCCCAATTCTAAGATGCATAGTGATGAGGACAGGAAGAAGCTTGAGTGAGTGATGCAGTGATGGAACAAATCAAAAGTGAAACAAAGTATTATAACTCATTGTGTTCAATAGCCATTAAACTGAAAGGAGATGGTGGAAAACAAAAGGAAGAGGCTGTTGTAATGTAGACCATTGATCGTGTTGAAACTGTGTGATCTAAGGAAATCACAGAGATCAACAGAGAGGCCGTTAAAAACCACCCATGTGTACAAATATTATATAAAATACAGTACAGTTGTAGTTTTGGACTACGTAGTACACCGTGCATTAGGACACTGGGGCCGTTTCTCAATATGAGTACTTGTCTGTACCTGTGTACTCGCATACTTATGAAACGTCAACAACGGCCCAAGGACTGTTCCAATCCTAAGAGTGCTTTCATACAAGTGTGCTCTGAGTTCTCGAAAGTGTTCTTGCTCCGCCCACTGTATCGAGGATGCACTTGATGCATCCTTCTGTGGACTTGGCCAGCAAGGTATCCCACAATGCATTGTGCTGCAAACTGTTATGCATTGAAGTTTGAAGTTTCCTGTTACTGTAAATAATTATGTGTAGCCTGTAAAATTTGCTTGTGTATTTGTTTTTTGGTTTTATTCAGTCTTCACAATTCCTCAAAATGCTAATTGGCCAACCCCACTATCAAAATACAAGTGTCAGTGCCTTAAATTTGATGCTGGTATTACATACATTTTGCTAAAAAGGGGACCAAACAATATACAGAAATAAGTATTCAATGTTATTTTGTTTTTGAGGGGACAAACTAGACTTATTTTGATGTCAGGTAAATTTTTTACCGTAGCAACACAACACATTCTCACCCCGAAGCGTCGAAAACTGATAGGTGACCAAGCATCTGTCCCACAGCGTTGATTTCCAACTGCCATGGTAAAACGGAGATTTCATCGAATTGTGACCTCTACCCTCTTGCTATTTAACCTTCCCCTCAATGCCATCCTAATCATGATAAATGATAAATGACCCGCACTTGTATAGCGCCTTTCAGAGTAAGGACTCCAAAGCGCTTTACACTACAGTGTATCATTCATCCATTCACACACAGATGGTGATGAGCTACGATGTAGCCACAGCTGCCCTGGGGCGCACTGACAGAGGCAAGGCTGCCGAGCACTGGCACCACTGGTCCCTCCGACCACCACCAGCTGGCAAGGTGGGTTAAGTGTCTTGCCCAAGGACACAACAGCAAAATTCTCTGTCCAGAGCCGGGTTCGAACCTGCAACCTTCCGATTACTGGACAACCCGCTCAACCTGTTGAGCTACTGCTGCTCCCATAACCATAACCCTCTTGCGCATGCAAAACTTTGTTTCTAGTTGTCACATCCCTCTCCAACATGGTTAACGTAAAGTTTAGAATGAGAAACTGGGTTAAGGTTAGGATGTGGGTGAGGGGAAGGGGAAGGTTAATTAGCAAGAGGTTAGAGGGTAAATGTCGGTTAAATGTGCATCTTACTGCAGGCGTCGGAAACCAATGCTCAGGCACAGCGTGTCGCCTCCCGCCACCCGATGGGTGATCAAGCATTTGTTTCCGACACGTTGGGAGTCCCACAAAACAAATGCTTGGTCACCCATCGTCCTTTTTCTACGCTTCGGGTGTGAGAATGTGTTGTGCAACAAATAGCACCAGTTGCCATGACACAATGAAGTACATTTCTGTTCCAAATGCCGTCCTCATCCTCCCATACTCAATACAACGGACTTTTTGGTGCGCTTGCCAAGAACACACTTGTCAAGTACACAAGAACGTACTAGTGTCCTTAGGTATTGAGAAACAGCCAAAGTGCACCATCCTCATCCTAAGCAAAAGCACATGACAAGGGTGTGTTCTCAGTCCCTTTACACCCTCCACTCAAAACTACTCTCATCAAATTTGCTGATGACACTAGTATTTCAGGATTGATTTCAGAAAATTAGTCTGAATGAGAAATATTGACAAATATTCACAGTAATCTCTCCTTGAACACAACAGCAATAAAATGATAAAAACCAGCTGTAAAAAGCCCACTCACACTGGACACCATCTATTGTATGATCTAGATCTGTTCTGCAGCTAAAATTCATTGATTCTAAACTTTGCAAGCTAAACGTGTAAAAATAATACGTCTGAATTTGATAACCGGTAAAACATACGTAGTAGAGCATGTCTGTCCATCCTTCCATGGTAATGCACTGGAAGACGGTGAGAACAGCAAACAGGATGTTGTCAAACTGAGTGATGCCATAATTTGGTCCAATCCAGTCAGGACGACATGTAGTGCCATTAGGGCATAATCGGGAAGGAGTTTTATTGCCACATGGCAGATCATCCACTAAATCATCTGAAAAGAGAAAGAACAAACCAGAAATGGGATAAATGACCATTAATATTAGATTTTTATAAAAGTGTTATCTGTACACTCTATTGAAATGTAACTACGAATATGTAACAAAGCCCCAGAGTGCTCAACCATCCAAACGTATAAACACTTATATAAATGACACTCTATTAATATATACATATATTTTTTTCTGTTTTCATACTTGTTCCGTCATCATAGCAGGTTGTGTGGAATTTTCCCATGTAGAACTCCAGGCCGATGATGGCGAACATGAGGATAGCCACAAACAACAGCAGGCCAATCTGCAGCAGGGGGATCATGGCCTTCATAATGGACTTGAGCACCACCTGTAGGCCTAAAAAATACAAACAACTCAGACAGGGAGCTTGGAATATGCACTCTAAAGACCTGCTTAAAATAGACTCAAAACCTTTGTGTTAGAGAAAGTTTTAGTAGCTGGTCTCTACTGTGTAAAGTACAAGATTGCTAACTGCCTGGACACTAAATGTGACAAAAACTGTTAAAGGGTCTAAAGGTGTCAGAGTCGTTTTTACGTCATCCAACGCATTACAATGTGATCAAAATAGGTCATTTCTCTGTTAGGGCTTTTATTTGTATTTTTGGGTGGAAAAAAAAAAGTATGATCAAGTAATGTCTTACCTCCCGAACAATTTCAGTTTAGATATTAGTTTTGACCAAAATGAAAAGCTAATGGCCAGCCACAATGAAGCTACTTCCAAAGTTAATTTTTAATATCTTAAAACATTTTCTATTTCAAATATGTCACATAATTTTATACTGTTGCTGTTTTATATTCACAATCTTGTCTTTTACTCAATAGAATATTTGTTCTGGAAGAATTTCAAGCCAGAAGAGTTGGAAAGGCTTCAGAAGGATGAATCAAAGTATAAAATAAGCAATATTGTGTTCGTGTGAAGGTTTATAAAATGGCATTGACAGGAACCCCTATACGTGAGATTAGAGTTGTAAAACAACACTAAAGCAAACTGGAACTAGTAATTAACTCATCAGCCTATTCTAAACTAATCTGTGTTTCTCCAACCTGAGATTGTTCAAAGAGCTGTCTACAACTGGAAAGGTATTAGGAGCTTGAAGTAAGAGAAAAATGTCTCACTGGGAATCCCAGACACTAGTTTTAGTGGTCGCAGCACCCTCACAGCTCGAAGTGTTCTAAGATCAAGTTGAGACCCCACAGACGACAAGATCCTGCAAGAAATGACAAAGAAAAATACATTTCATGACTTTAATGACAAAATTCATGTTTTGAACAGTGTTTTAATAAACCTTTGCAAATCCACCTGATTAATTTACATTACAACAGATTTAGCCTTTCTTAAAAATTAAAATATATTAAAAAAATTCCATCACCACTTTGTTTTGCATAAAATGTTAGATTGGCCTCCTGTTTTCCTAAACTCGTGCATCATTCCCACCCCTCACCAAGGCTGTTTCAATATTTTGCCATTCTTTGACTCACAAAAACAAAACTTGCATGAGTTCCTGACACCTGCAGAATTTAAATAAAAATGTTAAATATTTTTCTCCTAAGATCGTGATAAACAGAATAAACACACCGGTAAAGCGGCGAATTAAAACATTAGGAGTCCTAATGCTTTAATTCACGTGTAACCAACTAATTTAGGAGAGGGGCTGGGACGTGTGATTTAGTCACCGCGGTAGAAAGCCCAGCTTGCTGTGAGTGGGAGTGGCGAGCAAAAAAAAAAAAACATTTGGGGCTGAAGCCCCATGACAATCGTCTGGCGACGCAGCTGCGTTTCTAAATAAAAGCATGTCATTTTGGTGACGCGCACAGGTCTGGGAGAGAGAACCGGGCCTGCCCGTCCCATCAGCAGCAGGTGAAGCTCACCACCCCACCCACCTCACAGCCAGAGTGGAGAGAAGCACATCAACTTGGATTAAACAGATGGGATTCTGGGTGTCAAAGAACTCCAGTTCAATTATTACATCTGTGTTGCTTGTGTGCGTGTTGTCCAGTAGCTAATATTATAATTAATACAATCAGTTTTTTTTTCTCCCATAAGCCGGATTTCTTGGTGCCTCCCTGGCCTTTCGGTGCCCTATGTGCTGTGCGTGCTACGCGTTTAGGGAGCGCCGGCGCAGATTCCAGTTGAGGGGTACAGTTGTGGCAGCATCGTGGTTTGGGAGTGTTTGGCTGCAGGAGGAAACAGGGAAGCCAGGAAGTTAAAGGTTGGGTTCAAACGAGGCTGCCCAAATGGACAATGAACCTTAGCATACATCCACATTAGTTCCAAAGTGGCTTAACCTGTTTAACCTTAACACCCCCCAATTGGGGGCCTCTACAGTTTTATGCCCCAAACATCTACAACGGTCCACATTCACTAAACACAACTAAAACCACAATCAAACAGCCCAGATGGGAAACAAGGCCACTTTAAATAGTAATAAATTAAGATACAATGATATTTGAACTTTATTTTAGAAGAGCACCTGACCTTCTGTGGTGTCTGCTGGAAAAAAAAAACCTTGAACAAATGTAGTTGAGGACCCCTGGAATAAATAAAACAACTGACTAAATTTCCTAAATGGGATTTGAACTCACAACCTCCATTCTGTCAGCCCTTTCACACAGGGCAGCTCTTCTAAAATAAAGTTCAAGTATTATTTTATCTTAATGTATCAAAAACCAAAAGTTGCTTTGTTTACACTCTAAACTGTTTGATTGTAGCTGTAGCTGTGCTCGGGGAATGCAATCACTGACACTTGGGACATGAAACTCCAAAGGCCCCCCAATTGGGAGGCGCCAGGGCCCAAAGAAAAAGGCCTAGGGCCTAAAAGAAGAACAGAGTCAATGCCCTGGATAACTCCCATAGGAAATTGGTGGATCACAGTTAAAAAGGGTGTGATAAGGTGACCTATAATCTGAGTCATTTACACAAGTTCTGTCCGGAGGAAAAGGACACAAATCAAAAATACTGTGAGAAACCTTTGGAAGGATATGGTAGTCAGCTACGTTGTGTCATCACATTTTCTCATTAAGACCCACTCCAATGAAAATCCTATTTTTCTCTGTTTTTAACATTTTCTTGAGGCATTTTTCTAATGCCTGGGGCACACCGGAGACAGACGTGCCGTGGAAGCGTAGCGGTTTCGAGAAGTCAAGCGGCCACACAGTGCACGCTGTGCCATAGAGCACTTCTTGGAAAGCCGCGCGAGTCACAACATAACGCGAGACTTGAGAACAGGAAGCGGAAAATGACTTTCTGGTTTTTATGTGATCAGACTTGCCGTCGTGTTTTGAGAAACTCTAATTCATTAAAAAAGGGCAAGTATGCTATTTATTAGAATATTTTAAGATCTGTAGTACTTTAAAGTTTTCAGTACTGCAGTTAGGTTTGTGCCAGCGGTTGGGTTTGTGCCATAAAGTCGTTGTCCTGTGTGATCACTCAAAACTGTGGTGCTTTTGTGGTGCGTCTGTCTCTGGTGTGCCCCAGGCTTCACTCTTCTGTCCGCCTCCTGTTAGAGAGGGTGGGAGGGGGTGCACTCGGACCGTTTCACCACTTCACCTCCGTGCATCAGGTGGAGTGGAGGAGCTCAGAGTAGCAGACAGAGCAGGTGGATGACTTATAAGCAACAAAAACTAATGGTCTATTTTTTTTACCCAGAATGAACAAACACATTTCTTGATCCACATCTAAGTGGTCCGGATTGCTGCTTAGAAGTCATCCACCTGCTCTGTCTGCTGCTCTGAGCTCCTCCTTCACGTCACCTTTCCGATTCTGTCCCCACTTGCTGCCAGACTTGTGTGCGAGCGAGCTCGGTCCAACTTTTTAACTAAATTGAAGAAATCTGACCCAGTCTGGATTCGAACACGGGTCTCCTGTGTAAGTCGGGCGCCAGAGTGTCCCTGTTCTCGGCTCCGCCCACAACCCAGAGGTGAATTTTTAACGAGCTAATGCCACAATGTAGAAACTAAGTACTAGAAAATGACACAGGTTTTGTAATTTTGGCTGAAAACAGCATAATCTTAGTTTAAAGACCACTGAGAAATTTTAAAAGCATCTAAAAAGGATTATTGGAGTGGGAATTTAGGTTAAGAAATAAGCGTGTTTAACTGTTGGCTCTTTAATCACCATTAGACTAAAACCCTGCTTCTTCCACCATCTCTAGGCTGCAGATCGTCAGCTATAAAACATCCTAAAATCTTAGTGTGGACCTTGGCTCTGCCTGTCCACAGCTGTGGGGGATCAGAAAGTGTTGTGTCCTATTTTCCTCACACCGAGATCAAGTCTCCGTGAGTGAGCCAATGTGTTGCACAGGTCGTGTTTGCTTTTTAACCAAAATTATAATTTTTTTCCACCGCAAAGGGTTTCTTAGATCTAAAATATTCCCCAACAGAACCATGCCACCTAAATCCCTCAGCCAGCGGACCAACTGGCTGCTGAAATCTGCCCCATCTCCAGGGGCAGTGAACTGAACAAAACCCACACAGCCTGAAGTGAGGCCTGGAAAACAGTTGAAATCTATTTGGGGAAAATGTTTTCATCTTCAGAGTGTTGGACATGTATCTAGCCCATCCCTTCTCTAGCTCTAACATTTTGTTTCCTCTCAGACTATTTTTCCATCCAGCTCCAGGTTTGTTGCTAATCCCAGCTAGAGGTAATTTATTAAGAGGAGCAGCACTGGCAGCCAAGAAACTCATTCTCTCTATAGCTTTTAAACTGCTAAAGCAAACAGCCCCGCTGCAGATCTAAAAACACTGGTGCTCAGCAAAATACCCAAACCGCTTCCTTTTATATGATCTCAGTGAGCTTTAGAGCAAACAATATTAAAGTATCAGTATGTTTCCTGATTTTATTTGCTTCAATGTCTTTTATTCATGTTAAAATCTAACTAGTTTCAATATTTTCCAAGCTGCATATAGAATTTTATATACATATATATATATATATATATATATATATATATATATATATATATATATATATATATATATATATATATATATATATATATATATATATATAATTAAATAAGCAATCATATATTAAATCACAATTCTGACTTTATCTTTTTATTTGGTCATTTATCCTCTCAAACGTAGACCCTCTGGTTAATTTTGTCCTACTTTAAATGTCCTTTTTTCCCCTCCTGAACTCTCTTCCTTTGCCACATTTCAAAAACCTTAAGGACACAACTGTCCTTGGCAACAAAACCTGTCCACAATGCATTTTGGTGGCCAGTAGGTGGAGCAGCAAGTATGCTGACATTTATTAGGAAAAGCTGGGTGGAATAGGCAGTACTAGAAAAGAGTAGGGTATGACTGCATGAGAAAAAAGCTTGTAAGAGGTAGAAGGAACAAAATAGAGAGAAAAACTAAGGTGAAGCTGAATAAAGATTATAGTTGCGACTTTTATGATTTAACAGTATGAGGGTTTTTTGAAGATTTATTTAACCCTTATATAACCCTTTAATTTTCTAACGTTTTTGTCCTTTGAGCACAAAAAAATGCACTAAGGTCGTGAAAGGGTTAAACAATGATGTGCGTTAAGTGGAATAATTGAAAAACTTTAAGTATAAAACATGTTGTAAAGTTTATGCAAAAGACTGGAGCAATTGAAGTGTACAATTCATGCATAAAAGTCTTCAAGTGACAATGTGTAGTTTTTACTGTGAACCTCTGGAAATATCCATCGAAATGTTGTTGAAAATTAATTAAATGATGCCCAGTCGTAGAAAAATATCGGCAGCTTAGTAGGGATGTCCCGATACAACTTTTTCACTTCCGATACGATACCGATGTTGCAGCCTTCAGTATTGACCGACACCGATATCAATCTAATACGATATCAGCAAAAATCATGCATACTTTTGCCTATTGTGTATTGTGGAATGTATGAAAAGCTTGATCAAGTGATATTACCCAATCAGAGAATAAGAGCCAATAACAGTAAGTATGAAAAAAATGGCACTTTTTGTAACCATTGGTTGCAAAAATGTGAACCTCAACGGACTGCTTATATTGAAAATGTTTAATGCAGCCCAATATAATCCAATTACGTGTTTTTGGGCCGATAACGAATTACTTCTGATATTGATATCAGAACAGGACATCTCTACAGCTTTGTAACATATAACCATAATAATCGGGTCTAAACTGCATGGGGGCAGGTCTAAGTCACTGGGCGACGCCATATTAGACACCATGTTTCTTTCTACGGGAGCCC